CATGTCTTTACTTCGAAAGTTGCTTACGTTCGGGACAATGACTCTGGACACTTTGTGGTCGCGCAGAATGAATCCTGCACGGAAGCGTTTGTCGACTGCCCTCTGTTGACATTTTCAAAAGAGGATTACGTAATCACTGGCGCCCTCAACGACTCGATTAGACTCACGGCTCACGACCGCGTACTCCGTAGTGGCGAATTTGAGATAAAGTCCAATCGGGACGTCGAGGTGTGTACCTTTCTTCAACAGGGGGTGCCCTCTATCACCCCTACCTTCATGAATTGGGGCCCCTCCCACTTCATCCTCACCGTCACCGGCAGTAGCTTGTCTCTGATTGGTCTGGTTGTGACAATTGCTACGTATGTCGTGTTCCCGTCTCTGCGTCGCAATGCAGCCGGCCGGGCACTCATGAGTCTGGTGGCGGCGCTCTTTCTTGCCCAGTTAACAATGCTTATAGGTAAGTGAATGTACACGTAAGCCTGGAGCTTTGAAAAACCAAGTGGAGATGCATCACAAGTCGAGAGTATTTTTTTTAGTTGTGAAGAAATAAAGTCACCATGAATTTTATAATCATATCAGCAGTTTTTCGCAAAATCTCTTCAAAGAAGGAAAAAGCTTAGCCTTTTGTCTAACTTGTCTAAGTTAGGTACAAGAGGGCCAGATAACACTTTTGGAGTACAATAGCGTTATTCCATCTTAAATGCATAAAATAAACTTTCATGCTCATTGAAAAGTAATATTTGGGAGTCCGATACCTTGGAGAAATGTTCTCCCTGTCCGTCCAGGAAACCAGCCACGCTGCTCGGAAAGGGATATATTCAGCCCCTTTAAAACTTGAAAAAGATCAATAATGAAAAATTAACAAATCGTGAATTAAACTGTTTGGACATTTTCTATAGGTCTTGATCGTACTGACGACCCTACTCTCTGCGTCACATTCGCGATCGGTTCCCATTTCTTCTGGCTCGCAGCGTTCTTCTGGATGAACATCCTGGCCGTGGACATCTACCGCACTTTCGGCATCGGTACCAGTCTAAGTAACCCCAACGAAAGGTCATTCCTTCGCTACGCCCTCTACGGCTGGGGCGCGCCAACCCTCATCGTCGCCACCGTCGCCATATTGAGTTTCTGCGACTGCGTGGAGGCTGACGTGCACTACGGATCTGCGCATGCGTGCTGGGTCGGCAACGGGACAGCCAATCTGCTGTCCTTTGGCGTTCCGATTGTTGTGATTCTCTGCTCCAATGCGGTCCTATTTTCTCTCACCGTGGCTGGGGTCAAGAGAACGCGAATGGCATCCAAGCGGATGAATATCACCCAGGGGCAGCTCGGTTCGGCGGCAAACAGGCCCACCAATGATCTCGTACTGTGCCTGAAGGTAAAGCAAGAAACATAGGAAATGCGTTACAATTGATTTTTATCACAATATCATCAACCACACCGTTTCCGTAATGTGCACATCAGCTACGAATAAAACGACTATAACAACAGCACCCTCTGTTCTTGTTAATTAATATAAACACTGTTTTGCTATTTTTCGAGGCTAGATTTCTATCAGTTTTCGAGATTTGGAATGAACAAAATATCTTTATTTCACTTGAACATTTTAAAACGGGCTGGCCTAAAGACGATGTACCAAAAACTGCGAAAATAATATAAAAATTGCTCAAAGCAGACAAAAATGTAATTTGGTCTTTCTTCATTTAAAAAAAAAACTTGTGTCATAATAAAGTGTATATAGGCTACAGTCGGCTGGCGAAAGACTATCAAGCCAGTTTCTCGGTATTTTCCAATGTTGTTCACAAAATGTACTTCATTTCTACCTCGTTTTCAACCAAGGAAGCCACACAGTAGCGGATCGCAGCCACAACGACGAGGTTTACTTCATTAAGTTTTACTTTAACAAAAAAAAACCCGAAGAATTCCTTCTTTTCTTTTCCTCTCATCCACTTTGTACAGTTAACGGCCATCATGGGATTCAGCTGGGTCTTCGGCTTCGTAGCCTCCTTCTCAGGCGTCGAGTTTTTCTGGTATCCCTACATCGCCCTGAACTCCCTCCAGGGGGCGTTCGTCTGCCTGGCCTTCGTCTGCAACCGGCGCGTGCTGGCCATGTGGAGGGCGTGGCTCAAGTCACGGCGCGTGCGCTACCTTGCCGACCAATCAGACACGTCCGGCTCGTGTGGAGGTCAGACGTCACTCAAAGCGTCAGTGGCTGACCAGAGCCATGAAGAAAGTGGTACCAAAACCACACGTGTGTGATTAAAAAGACCGACTTGAACTGTCTAAATGTTACTAAATTTCTATCTAGAATTGCGAAACTCAAGTGAAATCTGTAACAATCAGAATCTTTACAAATAAAGCAATTCAGAAGGCTGATTTGGGACAATAATTATAGTTGTTTTGTTGTAAAAATGATCGACGTAATTTCAAGTGATATTGCACATAATTGTATGTAACGTTAGCATTGTTATTGCATCTTTGCATTTTAGACTCTCATGATCCGTATGGATTTAATTTTTAGCTGAATAGAATTAATTTTAAATGTCGCTATTCGTATTTAGTATTAGCTATGATTCTTATCTTTCAAACCTTATTCTTATCTAAAGCGCATGAGAGCGTTTAAATTAATGGATTTGGCGCTATTCATCTGTATAAAAGTATTTTATTATTGAAGTATTAATTATTTTACACGCACAAGCTTCTACCCGAAATATGTTTTTATTAAAGTACTCACTCTAATAACATTAATTGTATTCTAAAGGTTGCATGCTGAGTAAATTTCCTCTGAAGCGCTACAGAGAGCGCAATACTACTTGCACGGGGCCGAGCCACTGATTTCTATAATAGAGATCAGAGGGCCGAGCCATGTACTAGAATGCACTAGTTTCCAACAGAACACCGATTATTGTACAACTCTGTTGCAGTTACCAAAACGTTTGGTGATGTGCCACCAAAATTACGTTCTTGTAAGTAAAATGTTCATATCGTAACAAGTTATCTTACATTGCTATAACCAAACACTATTGTCAAAACCTCCAACAAAATTTACCGTTCAATAAAAAATAATAGCATAAATAAATGTGAAATTTTATTTTTGGCGATTTAATCTAAATTTAAGTGCACAAAAAAATGTATGTAAAACTATGGAATGAGTTAAAAGTTAGAATGTTTCATTGTTTAGTGAACTACGTATCTCTGGTTATCCGTCAAAGAGTTTGTTCCTTATCTTCAATATCTTGAATATCTTTAATAGCATTTAGCATTCCATGGACAGCTTTAAATGGTTTATTTTAGTAAAACCTGCCTAAGCAATTATTGCAGTATATTCTTCTTTATTAAGCTCTGGCAGGAGCTTTGGAAGTCACTTTGGTATCGGTCGGTCGGTCCTCCGCCGAAAAATGAAACATTGACCCAAAAAATATCACAAAAATTGAGCAAATGCCGTGCCGTCGTCCGTAAATGCAGTCTATAAATTGTTCGTAACAATTCGTAAAGTTGTTTATAACAGTTTTGTAAACAGAGGTAAGGTATGTGCAGTATTGCTATAGTCACGTGGTATTTTCTGTAGTGGTTGGATGGTATCCAGAAGGAGGACATGCAAATTGACGAAAAGTATGGTGTTTCCTATGCGCCATCGGTGTCGCATTTTTCGCCAGAGCTTAGTCTTCGCACTTTTTTTCAAATGAGTGGAAGAACATAATGGTTTAATAAGTGTTGCATTGGTGTATCGTTTTTGTTTGATCCCCGTCCCGGTCACTTTCTTAGTGAATATGTGAATATGTAAACTTCGTGGTTTCAAACTGCATACTTAAAAACCATGTTCTTTTTCTTAATATAACTAATGGAAAATGATCTTGAGCTGATGCTTTGATATCATTTACAGCTTTGCGTATCTCTTTGATAGAATTATCTAAATTGAAGACTGCTTTGTTGTACACGAGTTTAGGAAAAAGATGTGCCCTGAATTACTAACCAATAAGATACCAGGAAGTTGAAGTTTGTATAGTCATTAGAACCTTGGAATCTTTCGGCGATTTTCTGAATATTGTCAATATCTTACACCTGTAACAAGTGGCAGATGGCTATAGGTTTGAGCGTGATAGTTCGAACATAATATGGCCTCCTGTCGAGAATGAACGACGTGATAGCATAATACGCCTTCATTACGCTGTCACCCACCGCCCTAAACAGGACGATGGGAAGGGATAATCTCTTTCACAAATTTGTATGGAGGAACCAGAGCTATATTAAATTTAATAAAGCTCTATGGGAGGAACAGTCGTGGCAAAGAATTGTTGGCAGCTCGCTGCTTTTGTCAATAGAATTTACATTTAGTACGCACTCTACGCTCGTGCCACCTTGCAATGCGCACTGGCCGCCCTCTAAATCAGTATGGAACGATCATCAGTTGGTGTTACATCTTGGACAGAAACAAAGAATACTTCATTAAGCACGATAAAAAATGGTTTTCAATAATTGCTACCCCTTTTATGTTGGACGATTCACAATTATTGTTGAACTTTACTCCAATTTTCAAGGATCAAGTTGGATCTGTTTCATGCAGTTCAAACTACCAAAGTATACGAACATGTTTTTTTCTTCATAAACTTAGATATTTTTAGCTCTTAAATTCAGAAACCAAGATTTTGCTGCTGTCTATGAAAAAAACAGGACTGTAAGAATAAGACGTATATCTCTTTCATGTCGAACTCGTGGAACTTGAGCTTGTCACGGTCAAGATATACTGTAGGCCTATAGTTCATTGTCTCATGCAGGTATACGCACTATGTTTGGAACGCTTGGCTCACGGAGGAATTTTGCAATTAACTAATGGTATCACCTCACAACAACGACGATGTTGCCATGGTTGTAAGCTATTACAACGGATTGATGGTAAAGGCAATTGAGACGTAGACAATTTATTTCAAATTGCGATGAGGAAAAGATCATTCATCATGCATATGCCTATACCTACAATGTACAAAATAAAACAGTACGATATGGCGTGTTGGACAGCAAGCTTTCCTCTGACACTTGTCTCGATCTTTATCAGTTTACCAAGCTGCCAGGCCTACGCCTCCTGCCCGCCCGGCTGGCTGAGATGGCAGCAATCTTGTTACATCTTACTGCCGGACAAGATGAATTGGTTTGAGGCCTCGGAGGCTTGTAACCGACCGGGAAGTGGTCTGGTTGTGCCCAACTCGCGGGAAGAAAACGACTTCATCTGGAAGTCAGTGGGGCCACAGACTGACGGTATGTGGATCGGCTGCACGGATGCGGCCCAAGAGGATATCTGGCTGTGCGGGGGTCAACCTCTGTCTTTCCGAAATTGGTATCCTGGCAATCCGCGCACCGACAACCAGCGTAACTGCGCCCGGATGACTGCTTACGGTGGTGGGGGCTTATGGTCCGACTATGTTCCTTGCGGTAGCAGCAACCGCAAACCTGCAGCGTGTGAGATGACGGTCTCTGCGATGCCAGCCTACCACACCTTCACCGGTCCCGATGGGCGTGTCCCTCAGCGATGCCTCCTCCATCACGACATCAAGAATCTGATGGTAAATGGCGTGCTTGCCTGTGGCTGGGCGTGCCGGGCCGATCCCCGATGCCGCTCCTTCAATCTCTGGCAGAGCAACACTGAAAGAGAAAAGATGTGTCAACTCAATGAAGCCACTCGTCTTGGGGCTGATATCACCGACTATATAAAGGCAACCAACAACTGTTACTATTTTGAACTGTAAAAAGATTTCAACCGAAAGATCACCTGCTGTCAATGCTCGGACAATAATTATTCTCAGTCTGCAATTGTCGTCTATGCTCGGACAAAAAAATATCAGAATTCTCTCTCAATTACACATACTTTTCGACTCAGAAGCATTGCTGCCTATTATTGTTTAACCGCGTCAAAGGATTATTTGAGAATCACAGATTATGATCGTCAATGTACCTGTACGTGTGCTTCACCTGGACCTCGGTTAAAGATTTCTCTGTCTTCTTCATTAGATATACGAACAATGAACTGTATTTTTCAAAACAATTAAGGGGGAAAATAGGGAAAATGTTTAAATCTATGATATTTTTTTCGCGATTTAGGTCTAACTTTTGTAGTGCACAAACAAAATATTATAGTGAGCGTGGATAACAAAATGATGTATTTTTTGTGGTGTAAAACTGTGGAATGCGTTAAAAGTTAGAATGTTATCATAGTGAATCACTGTTTATCGTTTATCATTGTTTACATGTTGTGCAGTACATGGTGTCAGTTAGTGACCGACTTAGAACAAAAAAACACTATAAACATAATATGTGGCTTGCTCCATTTAATGAAAGTATCATAAGAATAAAGTAGACATGTTATTGACTAAAGTAACTCTAATTTCTCTATAAAAAAAGGTCACTTAATTTGAGTACTACATTCACAAGTTACTTCTATTTTAATAGAAATACACATACCACAAAATTAAGTTGTCCACCACTCTTCGTTTAATACAGGTACGCATGGATAATATCAATTGAATACAGTGCACAAGAACTAGCTTGCAAAGAAAACACAAAAAAATCACCATTCTCATTTATTGAGAAAAAATTACTGTATTCCTCCGAAGTACGCATGGCCGTCGCGAGGGTGGCAAGGGGCGCTTGCCCCCCCCCCCCAACTGAAAGCGGCACCCCCCCCCCCCAAAAAAAAAAGAGGAAAAAAGGAAAAAAGAAAGAAAAAGAGGCGCGAAGTCATATTGCTGTTAATTTAATGGGGTGGGGGGGGGGGGAATGTCCCTCGAAAAATGATAAATCGAGAATATGCTGGACAAGTACAGGGATTTCGGGGGGGGGGTTGCTTTGCCCCTCTCTAGAACAATCCTGGCCACGCCCATGCACATACGAAACAGAATCTGACAATAAAAATTATGTTTCAGTCTAGGACTCGAAGAAATCCCATTTTTTGAATTCGAATACGTAGCCTGTGTGTAATCTAATTGTTCCGTCCCACTCAGCAACTGAATATCTTCAAATCATTTAGCATTCCATGGACAGCTGTTAAATGGATTCTTTTAGTAAAACCTGCATAACCTCTTATAGCGATGATCAATTTCAGCATTTTTTTCCAGATGATCGGAAGAACATGCTTCATTGGTGTATCTTTTATTTGTTTTTGCTTTTTCAGAGACATTTGTTTATTAATCCCAGTCACTTTCTTTTTGACTTATCCTGTACATCGGTAAACGTTCTCTGTCCACATAATCTTGACTTCTTTGACAGGAAAATGTTTGTGAGTAACGGATTTTGTCACTAAACATTGACACGTATCACCAGTCCTAGAAAAAGTCTTTCGATTGTGAAGAAACGCTCGTATCCCCCCCCCCCCCCCGCCCTTCCTGTTGTTGCAGGGTGGGGTAGGGGTACTGCTGAGCGAACCGACTTTATATAGTGCGCGACGCGTGAAAGCCGCCGCGTGGTGGCGCTGTGCAAGTTCCCACTGTCAGTGAAGTAAGTTTGTGATTGTGAATGAATTTCATCACCTGCTCACTAAATGTTGCCGTTGGTGAAGATGCTTTCAGTTTCATTCACCATGTTCACGCTCGATTCAAGACAACGGTGTGTTTAATGTGTGTAAGTACATGGTAAGACTTAGCCCCATAAATGTGGCCAATTTACTGGACTACCTCCGTAAACATACTACATAGGCCACACTTGCACCATCAATCATCATGACCCCGGCCATGTACAAAAACATGTCGAACTTTGTCAAATTTTGATTTTCACATTTAGGCTTAGTTTGTAGGGTTTTTTTTGCCTGAGAAGCATAGGGGGCCTACTCACCCTCTTTATATAGGCTAATCAGAAAGTGCTGCCTTTTCCGGATGTCTAATTTTCATGAAATTTTATGTTGAAATTTTGGTACGCAAACGTGTGCAAACGCATCTGGAAATTTCACGAAATATAGACATCTGAAAAAGGCAGCACTTTCTGATTGGCCTATAAAGAGGGTGAGTATGCTTCTTAAGCAAAGAAACCCTACAAACTAAGCCTAAATGTGAAAGTCAAAATTTGACAATGTTCAACATGTTTTTGTACATGTGGATGTGTGGCCTATGTTTACGGAGGTAGTCCAGTAAATTGGCCACATTTATGGGGCTAGGTAAGACTAAAGGAAAGAATGTAGAAGTAATATCCAGACGCCACTTCTACTTTAGCACTTAGTACTTTGCTTTGTTTACAAACCAGTCCCATAATGTGACTAAGTAATACTGGGTCCTAGTACTAGTAGTAGGCCTACTAACATTATGACTAAACTGCGTCAACAAGCGTCAACAACCGTCAGCAAGCGTCAACCGTCGTCAACAAGCATCAACAAATTTTGTATATGCTTTTGAACATTAAAAGTAGCTTTAGGGCAGGCGCGGCCTATATATGTAGAAAAAGCAATAAAGAACATCTTCTGCATATCAATTAAACTTAAAATTATTTTAAAACTTGTTTTATGAATGCGAAATGTACAACGAGTTTGTCGATTAGTGTTGGCCACCATCTTGTTTGGACGGCGCTGCACACTGTGCGCATGCGTAGTATGGCTCTGTACACTTCACGCATGCATAGTACGGCTAGCTCACATGAACAAAATGGCGGCCACCCCAAACTCGACAAACTCGTCGTACATTTCGCATTCAAAAGATTTTTTTAAAATAATTTTAACTTTGTTTTATATGCTGAATCAATGTGTCCTTTGTCACTATTTCTACTATAAAAAAACGTCTTGTGATGTTCCAAAACTTATACAAAATTTGTTGATGCATGTTGACGACCGTTGACGCTTGTTGACACTTGTTGACGCAGTTTTAGTAGGACCGGAAATACTGGACTACCTCCATATAGACGTCACACATCCCACATGTGGTCTGTGCTTGGACAGTCCGTTGAAAATCAGTTTGAAATCGCAATTATTTTGTCACTCTATACTCACACAACGCCGTCTACAAGTTAACTGCTTAATACTATAGCAACAAAACATGAAATTCTTTTCAGAGGTCTAGTTTATCTTGAAATTTCGAGTTGAATTCGGAAAACTTTCGGCTGCCATTGTTCACAAAAGCGTCTGGCGCGTGCGTGGTAATTTGAAGAAAGAGTTACAGCTTGCGCACCAGTTACTGGGCCTAAGTGTTACCAAATTTCTTTGTTAACAAGCTTGCTTCAGTGCTTGTGATCAATTTAATAGGCCTATAGGCAATGATATGCCTACTGTTGAGAAATTTAATCCAAAATGGTGGTGACCGGAAATAGACACAAAATCTGTTAAGTGTTCCCAAACGTGGCTTGCCCCATAAATGTGGCTCAAATACTGGACTTTCTCAATGTTGTGAGGCACGAGGTGGTGATAGCAACGTGTGAGGAAAAGTTGTTTTTAAGGAGGTCCAAATTAGGACTGTTTTTACTGATATTTGCTATCAAAGAGTTTACATGGTTAATAACCAGGGAAAATTAGTGCATCCGGGATAAAGGTGATGGCCCCCGATCTTGAAAAAAATACGACATTTGGCAAACTTTCAAACTATACATATATATGAACGCTCAAATTGTACAAAATTTCTTGGTTATTAACTTTGTATGTATAATCCATAGTGAATATCAAGTGAAAAAAAAAACAGTCCTGATTTTGATTACTTTAAAAATAACTTTTCCTCTCACGCAGCTACATGTATCCCTGCCCTGTGGCTCACGATGCAAAGACAGTCCAGTATTTAAGCCACTTGACTCTCTGGAATCTATTCTTAAGACAATCAAGTCATTACCAAGAATCAACACCTAAAAAGTGGAATCACAATTCTGATTTCAACTTCGGAATTGATTTTGTTCGACCCTGTCCTGGAAAAGCCTAGCCTGCAAAAAGTGTTTACAAAAATTCTGGGCATGTTTTGCTAGAAAGCTTCTTGGAACCTTCAAATTGAAAACTGTGTAAAGAAACAGAGGCACCTTTTTCAGGGAAATCCATGTAAAGGTAAAAGCACTTTGGCTCTAACTTTCTCAGTTCTGCAACATTAACACCTGAATCCCCATGGAGAATCTTGCGTTGGACTAGATCTTGGAAAGTTGGGGTAAAAATGGAGGATTTAATTGTTACATTTTTTTCGAACGAATTCAGGTGAAATGGCTAGCGGTTCAGAAGAGGCAAACCCTTGCTCCGTGGAAGAGACTTTGGGTTTCCACACCCCAGCTTTCTCAAAACCGCAAGTGGGGATGAAGTTCAACTCGTATCAGGAGGTGAAAGGATTCATCCGGGAGCATGCGGAGGCCAACTATGTCAAGTTCAAAAAGCTGGACTGCCGAACGGTAGAGTGCTCGCGCAAGCGGATGCCCAAGCGATACCTGAGCGATGAGCTACAATATGCCACGGTGACCTTCACCTGCATCCATCACGGTCAGTACAAGAGTAAGTCCAAGGGGATGCGACCAAGGCAGAAGACCCAGCGGATTGGATGCCCGGCCAAGTTCAGGTATAAATCGCTTTGCTCCTGGCACAAAATCTTCCAGTCAGAACGACAGCAATTCTGCTAATTTAGGATGAGAATTCACGTTGTGTATGGTTAACAAAAAGTATACTAAACTGCCTCAAATATGTAATTAGTACTCATCAGAAGCTGCCACACACATAAGCATTATTGACTGGCAGATTATCATTTGATATTCAGAAGCAAAAAAAAAAACCTGAAAGTGAACATGTGTCTCCATTGTCCAACTTTAGAATTCTAAAACTCTGGAAATTGGAACCTGAGGCAAAGTTGGAGACGAAGCTGTGGCACAGCAAGTCCCCTCCGATCCCCCCATACCCCCTCCATGGCCCCCTTCCACACTGAAAGGTGGACAACGGTGCAAACACTTACATGTAACTTCAGACTCTTTGGCTTCCCATTTTCAGGTTTGTAGCCACCCCTAGCGGCAAGCAACTGTTCCTTGCAGATTTTGTGACACAGCACAACCACCCCCATGATGAGGCAAGCTCCCAGTTTCTTCCCCAAAAGAGAAAAATAAATTACCAGAAGAGAGAGGAGGCTTCCAAACTACAGCAGGTAGATAAAATCACACAGGCTCCGCTTTAATTGCCAACAAAACCATGTTCTACCTTTGTCATGCAAACAAGATTAACAATTTTGAGATTATGGATTCTGTGCACAAGTACATCAGTGTAACCCATGAACAGTTACAAGGAGAGAGCTAGGGAAAGCTGGGTTTTGCACATTCCAGATAGAATTAGCAGGGGCGTAGCACGGTCATTTTTATTGGGGGGGTAACATTTTTGAAAAGGGCACTTGCACATCTGTTGTGAAAAGTAGACGGGGGGGGGGGGGGGGGGGGGGGGGGGGCTTGGACCATCTGTCGATGGGGGCGCTGTTCAAAACCGACAATTATGCACACAAAGGGCCAATATATGGTGCTTTTCAGGCGATACACGTGCAAAATTCTGAAAAAGGCACCCAAAACGGCAGATGCCTCAAAAAAGGGCACCACTTCTTTTGGAAAAGGGCACTTATTCAGAAAAAAAGAGCTCTCTTTACAAATTATTGGGGGGGGGGGAGGGGGTTAAGCCCGTTGAAAAAAGGGCATTTGAATGGAAAAAGGCAGTCTTTACAAAATATTGGGGGGATAAATACCCCCCCCCCCCCGGCTTCGCCTATGATTAGCCTGCGTAGTTCATTCTATATATATACAGTATGTACACGCTGTGTCCCTCTCAATGGAGGTATTGAAAGTGGTAAAAAAAGAGGGGAAAAACACAATCTGGTGTTTGTGCATAGACTCAATATTGGAAAACATTTCAGTTTTGCAAAATGTATCACAAAAGCTAGCTAGGGAGTAGGGAATACATGTACAATGTACATGTACATGTAGTTTGACAAGCAAATGGAAATTAAACAACAAATGTCTTACCTGTGTTTATCGGGGTCTGTTATGCTGTGTGACACTGTTTTTCCCCTAAAGTGTGACATAAATAATAGGAATATACCAAGATTAGAGAAATGTGCTGAAAACAAATCAGATTCTCGTAGGACAGATAATTGTTAGTAACATAAACAAAAACACTTGCACTGGCCAGATCATGCTATGTGGATATATTTTTATTCAGCCTGTGGACCTACTGTTGATATCTTTTAGGGGAAAAAAGTTGGAATGTACATTGCTAAAGGCACTCATCAGGCAAGTAAAAGACTTCCTTTGTTATCATTTTACTGGGATTATTTGTCACCGCAGAAAAAAAGGAAGAGATCAGCCCAGAAACACTCAATGCAGGAGGCAACCGAAAAGGCACCGACTACAACAGACATACACATTGTAGCTGCTTCACCTCGGCTAAGGTCACTCTACTCTACCAACATTCAATCTATCCTGGATTATCTGTCACAAGTTGAGGACCAAACCAGTGTCACTGAAGTAGTGGCGAATGCCAATGGGAAGGTTGTCGGAATCTACTACCAGGACCGGGAGATGATTAGAGTGTACGCATCTTTTCCCCATTACCTTGTAGTTGATGCCACATGTAAGTACAACAGCGTAGGAATGCCGCTGTACATCATGCTGGTTGAGGACAGCAACTGCGAATACGAGATCGTAGCTTTCTTCTTTCTGATCGCCTCCAATGCGGAAAGCTTCCGAGCAATGATGAGGAGATTCAAAAAGAACAACCCCAATTGGCCTGACCTTCAGGTCATCATGGCTGACGAGGGCTTCCCTGCCAAGGTCTTGGTGAAGCAGTTCCCAAGTGCAACTCTGCAGATGTGCGCGTACCAGGTACTGAAGAAGTTCAAGCAGGACACATCTAAGAAGCCGCTTGGCCTGCAGAAGGAGGAGGAAGCATTCTGCGAAAAGCTTATGCATAAGCTGGCAGCCTCCAAATCAGAAGCTGCGTACATGGAGAACTACAAGCAGCTCCTGAACACAGAACTTCAGACAATGATCAAGTACTACAACACCACCTGGCACAACAACCGACAAGAGTGGGTGGAGGGCCTCAAGTCCAGAAAGGGGGCCCTCATTGAGGAGGATCCTGAGAAACTGACAGCAGTCAGTAAAAAGCTGGAGGCAGTGTTGAAGAACTCGCCGACCTCGAAACAGGTCATGGCCAACTTGAAGAAGGTAGTAAAGAGTATGCGTGATGAGCGAGACAAAACTGCGGCTGCTATAATAGCAGAGAATGCTCCTAAGACCAATCCAGATGACTCCACAGTCAGTAAATTTCAGCAGTACCTGACCCCCTGCGCACTGAAGTATGTCTTGCAACAATTGCAGCTCAGCTGGGAGGTTGAAGCCCAGGCTAACATGGACAGCAAGTCCATGATCGTCAAGTCCAGCAAAGACAAGATGATAGTCAGTGCAGATAGTTGTCCCTGCCACCTTTGGCACTCTCTTTGCCTACCCTGCTGTCACATCTTTGCTGTGCGTCGCACCAAGGGCCTTCCCCTCTTTGCAAAGGAAGTCATTGGATCCAGATGGTCTCTTGAGTACTACAGGTCATGTAGCCGGCCACCAACCCAGAATGCTGACACTGCTCAAAGCATCGATGACCCTCAGAAACCACTTGGTCTTCTGTCTGACCACGAGAAATGCATCCAGGCATCTGAAATCACCAAGCAGTTGGCAACTGTTGTGTCGGAGGCTCCAGGGGAACAATTTGCAAGCCAATTGGAAGTCATCGAAAAACTGCTGACATGCTTTCAGAACGGCTCTTCTGTGAACATCATGGAAGAGGTTGGACAGCACACAATAGCCACCGAAGTAATTACTGAGAGTTTCCCTTATAAAGAGGACAACAGGATGGAAAGTTTGCAGGAGACACATGCAAAAGGCGATCTTGTCCCTGTGACATCATGAACAGCTAACAGCTTTTGAGAAGGATGAAGAATCAGTTGAACCTACAACTGTTTCTTACCATGGTTGCACCTACATGTACTTGTACTTAATTTATTAACCGGGCGGGCAAAAACATGCAACCAACGTTGGGACATACATCTCATTCCCTTCACAGACAGATGTGCGCACACATCGCGGGAGAGCAAGGCCATTATGTTCTGTACAAACTGCCGTGTATACACACCATTGTACACAATGTACATGCACGTATGTATGTATATAAGGCCAAAAAAAGTCTCCGGTTTCTGGTATGGAGCTTGCCCAAAAAGTGGTGCGGCAACGCGGCTTTTTTTTTTTTACCTGTTTTTTTTTGCTTTAAATGTCGGCTGATGACTGTAAATGGTGCCCGACTAAACTTAGTGCAAATATATGGGAGTCCAGAGAGGCCACATAAAGCTTATTCTCGATCATAATCCCATCTAAACACATGTTAAAATTGTACAGCAGCAGGATTCCAGTCAAACCAGTGAGTTTGGCGGTTTTGAGACATCATCTTTTACTGAAATGTTTCTCTTTTTTTTCATTTTGCCGACGCGCATGGCTACGGCGATGCGCGCGCATACCAGAAAATGGAGACTTTTTTTGGGCCTAATACACACACAACGTGGTGATCCTCAACTGTCGACCACACACACTGTGACCACGTTGGCATGAGCCCTGTTGAGTCCCTGGTTTATTCAAACAATATTACGGCCCATTTGTTGAGCCAGGCACCCGACTATGAAGAAACATATAAATACTGTAAGAGATTCCATCTTCACTTTAGTCATGATCATAAATTTGGCCAAAAAGCTGTCATGTTGTACTGACAAATTTCCTTTAAACGACTATAGAGTAAAGATGAGCCTTTCAAGAAATAAAAACGAAATGTTAAACAAAGCGTTTTCACAAAATAGATCGGTTTTTGTGTGGGAATTATTGGGGGGGGGGGTCATTGAAGGTGCTACTACACCGTAAGTGTATTTAAGCACATGGTAAAGTGCATTATTGCATGATAAAACGAAGCAAATACAGATTCTTGTCTAGAATTGTTCTTTTTGATAGTGGACAAAATGCACGTTTGGTATTGGGAAAAATGGGATACATTGTATTCTTTTTTTCATAAGTTTTAGTGTGTCAAGTTTGCTTGAAGATAAATTCGTTATCATGCTTGCGCTTGTGAAATGTAGTTCGTCTGTGTCCCACATACCACTCGGCCTTCGGCCTCATGATATTTAAGACCCAGACGCACTATATTCCGTGTTCCACATGCGCTTGCAGGATAACTAAAAATGAAACCCAAAAGCTGTGTTGGCATATTAAAGTTGCTGTACGCATGCTGTTCAACATTATTTTATCTAATATCTTTCATCTAACCAATTTAATTATTTTATATCTGAATGGCAAATTTTTTGTTTGATTTCTCATTTAAAATGTCTTGAATAAGTTTTGTACAGGGTGAGTCAAAAAAAGCGAAACCCAAATGTCGGGACTATTGTTTCAGTGAAGTTCTGCATGTAGCACTTTCAAAATCTTGGATATAAAAGTCCAATTCATAAGCTTTCTTTTAGTACAAGAATCATTCAAATCACGTATGTACTTTTCAAGTTACGAAATTTTAAACACAACCACCGTTTTAAAGTTCTGTCCACGGATCACAAAAAAAAAGTGTGCGTTCTTACAGCAAAAGAAAACAATTCACGCACATCCCTATGTGATTTGTTTTCGTTTTTGCTGAAAGAACACTAACTTTCTTGTAAAGATTGCCCTTTTCCATACAATGCTTTTTTTCATTAGCGCCCCCCCCCCCCCATCCAATATTTTGTGGAGAGTGTTTTTTTCACACAAGTGCCCTTTTGAACAAAATTAATTTCTTTAATGACGCATCGAAACTTCTGATGATTTCAATACACGAGTTCCCGCGTCAAATGGTAAGATTTCTACTTTGACGCCACAAAAATGTAGTAACCATTCATGTGCTGATGATTGTACTTGACGTGTATTCTACGGAATGAGCAGTTAATTACTCTTCTCTATAAGCTGAAGTTTAGCATACAAAAAAAAGTAACAACAAAGCTCGAAGATGAGAATGTTTCTATTTAGTAGGCCAAGTGGTAGATCTACTGCTGCGGTGATGCCACAATATCCTTGAATGTCACGTACAGTTCATGGTAGCTCCCGGAGATAAGCAGAACAGTTCTTATGATGTTCAATGTCAGTGAATGTCAAAGCTTTCAAAGAGGGAATTGAGCACCTAGATCTCCTCAGCTTAGTTAATAAGGCCCACTTTAAAATTTAGTTCACTGCGCCAACCACTCCGACCTGTGCGAGATAACCACTTAAGAGGTGTTTGCACAGTAACAACCAGAACCAGAACCAGATTGAAGCACGTGAGAAGTCACTGACGGTGTGGTATACATGTATGAAAGTGCAATGTTAAACTTATATGATTGAACTTTATTTGCAGTCATTATTTACAAAACGTCAAATTGTGCAGTGCCTGAACAGACTGACGGCTTTATATTAACAAACAAATTGTGACGACGTGCACGTGTGAAAACTAGCATTGGCGGCTATTGTTATCTTCTTTCCAACTCGCAGTTTACAACTGGAAGTTTCCATCATTAATTACAAGTCGAAATAGTAGCAGTTATCGGATGCCTTGAAGTCGGTGCCATCAGCCACAAGACGAGTGACGTCATTGAGTTGACACATATCTTTTCTTTGTTGCTGCTCTGCCAGAGATTGAAGGAGCGGCATCGGGGATCGGCCCGGCACGCCCAGCCACAGGCAAGCACGCCATTTACCGTCAGATTCTTGATGTCGTGATGAAGGAGGCATTGCTGGGGGACACGCCCATCGGGACCGGTAATAACCAAGGGCGGATCCAGAACACAATTTTTTTGGGGACCCCCCAAAAAACTTGCCCCCCCCCCAAAAAAAAGTGGGTCAAAAAATTACGGCGTGGGGTTCGGGTCCGCATTATAAGGGCCCCGAAAAATTGGGTTCATTTTTTTTGGGGGGGGGGGGGGGGGGCTGGATCCGCCCTTGTAAATCCCTCCCCCCCCCACCCCAAAAAAAAATATGGGTCCCAAAGACAATGGGGTCAGGGAAACAACTGTTAATTTTGTTTAACCCACTGAGACAACTCCCTTTAAGTCAGTATAGAACAATAATCGGTTTAATTGTTTGACAGAAACTAAAAATACATTACTTGCGTTGAAAGATTGTGGTTTTGATGCTCCTTTTTATGTTGGACGATTGTGAAGAGGAAAAACCCAATCTGTAAATCTCGCACAACAGTCTGACATGCAGGGGGTCGCCAGGATTTTTTTCCAGAGGGGGCAAAGCACCCCCCCCCCCCCCCCCCCCAAAAATCCATTTTTCCCACCATATTCTCGATTTTTCATTTGTTTTTTAGGGTGGGCAGGGACATTTCCCCCCCCCCCTCCCCGGCTACCCATTAAATTAACAGCAATTTGACTTCGAGCCTCTTTTTCTTCTTTTCCTCCCCTGTTTTCTCTCCCCATTTTCACATTTTTTTTGGGGGGGGGGGAGGAGAAGGGGGGGGGGCTTGTCCGGGGGGTGTGGGGAGTGCCTCCCTTGCCCCCCCCCCCCCCCCCCTTCATCTCGCGACCCATTTTGGCGTAAACTGAGGGGGGGGGGGGTGGTTCCTAGATGGGGAGGGACTGGGGCAGGGCAGAATAATGATCCGGCACGGTCCGCTCGGTCGTCAGACACACAAACACTAGACCTCGGTCACACCGGTTTCCAAATTAAACCTTGGTTGCCGTACGTGTACCGTGACTTCTTTGCAATTTTTACAAAAGACCTTGTACTATTATTTGCTTTAGGCCCAAGCTAGTTTGGCGGTTGAATTGGACTACCAAGACTCTTTTTGTTAATTGCCTAATCCAGGTGCGGGGAACATTTCATACGAGGCATGTTTGTCGCACCCTCCGTCCGGACGCTCTTTTCAATATTTTTTTCAGCCTCCTGCACGTCCCCGGCTAGCTGGCCCCGCCCACCATGCATGTGAAAGCCGCCTCGCCTCGTGGTGGCGCTGTGCAACTGCAAGTTCCCAAAGGTGGCCAGTGGGGGGCACTGGTCGTCATTTTCTGTGCTCTGGGACAGTGTGAAAACTGTCTGTTTGTCAAGTTCCTCTTTCATAATTGTGTTGAAAAAGATGCTTCCATTCACGCTTGATTCCTGGCAAATGTGTGATTAGTAAGTAAGGTAGGCCTATGTTGTAAGATATGTTGGAAATTACGGAGTAATTGCAGAATACCCCGCCACTCACTCGGAATTAAAATACACCCCTAAATTCTCTGGCTACGAGTACGAGGTTGGAATCACTAGAAAAGAAACAATTCAAGTCCATGCTAGACCCGTGAACGTGGCGTTGTATACAACGCCACGCGCTTCCCTCGGGTAAATACAAGCGAAAGCATTCTATCTTTTGATCCGCTACATATGACTATGTATAATTTCGCCCATGGGTGAATCACTTACTTGTTGGGCTTCCTGTGAATATACGCGAGTGTTGGATCTGTCATTGCCAAGAAATTTGATGTAAAATACGGCACAACTTTGTCACAACGAATGTTTCAAAATGATCAGAAATCTAAGACAGGCATGACACTCTGGTACCCCGAGTTCCGCATGCGTAAAACGGTTGGAGTATCACGAGTGGGTACCAGACTAACCGTCTTACATGGCAGGCTGACCGTAATACCATATATATTTCTGCTAAATCCACTTCGAAAGTCTGTCAAATTACCCAGTATAATTGCTGGTCCATTGTGCAAGGGTTTGTTTCAGGGATCTTTCAATAAATGAAGGTTTTTCAAACCAAATGTGCCATATTTCTCTAATCTTTTTCATTTTTCCTTCATCTTCATAATTCTGCCGAAAAAAAAATTCTGCTGATTTTCTGTACAACTCATTTTTGTATGCAAATATTCTGTCAAATGTAGCCGAAATTCGGCTAGAACGGTCACTCCATCTTTGTAACCGCGGATCGCAATAGAGTCTTTTTACTATAGACTGAAGCGTGGCTATGTATATAGCCACGTTCACGGGTCTAGTCCATGCCAGCTACGCGGATACTGAGTGGGGGTCCATTATTTGAGAACGAAGCTACACAAACATGACAAAAGGAATGGGAGTTGCTGAAAAAAATTCTAAGTCCAAACCAACCACCCTGTAAGTGTAAGCTGTTGGCGGCTACGCTGTCACGAAGTGGGAGTGCAATGGAGCATGACGCATAGTACATAGCGCTGAGAATGTTTATTGAGGTCAACCAACCGTGACCTCGTAGCCGGCTACGAGGTGGATAGATCGAGTGGCGGGGTATTCTGCAATTGTGCCGAAATGACTGACAGTGACAGCCGATCAACTTATTATTTTGATATTATTAGTGGCTATCGTTACGGCAGCCGTAACGCATTTCCGATTTTCTATCGTTACGGTAGACTGCAACTTTTATAAAAACATAAGGAGAAAATATAAAATTAGAAGGAAAAAAGTGAATTTGAACGTTATGAAATTCGGACTTTATTTCCCTTTTAAAAAAAAATCAGGTTAGAAAAGGAAAAAAATTCGAGTGCAAAACTGAGATGCGAACCTGCAACCTCGTGGTGCAAAATCCTACCCTCCATCGACTGAGTTGTTGCACTGCTCGCTAAAATGTGGGGAAACAAATAATTATATACCTGCGTGCGTATCAAAAAAGTATCGTAGAGGGCGCTAAACAACGGCTGCCGTAAAGATAGCCACTTTGTATTATTAATCATGACATGTAATGTTCGCTGGCTCAAGACTTCAAGTGGTAATTGGTTTGTGCACAAACAAAATTTGTGTAAACAAAGCAATTACCATGCGCACATGTAGTCCCATAAATGTGACTAATACTGGACTACCTCCGTATTAACGGTCACACATCCCACATATGATCTGAGTACTCCTAGAACTATGATGCTCCGCAGAGCGGAGCCTCATAGACAGCTTACCCCACAAAATTATTAATTGTTTGCTTCTACAAAACACCAACTAAGTACAAAAACGTCCATCACAATCAAGCCATTTCCCGCAGAACCGCTGCATAGTTTGCCCCTAAACTCTGTACTATAACTCTTGACATACTCACGTTATGTGCACCCAACAAATATCGGTGGATTCTGTCGGTTTTTAGGCCAAAATGATGAAAAATATGTCCTTTCCGCACTGAATCAACCTGACACTTGAAACGTGCATGCAGAATGATCGATCGATGATTTTCGGTTGGCTCGGAGCGCGCCGCGGGGGGTACGTACTTGCACTTGTACGCATGCGCATACTATCATTCTGCTCCTACCGTACCCAACGCGGCGCGCTCCGAGCGAACCGAAAATCATTGAACGATCATTCTGCGTGCACGTTTCAAGTGTTTCAAGACTTTCGGCTGCCACTGTTCACGAAAGCGTCGTGCTGCATGACGTCATGGGTTGTGATAATCACTCCTTCACTAGCTTGCATCAAGTTTTGACAATGTGCATTGGTGCGGCTGTTGCCTGTCATTCAGCTTTGGTCAAAAGTACGCTTGATACATGCACTGTGTGGAATATCAAATAGACAAACAGTCCTGGCCGGGTACCCATTTTTTTTCTCCAAGCCAGTACCTTCGTTCTACCCATAAATGTACACACCTAAAAGTAAAACTGAGGAATGTTAATACTCACTTTTCAAAGAAAATTCATCTAAAAGTGAAAGTGTCTTGGCACTACCTTTCTCAATCCTGCAAAATAAAACTTGAACCATCCTTTTGGCGTTTGAAGGATCCTTGAAGGTTGGGGTTCAAAATGAAGGATTAAATTGTTCCTTTTTTCTGATCAATTCAGGTGAAATGGCTAGCCGTTCAAAAGCAGCAAATCCGTGCCCCATGGAAGAGACTTCGCATGTCCGCATCCCAACTTCCTCAAAACCCCAAGTGGGGATGAAATTCAACTCATACCTGGAGGTGGAACGGTTCATCCGGGAACACGAGGAGGCCAACTATGTCAAGTTCAAAAAGCTGGACTGCCGAACGGTGGAGTGCTCGCGTAAGCGGGCGCCCAAGCGATATCTGAGCGACAAGCTACAATATGCCACAGTGACTTTAAGCTGCATCCATCAGGGTCAGTTCAAGAGTAAGTCCACGAAGTTGCAGCCAAAACTGGAGACCCAACGGATGGGTTGCCAAGCCAAGTTCAGGTATGTTATCATAAATCATTCGCACTTTGCACATAATTTTCCAGTTGGAACAAAAGCAATTCAGCTCTTTTACGATGGGAATTCACACTCAATTTGGTTAACAATAATCAAATTAAACGCCTACATTTTTTAACAATATGTAGCCAGTACGCCGAGTAGATTCCATTTAACTTCAGACTCTTTGGCTTCCCATTTTCAGGTTTTCAGCCACCCCTAGTGGCATGCAACTGTACCTTGCAGACTTCATCACACAGCACAACCACCCCCATGATGAGGCAAGCTACAGGGGTCTCCCCCAAAAGCGAAAAGTCAATGACCAGGAACGCGAGGAGTCCTTCAAACTACTTCAGGTAGATCTATAGGTCCAACAGAGGATGTTTATTTTTGGAAAATCACACAGGCTCATTATACACGTTGCTCAAAATGCTTATCGGACAACTAGAAGACTTTCTTTGTTGTCGTTGAGACTGGCTGATCAAAGACCGCCATAATCAAATTGGGCTGCAAAAGTGGTTCAGCTGCATGCGATTGAGCAAAGGTATACCATGAACCATGCTCTCATCTGCCCTCTGCTAACAAGCCCATGCAGCGCAAGAGATCTTGCGGAGTTCAATGAATATGTGAAAAACTGTGTCAGCAAGTGGGAAACCATATTGTAAGTTACTTAAAAGGCTCTCAAAGAAGAGTATCTAGACTGGTTTCATTTGTCATTGCAGAAAAGAAAAAGAGGATCAGCCCAGACAGAAGAAAATCTACACGCCATGGAAGAGACTTTAAGTGACCACATCCCAAACTCCTCAAAACCCCAAGTGGGGATGAAGTTCAGCTCGTACGATGAGGTGGAACGGTTCATCCAAGAGCACGAGGAGGCCAACTATGTCAAGTTCAGAAAGCTGGACTGCCGCACGGTGGAGTCCAACCGCAAGCGGATGCCTAAGCGATACCTGAGCGACGAGCTACGATATGCCACGGTGACCTTCAGCTGCATCCATCACGGCCAGTACGCGAGTCAGTCCAGGGTGCGACACAGACAGAAGTCCCGACGGATCGGATGCCAAGCCAAGTTCAGGTATAAATCACTTGTTCTTTGCACAAAATCTTCCGGTCAGAACAGCAGCAATTCCGCTCTTTTAAGATGTGAATTCACGCTCAATTTGGTTAATATTAACCAATTTAAACACCTACAATATCTAGCCGGTACTCATCAGAAGCTGCAACCTGAACCAGAATGTATGCACACATGAGTGGTGTTGATTGCCATATTATGAGTTGATGTTAAGTAACACCAAAAAAAAGGACCTGGTAGTGAACATGTGTCTCCATTCTCCAACTTGAGGTTTCTAAATTCTGGAAATTGGAACCTGAGGCAAAACTGGAGTCTAAGCTGTGGAAACGTAGCTCCCATCCAACCCCCCCCCCCCAAAAAAAAAAACTCCCCCCCCCCTCTTTTAACTAAGGTGGACAAATGTGCAAACACATTTCACTAGATTTCACTTGACGTGAGACTCTTCGGCTTCCCATTTTCAGGTTTGCAGCCACCCCTAGCGGCAAGCAACTGTACCTTGCAGATTTTGTGACACAGCACAACCACCCCCATGATGAGGCAAGCTTCCGGTCTCTCCCCCAGAAGAGAAAACTAAACGATCAGGAAAGAGAGGAGGCCTTTAAAATACTGCAGGTAGCTTAGTTTTGGAAAATCACACAGGCTCTGCTTAATTGCCAACAAATGTACTGTCTTTATCATGCACGAAACAGTCTGCACCTGCTACATGCATTTGTCCCTCGCATGTTGGAGGTGTCGAAAAAATTCGAAAGTGAGGCTTGGAATGCTCTCCAATCATAAAATAGTCTGGCGCCATCCCATTCAATAGTTTACAATTTATAAAGTAGATTCAGGGAACACAATCAACACGATCAAAAATAAAATAGTCTGGCGCCATCCTGTTCAATAGTTTACAATTTATTATGTAGATTCAGGGAACACGATCAACACGATCAAAAATAAAATAGTCTGGCGCTATCCCATTCAATAGTTTACAATTTATAAAGTAGATTAGGGAACACAATCAACACGATCAAAAATAAAATAGTCTGGCGCCATCGTGTTCAATAGTTTGCAATTTATAAAGTAGATTAGGGAACACAATCAACACGATCAAAAATAAAATAGTCTGGCGCCATCCCATTCAATAGTTTGCAATTTATAATATAGATTCAGTGAACACAATCAATACGATCGAAAATGGCTTCCCGTGAATAAGGTCTATAGATATTGTTTTGGAAAAAAAGACCCCAACAACAGATTTCTTTCATGTCTTGTTAAGGGTCTATTAGGCCAAAAAAAAAAAAAATCGGTCTCTGGTCAGACCAAAGTTCCGGAATTGACGCGGCCACGCGGCTTTTTTTTTTTTTTTTTGCTTTTTTTTTTTTTCTTCAAGCTCGGATTGTACAGACAAGGTGGGTACTATTTTGCTTTTTTGGTGTCCTCTTGTACATTGGTGTCCTCCATAATTTGCCTTGGTGCTTTCGATCATTTGCCTTGGTGCAATTTCCCATTCCTTGGTGCTCTTTGGTAAAAAAAAAACGGAGGAGGTGCGAAAATAGAGGGCGCTGTTGGAGCTACCGCGGAACATTTTTGAAAAAAAAAGATCGACGCGCATGATTAAAATCGACGCGCGCGCTGACCAGAGACCGACTTATTTTTTTTTTTGGCCTTATGCACTTGGACACTTTTCTTTTTTTTACCTCAAGTTGGATATTAAAAATAGGAACGCACCAAGATTACAGAAATGTGCTGAAAAATCTGATTCTTGTCGGACAAATACTTGGTGGTAATGTGAACGAAAACACTTGAACTGGCTGTATCATGTCATGTGGATATATTTTTTACTCTGCCTGTATATTTTTTTGGAGAAAAGTTAGAGTACACGTTGCTAAAAACAATCATCAGGCGAAAAGAAGATTTCGTTGTCATTTAGACTGGTATCATTTGTCATTGCAGAAAAAAGGGAGAAGAGCGACCCTGAAACACTTACAGGAGGCAACCGGAAAGGCGGTGACTACAAGAGACGTACACAACCTGGCAGCTGCATCTCGGCAAAACTCACTCTGCTACACCAACATTAAGGCTATCCTGGATTATCTGTCACAGGTTGAGGAACAGACCAGCGTAATTGAAGTAGTGACAAATGCCGACGAGAGGGTTGTTGGAATCTACTACCAGGACCGGGAGATGATTAGAGTGTACGCATCTTTTCCCCATTACCTTGTAGTTGATGCCACATGTAAGAACAATAGCTTACAAATGCCGCTGTATGTCATACTGGTTGAGGACAGCAACTGCGAATACGAGATTGTAGCTCTCTTCTTTCTGATCGCCTCCAATGAGGAAAGCTTCCGAGCAATGATGAGGAGATTCAAGGAGAACAACCCCATTTGGCCTTGCCTCCAGGTCATCATGGCTGACAAGGACAACTCTACCAAGATCTTGGTGGATGAGTTCCCTTGTGCATCTCTACAGATGTGCCTGTCCCAGGTACTGAGGAAGTTCAAGCAGGACACATCTAAGAAGCAGCTTGGCCTGCAGAAGGAGGAGGAAGCATTCTGCGAAAAGCTAATGCGCAAGCTGGCAGCCTCCAAATCAGAAGCAGTGTACATGGAGATCTACAAGCAGCTCCTGAACACAGAACTTCAGACAGTGATCAAGTACTACAACACCACCTGGCACAACAACCGACAAGAGTGGGTGGAGGGCCTCAAGTCCAGAAGTGTGACCCTCAAGAAGGAGGATCCTGAGAAACTAAAAGCAGTCAGTGAAAAGCTGGTGGCAGTGTTCAAGAACTCCCCGACCTCGAAAAAGGTCATGACTAACTTGAAGAGGGAAGTTGAGAGTCTGCGTGAGGAGCGAGACAAAACTGCGGCTGCTCTGCTAGCAGAGAATGCCCCTATAACCAATCCAGACAACACCACGGTCAGTAAGTTTCAGCAGTACCTGACCCCCTGTGCTCTGAAATATGTTTTGCGACAACTGAAGCTCAGCTGGAAGGTGAAAGTCAAGGCTGATATTGACAATAAGTCCATGACGATCACATCCAGCAAAGACAACATGATAGTTTGTGTGGACAGCTGCCCGTGCCGTCTCTGGCAATCCCTGTGCCTACCCTGCTCTCATATCTTCGCTGTCCGTCGCACCAAAGGGCTTCCTTTCTTTGCAAAAGCAGTCATTGGATCCAGATGGTCTCTTGAGTACTACAGGTCGTGTAGCCGGCTTTCAGCCCAGAACACAGACACTGCTCAAAGTATTGATGCCCTGCAGAGACAACGGCTCCGTCTTCTGTCCCGCCACGAGAAATACATCCGGGTGTCTAAAATCACCAAGCAGCTGGCAACTGTTATGAGTGAGGCTCCAGCAGAACAATTTGCAAGCCAACTGGAAGCAGTCCAAAAAGTGCTGACTTGCTTTCAGAACGGCTCTTCTGTCAACATCATGGAAGAGGTCGGACAGCACGCAATAGACACCGAAGTAATTACTGAGAGTTTCCCTTATCAAGAGGACGTCAGGATGGAGAGCTTACAAGAGACACATACACAAGACGAACAGACAACAGCTTGAAGAACCAGTTGAACCTACAAGTGTTTGTTAATTACACGGTACAAGTAACCTATGCAATTATATGGGTTGAGAGTTTTCACTAGGAAGATATTTTGCTTGTTTTAGGTGACTGTTCCAAAATTATTATTTTCGTTCACTAACAGTTCATTTTCGTATATATCTTGTAGAACCTAGAGAAATACTTTACCGATGTCCGGATTGTATAGTGCTTGCAGCTTAATGAACAGCTACATCGATGGAAGTAATTCATGATTAAAATAAAAAAGCAAAGTTCTTCTGCAGCAGTTCTTCCAAGTCGAACAGTATGGCTATAAATGCGTGTTCATTTTCATTGAAGGCCGAATTGAGAAAGTACAGTAAAATCTCTATAACTAAAACTCTGATACCTCAAAACAACTGTTAAGTCAAACAAAGAATCCATTCCCCTCAGTAGAATAACAATGATGTACAACCCTGCTAAACTCAAAACTCTGTTTAAGTCAAATTTTGAACCTGTTCCCAAGTTGAGGTTTGGCTTTATCGAGATTTCACTGTTTTATAATAATACTCCGAGCATTGATGGCAAGTCTGTCTTCGGCTGAAATCTATTGTTACGATTAAAATAATAGCAGTGTTCGGTTGCCTCAAAGTCGGTGCCATCAGCCTGAAGACAAATGACGTCATTGAGTTGACATTTTGGCCCGGCACGTTGCAGGCAAGCACGGCATCGACCGTTAGATTAATTCTTGATGTTGTGACGCAGGCAGACACGCCGGGACCGGTGAAAGTGTAGTACATGTAGGTTGGTATCATAATAGAGGCGTACGTAATCGATCCAACCCCATCCCTTGTCGAGAGATATTCGCATTTACGTCAGTTGGTTGTGCTTGGATAACCCTCATTCCAGTTGGCGAATTGTGCAGGTTGTTGACTGCACATCCAGACGCCCACTTGAGCCGCATCCATGCAACCAATCCATGGAACAGTATAAACCTCTTTCACCGTGACTCCCCGCGGATGAAGGTTTTCCTCGTGAACTGGGCACAACCAGGAGCCAATTTTATTGAGCTTCTATTAAAGCAAAAACATTTGTATAGCACAAAAAAGTCTGGCTTATAAAAGCAGGTTACCAGCCAAAACTCCATGTTATTTTCATGCTAAACAAACAACAGCTGAATACCAATTACAAGGGTAATATCAAAAACAAAGACCCCTAAAAGAAAGACCAAAGACCCACCCGAAAACGAAGACCCTTTGTTTTCGAGTGGGTCTCCAGTCTTCGGTCTTTGTTTTTAGGGGTCTTTGTTTTCGATACTACCCAATCACAAGCAATATACATCACATGGCAATTTGGTTGGTAATCCTGTTTTTGCCAAGGCACAATTTTCATACTAAGCACATTTTTGTGTCTTGCAGTCCCATGACACTGGCCCCAGGCTACTTGTAACAAGGTTGCTGCCATTTCACTTTCAGCCAGCCAGGGTAAAGACAGCTTGCTGCAATTACCACGCCATGCTTGTGTTTAGCTCACTGGCTATTTGGCGCCTGTGACCATTTTTTTTTAAAAACCAAACTGCGGTGCATATCTTAAACACAGCGGACCCATAAAAACAAAAATGGAAATTACCTAATAGAATACAAATTGTCCAAAAATCGTTCCCCAGAGTAGTTAGGTAGAGAGAAACGCTCGTTTGTTGTCGTACCTGTTCGTCAAAACCGAACGAAAAGTGCCATAATTAACCGTTGGTGTTCAATGCCTATTGACCTTTCGATGAAACTGATCTTTTTTGTTGTCTACAATTACAAAAGGGTTCTACTGTCGTGGTATGGAAACGCTGGTGTCATTACCAGACTTTTTAAAGTACGCTCACCCTGAAACTACCGGCACCGCAATTAAGCCGGATTTTTTTGTAGAGGGAGGCAAAGCACAGCTAAATTTCCCCACGAAATCCCAGTACTTTTCCAGCATATTCCCGATTTACCATATTTCGAGTTTTTGACAACACTTTGGATTAGTTCAGTGCTTTATATCTGAGACCACTAATTACAGTACCTTTCAACATTATACGTCCAGATTAATGTTTAGTATGGGATGGATGGCGATATTTTGTAAGAAAGGGCCTGGTCATTCACATAATAATTATTATGCCACGTTGTATTAAAGCCGCGTCGCCGCACCACTTTTTGGGCAAGCTCCATACCAGAAACCGGAGACTTATTTTTTTGGCCTTATCGCTGAATAAGAGCCTACAGGTATAAAGGGTTTGCCCCGGTGTTTCTGGCAGTGGCAGCAGTGGTCTACATTTCAGCACGGACGACCCCCGGTACTCCCGATCCCCTGTAAAAATTCCTGGAGGCGCCCGAGTTGCTCTTAATTCGAAAGTTAACATTAATTAATTGATTACTTGTCATGGGCCAAATTTTTTGTGCATGCCTCATTGAAAAAGCACAAAAGTAATGTAATGCTAACAAATTATCAATTCAATTTGAAAATCTATTTTCAAGGTGCCACACCCAAAAAGCACCCATAGCAATTCTAGCATTCTCTGCAGAACGGGACCGTTGGGCCGACTCTGTAGTCTCTGTGTCTCACAATCGAATGTTTGCATATTTATATTATATTAATGTTAAGAAAACATCTGAATATTTATTTTGCATAATTATTTGAGCACATGCGCGACCGAGTTTTGATTGAATGCCACTATAATGAACACGCGCCCTCTCCACACCGGCCCACGTACCGACATGTACGTATACGTGTACGTTTGTTTATGGTGTAAATCGAGGATTTTCTTTTGTTCCTCCTCCCTTTTGCTTTGTTTGTACTGTAACTTTTTCGCAACAGCTCTCATTGGTTTTGTACACGTTTTCTTATCGAGGTCGTCCTCGATTTGGTTCCTGTCCTCGATTCACTGATGATGTACGCACGAGAGTGTGTCCTCGATGTACGTACGTACGTACGTCGTGTACTGTGCCATGCAAAAAAAAATAATGTGAACGCCGCCTCGTGGTGGCGCCGTGCAACTCGAGTCATGGCATATGTATGGTAAGGTAACTTCCTCCCGGCCCAGGCTTGAAACACCGGAGAGTTTTCGCTACAATTTTTGTTGCTAAACAGTGACAAAGATGCTCTCACTCACGCTCGATTCCAGAAAAACGTGTCGTTAATTTGTGTAAGTTCACGGAAGATTCAATTTGGAAAGAATGTTGCAATCTGACGCTACTTAAGTTAAGTCATACGTCATGTAATTGTAAGTTAAGCGGTTGTGTCGTCAAGCTATGCGGTCCTTTTTCTACGCATTTACAATGTACATCTGTAAGACTGTACATTCAATTTGTGTGTGAGACAACGCGCGCGCGTATGCAAGTGTAATACCTGTGCAGATGTCACGCCCCAACTATCGCATCGGTCCCAACTATAGTTGGGACTGTCCCAACTATAGTGCGGCAGTTGGGTCGGCCCAACTATAGTTAGGACTGGAGTGTGCCGGATGCTTCATGCTTGATAGATCTTGTTGGATTAAATGTTCCGCGGCGCTGGCACCGTACCGTGTATTCGTCGTGCATGCATGCCGCAAGGCTGGCCGGTCACGTGGTACTGCCTAGTTGGATGAGTTGTCCAGCTGCTGGGTTGATTGTCCAGCAACATTTTGCAAAATTCAAAGATTGCCATGGCCGGCCAACTAGTATAGATGGGCCCCACCCATAGCTAATGTCAAAGGTCCCAAGTAAAGTCGGACAGTATGTAACAGAGCTGTAGGGAATGTTTTATAGTCGTCGTACATCAATGTAAACTATAGTTGGGACCGCCAAATAAAAATATTGCGATGGCCCAACTACAGATGGTCCCCACCCATAGATAATTTCATTGGTCCCAAGTAAAGTCAGATGTGTATTAGAGTTGTAGGGAATGTTTTATAATCGTACAACAATGTACACTATAGTTGGGACCGCAAAATAAAAAGATTGGAGTGGCCCAACTATAGATTCGCCCCATCAATAACTAATTTCAGTGGTCCCCAGTAAAGTCAGACGTGTATCAGAGCTGAAGGGAACGTTTTACAGTTGTACATCAATGTAAACTATAGTTGGGACACCGCAAAATAAAAAGATCGGAGTGGCCCAACTATAGATGGGCCAGCCCAACAATGGAACTTACAGTTGGGACCGTCCCAACTATAGTTGGGACAGGCCCAACTATAGTTGGGCCAGCCCAACTGTGGAACTACAGTTGGGACAGGCCCAACTATAGTTGGGACAGGCCCAACTATAGTTGGGACCGATGCGATAGTTGGGGCGTGACACAGATAATGGAGGGTCGAGTACTCGAGGATACAAAGACAAAGGAGAGTCAAGACAAAGTTCCTAACAAAATTGGAAAAGTTTCTCGGTCCAAGAATACACGAGCCTCATCATAGTTCTAGGAGTAGATTAATGTACCGTCATTTTTGCAGTGACTGACCTTCAATTTATCCTGTTCATTGAGAATATGACTTATGAGATGATAAATGTAAGGCAGTGTATATTTTGCCGGAGACGGCAAACCTTTAGTAAACGTTAGTTTGCCGGATATGCACTGAACATGCGCAGTTATAGCTGGAGTTACCCAGCCCTGAGTTTTATCATTGGGTTGTCATCTACATGTAGGACAACCCAATGATAAAACTCAGGGCTGGGTAACTCCAGCTAGCGCAGTTACTGGTTTTTTGTACTTAAACATTTTCCGGTGACAAATTTTAGTCTGGCTTCATGCCAAAATTATTGTTGTAACCTCGTATTCACAAGATGGGATTCAGACCATTTTATAATTTCGGACTTTATTTCCCTTTTAAAAAAAATCCTCCAGAGCCACAAATCTGAAAAAGAAAATGTAATACTCTGCAAAAAAATGTTTGAGACATGTTAAAATAATAAAAGAAGAATATTCTTATTTATTTGGGGATGAGAAAAAAAACCTTAAAAATGTGCTGCGGTCGGAATCGAACCCGGGTCATCCCGCTTACTAGAGCCTTTGCTTAACCACTACACCAAACATGCTACACAACTTTTGTTGGGAATTTAATACATCTTATAATTCAGCCCTATCTTAAAGAGTACAGCGCCCTCTGTTGATATGGATTGCCGCCGGCAAACCTTTAGTAAACGTTAGTTTGCCGTCATTACCTCCGGCAAAATATCCACTATCTAAATGTAAATGAAGAAATAAGCAGCGTCAGGTTGCCACATTCTTTCTATCCGTTAGTAAATTAAAAATGATTTTAAAGATGTCGTAAAACATGTTCAATTTGGCCGCTCGCAGATATGTATTTCCCACCATGCGGCCGGTCTTAAAATTGGTTTGTCGACTAGAGCCCCATTGTTCTAGCGGTAGGCCTAGTAGTCCTATAAATGTGACTGAAATACTGGACTACCTCCGTATATCAGTCACAGAGCCACGTACGGCCTGTGAGCGGAGCGTCCCATTAATAGGGGAGCCGAAAATTAATTAAAAGATCGAAATTATTTTGTCAGCAGAAAATCAACCCAGCTATAGTATGACTGCTAAATAGCACAAAATCGTTAAATTCGGTACCTGCAGAGGTCTAGTTATCCAAAAAATCATGGTAATTCGTCAAAGAATGCAGACGGTTTTGAGCAAACATGACGTCGCTGATATGTTTCCCGGCCACCTTAATACTATCAAGAGACATATCAGCGACGCCATGCTTGCTCAAAACCGTCTGCATTCTTTGACGAATTACCATGATTTTTTGGATAACTAGACCTCTGAAGGTACCGAATTTAACGATTTTGTGCTACTTAGCAGTCATACTATAGCTGGGTTGATTTTCTGCGGACAAAATAATTTTGATCTTTAATTAATTTTCGGCTCCCCTGGCAATGGGACGCTCCTCTCACAGGCCGTACGTGGCTCTGTGACTGATATACGGAGGTAGTCCAGTATTTCAGTCACATTTATGGGACTATAGTGGTAGGCCCTTTAATAGTACAATAAACTTGCACAAGTTGGGTGCGCCATGTTCAAAGTATTTTCTAACAAAAGTATAATATTTTCTAACGGTAATCAGGTGAAATGGCTAGTGGTTCAGAAGAAGAGGTTGTCCACATCCCATCACCTGAATTGGGGATCAAGTTCAACTCCTACGAGGAGGTGGAACGATTCATCCGGATGCATGAGGAGGCCAACTTTGTCAAGTTCCTCAAGCTGGACTCCCGAACGGTGGAGGGATCACGCAAGCGACTGCCCAAGCGATACCTGAGCGATGAGCTCAAATATGCCACGGTGACCTTCGGCTGCATCCATCGGGGTCATTACAAGAGTCAGTCCAAGGGACTGCGACCAAGACAGAAGACCCAACGGATGGGATGCCAAGCCAAGTTCAGGTACATCGTCAGACCCCCTAAAGCTACGCAGTCCTTTTTCTACGCATTTACCTTAAATTTGTGTGTGACAACGCGCGTGCGTATGCAAGCGTTACCTGCGCAGATAATGGAGGGTTGAGGATGCATAAATCACTCGCTCTTTGCGCAAAATCTTCCAGTCTGAAAAAGTAATTCTGCTCTTTTTATGATGGAAACTTTGGTTAATGAAATGCTTAAATGTGCAGCTGGTACTCATCACAAGCTGCCGACTGCACCAGAATGCGTGCGTCACAAGTAAGATATGTAGACGTTGGGCATTGTTGCTGGCTCTATTATGAGGTTATGTTCAGAAGCCAAAAGTGGAGCGGATAGTGAACATGTGTCTCCATTCTCCAGCCTGAGGTTCCTAAAATAAGGAAATTTGAGCCTAATGCCAAAGTTGGAGACAAAGCTGAGGGGCGGCAAGCGGTTTTTTTTTTGCACATCATGCACCCTTACAAGTAACATGAGTATTTATCACGCTGTGTTGATGGAAGACACTTTAAGGTTCGCGTAGTGTTTTCACTTGAATTAAACATATCCCAACCAACAAAAATATTTGATGAAAATGGACATGGGTTCGAACCACATATCTTGCAATCCATGTTTAATTCAAGTTATTCAACTATCCACTAGGCCACTGTGGCAGCTCGACGAAAGCCGCTCTTTGAAATGCTTTAATGTACATGCATGACTGAGTGATAGCAATGGTGTGACGTCATTGTTTTTTTCTTATGAATAAACATCCAACTAGCTGAATAATCATGATCCATTGACGATGTGTGCTGCAGATAAAAACACCGCAGGCAGGCGGCAACACCCCTCTATCCCCCTTCCCTTCCCCCCCCCCCCCCAAAAAAAATAGGATGACAGGAGTGCAACCACATTTCACTATATCCCACTTGACATGAGACTCTTCTGCTTCCCATTTTCAGGTTTTCAGCCACCCCTGACGGCAAGCAACTCTTCCTGGGGGCTTCGGTGACAAAGCACAACCACCCCCTCAAAGAGGCAAGCTTCAGGTCCCTCCCCCAAAAGAGAAAACTGAATGACCAGGAGCGAGAGGAGGCCTGTGAAATACTCCAGGTAGATAAGGCCAACAAAAAAAAGTCTCCGGTTTCTGGTATGCGCGCGCGTCACCGTAGCCATGCACGTCGGCAAAATGAAAAAAAAAAAATTTCAATGAAAGATGATGTCTCAAAACCACCAAACTCACTGGTTTGACTGGAATCCTGCTGCTGCACAATTTTAACGTGTTTTTAGATGGGGTTATGGTCGAGAATAAGCTTTATGTGGCCTCTCTGGACTCCAGTATATTTGCACTAAGTTTAGTCGGGCACCATTTGCAGTCATCAGCCGACATTTGAAGCAAAAAGATCAGGTAAAAAAAAAAAAAAGCCGCGTCGCCGCACCACTTTTTGGGCAAGCTCCATACCAGAAACCGGAGACTTTTTTTTTTGGCTTAAGTCCAACCAAAAATTAAGCATTGTTTCTGGGAAAACCACAAAGGCCCAGCTTAAATGGCCAACAAAACTATGTTGTACGTTTCTCATGAAGCCAAGATTGATATTCTACGTGGTACTATTTAATGGTTTCAAGGGTATGGACTCCATGCACAAGTAACCCCTATGGGATTAATCAGTTCGCCGTGAATACACGCAAATGTTTTGCGGTATTTGCAACGGATGACACATAAACACGCAGGGAGTGAGGTTGGAAATATCTGTCAGCAACCTGGCTCGAAGTGAGTGAGGCCGGAAATATGAGTGTGCTGCCCGAGGGTGATGGCTTCAATGCCCCTGGCATGAGGTCGAGTGAAAATAAACCCGGCGTGAACTGGTTAAAAAAATGAAAGTCGGGGAGAAAGATTTCAAGACATTACTGGGTTGTGCACATTCAGAATAGAAATAAGCTGCATATACTTTGTGGCATACAAACGTGAGCCAGTATGCACACATGATGTGCCCCTCACAATGGAGGTGCTGAATATTGCCAAAGAGCGCCATCTCGTGTTGGTGCATGGAGTCCATTAAAGTGGAAAACATTTTGGTTTTACAAAATATGACGCAAACAAGTGGACTCTTGTTATTTGGGAATAGGTAAAAATTGAAACAAGTGCGAGTGCACACTAAGCTCTGACCATGTTGCAAGAAGTCTTGCTTGAAAGTCTTCATTAAATCGATCAAAATGTTCCCTGCCAGAGCTTAAAAATGCGACGTGGGAAATGCGATGTGGAAGGCACATATAGAACACCATACTTTTGGTCAATTTTCGGGGGCAGACAGACAGACAGACAGACCATCCGACCGACCACCAAGCGACAAGTACATGTAGAAGCTCCTGCCAGAGCTTAAAAACAAAGAAAATTCAAAAACATGACAGCATATTGCTTACATGTGATTATCAGGCACTCAGCTTGGACAGTAAAACTCAAGCTCAGATTATTAGAAAAATACAAGTATGCTGAAAACATCAGATTCTTGTGGTACAGATAATTGGTAGCTAGCAAAATCAAAAACACTTGCACTGGCTAGATCCTGACTTTTGAGATGGTTAGATTTTTATTCTGCCTGTGGATATCTTTTTGTAAAAAAAAATTGGATTAATACACTTCATTAAAAGGCAAGTAGAAGACTTATCACTTTGCACTGGTTCCTTATTTTTCATTGCAGAAAAAAGGGAAGAGATCGGCCCAGAAACACCTACAGGAGGCAACTGGCAAAGTACTTACTATGAAAGACATACACAACCTAGCCGCTTCATCTCGGCAAAACTTGCTCTGCTACACCAACATTAAGGATATCCTGGATTATTTGTCAAAGCTTGAGGAACAGACCAGCGTAATTGAAGTAGTGACGAATACGGACGGAAGGGTGGTTGGAATCTACTACCAGGACCGGGAAATGATGAGAGTGTATGCATCTTTTCCCCATTACCTTGTAGTTGATGCTACGTGCAGGGAGAACAGCTTACGAATGCCGCTGTACATCATGCTGGTTGAGGACAGCAACGGCGAGTACGAGATCGTAGCTTACTTCACAGTGATCGCATCCAATGCAGAAAGCATCCGAGCCATGATGATGAGATTTAAGGAGCACAACCCCAATTGGCCTTGCCTCCAGGTCATCATGGCTGACAAGGACTCCTCTACCAAGGTCTTGGTGGAGCAGTTCCCTGGTGCCTCTGTGCAGATGTGCCTGTACCAGGTGCTGAGGAAGTTCAAGCAGGACACATCTAAGAAGCAGCTTGGCCTGCAGAAGGAGGAGGAAGCATTCTGCGAAAAGCTAATGCGCAAGCTGGCAGCCTCCAAATCAGAAGCAGCGTACATGGAGAACTACAAGCAGCTCCTGAACACAGAACTTCAGACAATGATCAAGTACTACAACACCACCTGGCACAACAACCGACAAGAGTGGGTGGAGGGCCTCAAGTCCAGAAGTGTGGTCCTCAAGGAGGAGGATCCCGACAAACTTACAGCAGTCAGTGAAAAGCTAAAGGCAGTGTTGAAGAACTCGCCGACCTCGAAACAGGTCATGACTAACTTGAAGAGGGAAGTGGAGAGTCTGCGTGAGGAGCGAGACAAAACTGCGGCTGCTATAATAGCAGAGAATGCTCCTAAGACCAATCCAGACAACACCACAGTCAGTAAGTTTCAGCAGTACCTGACCCCCTTCGCACTGAAGTATGTCCTGCGACAACTGAAGCTCAGCTGGAAGGTGATAGCCAAGGCCAATGTTGACAGCAAGTCCATGGTCATCAAGTCCAGCAAAGACAAGATGATAGTCTCCGTGGACAGCTGCGTCTGTCACCAATGGCAATCACTCTGCCTACCCTGCCGTCATATCTTCGCTGTCCGTCGCACCAAGGGCCTTCCCCTGTTTGACAAGGAAGTCATTGGATCCAGATGGTCTCTTGAGTACTACAAGTCGTGTAGTCGGCTTTCAACTCAGAACACTGACACTGCTCGAAGCATTGATGCCCTGCAGAGACAACGGCTCCGTCTTCTGTCCCGCCACGAGAAATACATCCAGGTTTCTGAAATCACCCAGCAGTTGGCAACTGTTGTGTCGGAGGCTCCAGCAGAACAATTTGCAAGCCAACTGGAAGCCGTAAAAAAAATGCTGACTTGCTTTCAGAACGGCTCTTCTGTCAACATCATAGAAGAGGTTGGACAGCACACAATAGCCACTGAAGTAATTACTGAGAGTTTCCCTTTTCAAGAGAATAACAGGATCGAAAGTTTGTAAGAGACACATGGAAAAGGCGATCTAGTTGCTGTGACCTCACAGACAACAGCTTTTTGAGAAGGTTGACAAATCAGTTGAATCTACTATATGTAGAAACGTTTGTTAGCAACACCTGCTTCATAAACCTATGCAAGATGGGTTGAATATTTATTTTACCAGGAGTCAGGCAATCTCAGGTTCTGGGGTGTGAAAGGGTTGCAGAATCACTCGTTGTTTGTTTGTTCCATGCACCTGCTTCAATTAAAGTACGCAGTATTGGTTGAGAGTTGTCACCACAATACATGTACATGTAATGTGGAAATTCAGGTCCATGCACATTTTCAGCAGTGTTTTTTCCTACTATCAATGGAAAAAAAATCTCACAGTTTTGACATTGTGCAGTTTTTGATTATGGTTGTGATTTTCCCGGGAATTACTTGAAACATATTTACTTGTTCTGTTATCTAAGATAGTGTGGCGAAATTCTGATTCTTCCTGATTGTGACAGTCTAAAAAAAACCCAGACAAGCATCAGTCCAGATGGTCACTGGACGATTATTCGTTTGGAGACTGTCTTTCGCTACTTAAGGGAAGGGAGTTAATTCCCCTTTGAGTCGCTTTTGTGCTCTTTTTAAAAAAATAGCACACAATTCAAGCTTTGGGGTGCAAAATGCATCAAAATTACGGATCATGGAGTTGCATTTCACTTCAACAGGATATTATTTTAGGAACTAAAACATTCCTGAAAAATCGCTGTCTGACTGGTTTGCAGCATTGGTAATGTTGCAAGCATTGTGATTATGGGTGTGATGGCATTATTATGGTTTATGGCTTCTGACTAGCACCCTTGAACAAAGACATTGACAAAATGGGGAACCGCCAACATAGGGCTGGATAGCTCAGTTGGTAAAAGCACAAGAACGGCAATCTGGAAAATAAAGGTTCACATCCCGCTCCAGTCAATTTCCTTGTTCAACTTTGGAAAAATGCAGTGATGAAAGACAGGATAGGAACACTTTTTATCCGTCAAATTGAGGAATTCGTGTTTAGGAGGACCATTTCAGATGCCATAGAATATCCCCGCTTTCCAAATTGTTGCTCCAAAGTACACGCAACAACATCCTCACTGGTACTGTTGTTCTTGAGCTAGCTGGATTTGTGAAGTACATTGTATGGATGTAATAAATAATAAAGCTGAAATTTACAGTTGAAAAAAAAAACACTGTACAATGTAGTTACATCAGTGTTTCTTGAAGTTGTACTCTATGGTGTTGTAAGTATTGACTACATGTGGATCTGCCCTGCACACCTAGAATTTGCCATTGTTTTGCTGCTCTCCTTAATCTTGATAAATTCAATCATTGACGACCCTCTGTTGACGAGTGATTTCAAACTGCAAGAAGCATGTTCGTGACCCAATAAGCTCTATTGCAATCATGGGCGTCGCCAGGATTTTTTCTAGAGGGGAGCAAAGCACATTTTCCCCAAAAATCCTTATATTTTCCAGCATTATTCCGATTGATTATTTTTTCGAGTGTGGGCAGGGACATTTGCCCCTCCCCAACCCATTAACAACAATATGATTTCGCGCCTCTTTTTTTTTTTTTTCCTTTTTCTTTCTCCTTAAGTGCCCCCTCCCCCCCCCCCCCCCCCCCTCGCGACGCCCATGATTGCAATAACCTTTCTCGTGAATTTACATACCTTGGGCTAAAGATTTTCACTGCTCTGTGTCAGCGTGCAGCCACTCGTCAAAATTGAAATTCCCAAGATTCATCCAGTAAAAATCCCAAGAATTCCCATGGCAATGGAAAACACTGTACAAAGTACATGTACCGGAGCACGTTGTAGCCTAAAATCATATAGAATTATGATATTTGTAGTACCACCAAAATCCCAAGATATTGGGATAAATCCCAAGGAGTGGCCATGCTAGACTGTGTAATAGTGGGATTGTATGGAAAATTCTGACCAAAGTATCCAGATTCTAAAACGACTTTTTTCTTTTAGGATAAAGTTAAAATTAATGGAAAAACCACACAACTTCCATCCCCCAAAGAAATGAAATTTTAAAACTCAGCCCATTGTATAACCTTCATGTATTTAAAATGCTTGCAAGTAATTGGATGTTGATCGATGACAACGACCTAAACCAAGCACATGTTGCTGGTAATTTCCTATGCAGCTTCTAATAAAAAAAAATCAAAAGAGATTAGACAAATAAAGAAAATTTGCATTGTGTTTTGTGGGGATTTATGTTTTGGGAATTATAAAGCGGCGAGGACCAACAATCCTGCATTAATTTTGTCTGGGAATTTATTAAAATCATGATTTAAGGCTCCCACATTGGGAATTCTGGTCAACATGTTTTTCAATGTAATAATTATGACGGTTAATTTCATTATTTTGAACAAAGACTTCTATCCCCCCCCCCCCCCCAATAGTCAGTCAGGGATGTAGCCGCATCGACAACCGAACCGGGGTTTCCCAACGTGCGCCAAGATTATTGTTATGTTCGCTCGTACCCCCCCCCCCCCCCCCCCGCCCCCTCCACGCCCTGCAACCTGCTGCTGCTGTTTGCAGGGCGGGGGTACGGTACGGGTACGAGCGAAATTGTTATGTTGTCGATCGATGAAACTATTGGTGGCGCTATCACATGTAGTTGCGGCGGCGTCCTTTTCCCCGGGCTCTTGATCGTCATGTAAGTGTAAAATCCATCGCAATCCTTACCATCCTTTTGAAAAAAATAAGAAAACAACCTGTAATGTGAAAGTATGATCTTATATAAAATAGCTAAGATTCCCATTTGCGTCCATAATACACAATTATTTGAAATGACCTTTGTTAAAGAACTGTGTTTAGGCATGGAGTCGCTATTGAAAGCTGTTGCAACCATTGCGTGAAAAATGTAAAGTTTGATTTTATTGTCAGTGTGTTATAGGATGACCGGAAAGATTCCCATATCTGGCCATCACTTGTCACCTGTGCACAAACCCTATGAGACTGATCTGAAAATGTTTAATAGTTTCTCAGTAAACATGGTAAATACTTCAATTAGGCCTAGCCTATCATCAATATTTTCCCTGGCCCGAGTGCTACATTTTAAAAACTTTTTATAAAGCTAAACATAGGTAGGCCTAGCTTGAGTAACTCCAGCTGACATGCTCATATTCATTCACAAGTAGCACTGGAGACATAACCTATTCGTTAGCGTGTGGTAGCAAGACTAGAGTAGAGACCCTAAAAAAAGGGCCTCTACCATCCATGTCTACAAAAATGGTCCATTTTCAAATTTCACCTAATCCCACCCCAGATTCCATGGACATACCTCACACCATTCAGCAGTCATTCACGAAGCTAATGATCGACTTGAAACAACCCCCCAAAAAATGTGAAAATCGTTGACGATTTCGGTGGCTTGTCCATAAAAACTGTCCAGTACCAACGGCTGTCGTCCATCTTGTTTACTTAATTATGCAAATGAATGCATCACGTGATGATTATCAGAAAAAAATTGCGTGATGTATGTGGGTACCACACCGCTTTCAAGCGCCGCTACTAGGTTCAATTTTCGTCTGGTGCGTTGTCGTGAAAAGCAGTCGTGGAAAGCAAGACAACACACCAGACGAAAATTGAAAATTGAAGACACCATAGACTTTGTACACCATAGACTTTGTACACAACCGCTGAAGTGACGTCAGGTTGCAACGTTCTTTCCCAAAATGCCAATGCCACTTTTTATGTGTATGTATATGAAGTAGAGAAAAGTATAATGTTCAAGTCACGTAGTGAAGGCCCCCGGTCTTGGTCCTTCTTAATCATAGTGAGATTTATTATTTTGTTTTGGTCAGGCCACGTAGTAAAACAAAAAGCCGCAGTCGCAGCCGAGGTCGCAGCGACCGACGCGATAAGGGGCGGAGCAGGAAGAACCGAGGGGGGTCCGTCTCTTCTAGCTCTGGTAGCAGCTCTGGAAGGTTTGTATTTAGTGGTCAAGGTTAATACCTTACCCTAATTCCCCAACAAGTTTTCATCGATAAGTAAGAGAGATGCATTTTGTTACCTGATACACCCTACAAACTATAAAACAAGATATTTCATTTTAGACATACTTTAGACATCACAAAGTTGAAAAAGACTGGAAATATAACAAACCTACCTCTCCCTCCCCCTCCCCCATTATCTCCATTTCAAGCTCTTGCTAGAAACAACTGGGTTTGATGGAATATGTCACAAACAACCTCAGTGATAGTTGCTCATTGCAAATAAATATTCAGGGTCGAGACAAATTTTCCAACTCACTACATTCTTCCCTTCTGGGTTCCCAGCAAAAATGACTCGAAGGGGTGAAATTTATTATTCCTACGTGGTTTTGAAGGATTCTTTGATCAGTCAGAGTTGCAATCGTGTTCCAATTATTTTGAAGCTCCAGCTCTCGAAGCCGTTCCAGTTCCAGCGGGTCATCCTCCAGCGGTTCAGGCAGTTCCCGTTCCAGCAGCAGTTCCTCCAGGTCAAGCAGCAGCAGCAGTAGCGGGAGCAGCAGCAGCTCAGGAAGCCGCCGCAGCGGCACCCGACGGAGCACAGACAGGAAAGGACGGGAAGACAGAAAGGGGAGAGAGAGAAAGAGCAGAACAAAGTGAGTGTGGTCCAACCTGGCCGTGTTGAACATTGAAGCCATTACTGAACACTTGACTTCTGCTGATTCTTTGTAAAATAAACTAAAGCCACTTCTCTGATATTTATTTTGTGGATCCACTGATGTACATGTTAGAGATAGCCTCCTATATTTGTAAATTGATGCCAATGTTATTGAGGGGGAGAAGCAAGGATAAACAGTCGAGTCTCGTTATAACAAACTCATTCGGACAAACTTGTTTGTTATATCAGAATTTTGTATGAAGAGGAACATCAGTCCCATTCATTGTGCACATAAATGCACAGTCGGGACCAAGGCTTTATGTTTGTTATAACCAGAATTTTGTATTAACAGAGTTTGTACTAACGAGACTCGACTGTAATTTTGTTCTTTATCACAGGGATAGATTGTCATGAATTTTGTACTGTTGGTTCACAGTTTATAATTGCTTTTGCCCCAGTATCTTGATTTATGAACCCTAACTCCCAGACAAATCTTCGTTAGGAGCTTCCAGTTTTTACTTCATTTTACATCAAGTTTCATATTAAGTTAAAGTTCCTGGGGTGTACATTCCAGAATCCTTGGGGAAAAAAATGAAACTAATAGTTGGATTCTGGAGGATTTGAAATTAATCCTATTTCCTTATCTTTTGTTGCCAGAAATCTTCCTGAATCCTCAGAAATCCTTAATGACACATCATGTTGTTTGTATTTATACTTTCAAGGGGCATCAAACCCCATGGCACAACAATGTCGGGATGTCGGGATTTTGTCAAATTTTTCATTCCCCAGGGTTGGGATTTTGGTTTTTGGTTGTAAGAGATTTTCGTTTCAATTTTGCCCGAGGGGTGGGTATTTTGTCACTTCAAAAGTGACACTCCCCACGTCTTGGGTGGGGGCAGGGGGGAGGGGGGAGCAAAGTGGTGGGGGAAACAATCGATGGGCGCATTACTCTTGTATGACAGGGCTTGCAAGCTCAATTAAAAATTTGGGCCTTTGAATATCTGACAAAGTTATAATTGATATTTTTTCCCCCCCATTTACAACCAGATCCAAGTCCCCCCGGCGTCGCAAGCGCAGTCCTTCCCCCAAACCCTGCAAGCTCCACATCGGCCGGCTGACCCGTAACGTCAACAAGGATCATCTGATGGAGATCTTCTCCAACTACGGGGTGGTCCGCAGTGTGGACTTGCCCTGTGACCGCGCCCACACTCACCTGAATCGCAGCTTTGCCTATGTGGACTTTGAGAAACATGACGATGCAGAAAAGGCTCTCAAGCACATGGATGGAGGTACGTATCATTTAAAAAATATTTTTCCCATTGACAAAATTATTCCAAACTGTGGCAGAGTTATGGATAGATCAATCCAAAGTCAGTCATAGGTCAAATTGCAAGCCAGGTCACAAGTATTAAAGATAGGATGAACAATGCCATTGCCACAGGGCATTTCGATAATTTGTCATCTGAGTTGGACTTAACTTTACAATGTGCCTTGTGATTGACATGTGATGGACATGTGCTGAACTTGTGATTGGCATGTGATTGACTTGTGATTGACATATGATTGACTTGTGTTTGACATGTGCTCGACTTGTGATCAACATGTGATTGACTTGTGATTGACATATGATTGACTTGTGTTTGACATGCGCTCGACTTGTGATCGACATGTGCTCGACTTGTGATCGACATGTGCTTGACTTGTGATGGACATGTGCTTGACTCGTGATTGACATGTGCTTGACTTGTGATTGACATGTGATTGACATGTGATTGACATGTGATTGACATGTGATTGACTTGTGATTGACATGTGCTTGATTTGTGATTGCATTTTCCAATTTGATAAATTTCAGCTTAAGCATGTTGGCTTTGCAACAAAATGAACAATGCCAGATATGATACAGTTTAGATAAAATTAAGGTATCATCTCAAGCATAAGAAAGAATAACAAAAAAAAGCAATTGCTTATCACAATTGCAAAATGTCCCAAATGGATCCTTCCTGCCGTGTCAATTTAACAGGTGCACATTGACCAATTAGATCACAGCTTTTTGTCGGGCGACCATGGTTGCTCAGTCAATCTTGGTCAAAAGCACTGTGCAAAAGTACAAAAACCCAAAGGTGGTCGGTATAATGGTGAAATGCAAAATTCTACATTGTACACTAACCCTAACTCCCTAGTATGATTTAGTAGGAACCGTACCCATCCTGTCAAATTCCAACACCCACATAACTTAGATTCTGGAGGTACGCCAAACCCAATGTAAAAGACCAGTGTAGGGGTACTGTACCCATCCTAACAGATTTCAACAAAACCTGCTGTTAGGCTTTGATGGGTTGAGTTCGGTTAGGGTTAGTAATTATCAGATTAAGAGAATTGAGAATTTACCTTGTGTGGTATTTTTTTCTCTCTTGTTCATTTGGATCGTTGTCTTTTTCCAGGTCAAATTGATGGGCAGGAGATCACTGCCGCCTACGTCTTAGCTCCAAGGCCCCGCCCAATGAGACGCTCACCACCAAACCGGGGTATGCCACCATGGAGGAGGTCCCCGCCAAGATTCAGAGACGATAGAAGAAGAAGGTGTGTGTTTTTGTTCTTTTGGCTCAGATACATCTTCCAAGGTGATTTTGTGATATACAAAACATTGCACTGCCGCAGAGCTGTCAGACATGTAAAGTTGGCTAATTGATCATTATTGTGCAAAAATGCCACAAAGGTTCTGCAAAAGGCACAACTTGAACAAAAAGTTGCAAATTCGAAATCAAGGGGCCAGTGATACGGGCTACATAAAGGACTGAGAACATTTGAGGCCAGTTTTTGGCACGTGAGTTAGGGCTCGCAGTGAAAAACTGATGTTGCTAATGTCATTCATGATATCATTCACTTGTCTTTTGCATGCTGCATATATTTCAGTTCCCCATCCATGGGTGTTTCGCAGTGCCCACATGTTGTTAAATTGCACCCCCAAAAGGAGTCAAGCTCCTTGTTTTAGGGGAAGGGTAGTTAAGACAATTGATATGTACTCTAACCCTAACTCCCTAGGGTGATTTTAATACTAGGAACCTTCCTCATCCTTGTAAATGAGGCAAACTGTGCACATAAACTGTTGGACTCTTAATTTGTGGTATGTCTAATTGCACGTATAGCACAGTCAGTTTACTAGTGCAGTACTCATCGTAGCAGATTCCAACAAACCCTGGTGTTGGAGTATGGCTGGTTGGGGATCGTTAGGGTTAATAGCCGTTACAAAATGGGACAGGTAAAACCCTTTGTCTTAGTAAAACAAACGGTAGATTTTGAGAATGAAGTTAGAGGGTCCCATCTTGCTTTTGTTCATCTTAAAATTATTTTTCCTCTCACTCAGACCCCCACCTCCAAGGAAGCGATCGCCAAGACCCCGTTCCAGATCACGGTCTCGTTCCCGCTCGCCGATACGCCGCCGCCGTCGCAGCCGATCAAGCTCCAGTTCCTCTCGCTGAGATTCCTTTTCTGCTCGCAAAGATTTCAAACTGCTGTTCCTGGTTACAGGAGCCCTCTTATTCCTGACAGAATGCCAACATGCTGTTCTGCCTTTGTTTGAATTTGTTAAGGAAATTTAAATGTTGGCATAGATGTATTAAAAAAAAACCTTGTATATTGCATCAGGTTTAGTTTAGGGCTGTGCATCAGAACCGGGTACGCATCAGAACCGGGTACCCGAGTACCCGACCGCTGATGTCAGGAACCAGTTCCAGATTATGGGATCGGGTACCCGTAACCAACTTTACAAATCACTTAGTAACTTCTCCAGCAATGGAAAGGAAAGGTTGTGAATGTCATTTGTGGCGAATTTCCAGTTTACACCGTAAAGCTGTACACACTTGTATCTTGCTGTATTGACTCACCTATGTGGTAATATTATCGTGCGGACCTTTATGAACAATCTCAACAGCCATTTCTGAGATTTGAATTTTGGGGTTTGGTTTCTTTAACAGGTACCCATGTTTTTTTTCTTCAATCGGGTACCCAATCCTTTACTACCCGTAACTGCACACCCCTAGGTTAGTTGGATAAGAAGGCTTCAGTAGAAAGATTTTGTGCAAATCATGTTAACATTTGAAGCATTTTAATCCGTATTACATGTATAAAGTTTAAAATAACAAAAATCACTCCTGCAATTTTTTTTTTCCTTAGCAGTTTTAGCAGTCACCCCGATTGCATTTGTTCCCTGCTCCCTCCCGAATCAAGCAGATTCTGACCAATGTAAGACTGGATCCTGCTTGATCCAGCAGAATCCAACAGCACAGGCAAATCCCTTTGATTTTATAGTAGGGTGAAGGTTAAAATAAGCAGTTCAAACCACAGGTACATGGTTGACCAGTGTTGTATTTGAGTCCATCACAAGTCCTTTCACAAGTCCTTTCATAATTCCAGTCCCAAGTAACTGGATGAACAATGACAAAGGACTGCTGTTGTAACAGTTCGTTTGAATAGCTAGTGACTTGACGTGAAGCCCGGTTCATACTCCATGCAAAGCGAATTTGACGTCATGAAACGTTCGCTGCGAAATTCGCCCGAGTTGAAATGTGCTCAACTTTTACGAATTCGCAGCGCGAATACTTGACACGACGTCACAAATTTGCGCACGCTTTCGCTTGCGCGCCGAGTATGAACCGGGCTTTAGACTGAAAGACTTGTGATGGATTTGCAGGGACTCGAATACAACACTGCATTTTACTATCCTGCTTTTTAAAAGGCGTATTGAAATTATCAAATAGCTTACTTGGATTAAAGATCATACTGGTGCTTAACACCTCGTGAAATGATTCCGTCTGGACTGCCGTCATTTAGAAGAAATCAAGAAATGTAGGAAATACAGATTTATTCAAAAGGTGGAATTTGCATCGTGGTGATGTAAATTCAATATTGGGTTTATTTAAGAAACGTCAGTGAAGGGCAAAACTCCAAATTGAAATACAGAGTGCTATGGACGAAATTGAGTTTTGTGATCAAACTTGACAAGTTTTTTTTTCTCGAAAAGTGTAATCCCCACAGGGGAAAGTTCAACAGGTTTATAGGTTTTTAACAGTCTTCTTTGGATTTTAAGTTTTTCTTGGAAGCCAAAACACAGTGCATATGAAGAGTAAATGATCCTATATGCGTTAAAAACCTTTTCTTAAAAAAAAGGTAGAACCTGTTTTTAAGCTACATGTACTGTACTTTTAGGAGTGAATTTAATGTGGTTGTTAATAGACCTAATGACTTAATGGCTTTGTTTAAATATGCGCTTTCCTATGGGAGTGAAGTCGGGACGCCAGACGAAGTAGGGACCATCTACCACATAGTAAAGCGCACATGTAAACAAAGCGTGACATCAGGTCTCTGGCCTATTGGTTTTTATTTGGGGGGGGGGGAGCAATTTTGTTATGTAATTGTTACTGTAAATATTTTGTCAACTTTGGTTCAACGTGACTGATTTTAATGTAGATTTAAGCAGAAAGTTTTTTTGAATGTGGAAAGGTATTAGTCATTGCATACAAGAGCTATTGGCTCACTGACATCTGATGTAAACGTTTGTCATCAATTTTTACAAACAGAACTCGTACATGGACATATTAAATGAATAAAAAATGAAGAAAAAAAACAGTACTGGTTGTAATTGTGTACTTTTTTTAAATTTATTCAAGGCCTTTTCATCCATTTCAAGACATGATTTGAGATGGAAGATGTACTTAACAAATCTTGGGAAAAAAATCAAATACATTTATCAATTAAGTAGGTTGTAACATTAAAAAATATCTCAAAATCCATAGTTAAGGAAAATTGATTTAATTCTTGATGACAATTCATTTAAAAATATCATACATTGTTTTTGGAGAGATTCTTTTAAACCTCTGGTTGTGCAATACATTTTAAAAATCCAATCCTTGTTGGATATTAAAAAAAATGTACTTGTTTCTTATTCTCACAGACAAAACTTTTGCAGTAAAATAGAATTTGGTAAGTTATAAATCAGTTTATATTGGAATGTAACTTTTTAATTTAGACATTTACATTTTTAACCATGCACAGATGTACTGTGAGAACATTTATCCCAGCACCAGTGGTGAAGACAGATCATTAAAAATGAAGCAATTTTTTTATGGGATAGACCTGGAAGTGCGAAATAATAAATATACATCCTACAAATTATGTACAATCTTTTCAGTCGAGTCGCTGTGACAAAAAGGCAAGGTTTTACGCTGAGTACAATGTTCTGCACTGTGTGTAGCTTTTTACAATTTGTTCTTTTAATTTTGACTAATTACTGTTTAACAGTGATACAAATTACCACGAGTTGAAAAAAAAGGCAATTACCTGTCAAGTTAACCATGTACAATTCACTTTGCTTTTTACAAAAAAAATACTGAAACCCCCGACAAATTAAAATTAAAGTGAGTTAAATATTTAATTAAAAATGCCGTTTGGAACAAAGAAATAAAAATAATATCACAATGACAAACATTTATTACAAATGAAAAACCAATAAGAATAAAAACGAAACACGTCCATTTCATAAATAACACAATAGAACATAACATGCAACACTCTCACATAGGAATTGGTGCAATGCATATACTTTAGATAATACAATGAGTGCCATGCTTTGGCCATTATTGAGAGTACAGAGCTTGAACTGTGAGCACCAGAGTCATGGAGCTTGGAGTTGACACACTGGGCAGCACACGCAGTCGTGTTTCACATAACTCTTGAGGACAAGGCATTGTCTTTCCCTTTGACCCTGTAATATAGCACTCTCAGGGGTGTGAAATCTCAGCTTTATAGCTGATTTCAGCTTTTTTTGTTTTGGATTTCAGCTTTTTTTCCCTCACTTGCTGTGTACAAAAGTATAGGAGATTTCCACAAGTTCAGCTTTTTTACACCTTTTTCAGCTGTTTTCAGCTATTTTCAGTTATTTTTATCAGTGGTCACTCACACCCCTGCACTCTCCAATAGCTCACAAACTCACGATCGAGGACTGTTTTCAACAAAAAATCTTGAGGACAATAAAGAACGTGTTGTTCTCCCTCTGTCTGTCTGTCCTCGGGGTGTATGTTATTCACGTACATCGTAACTTCCACCCTGCACATTTTACTGAAATTTTAATTCCATCGAATTCAGCACATCTGATACCAGAAAGACGACACATTGGCACACACATGGAGTAGGGCTGTCCATTTTCGATTAATTTAGTATTTGAAGAATCAGAACCCTGTTTGACCATATATTCTCCCAGCAGCAAATCCGTGCCTAGCCGGTAAAAATTGCATGCAGAACGCACAAGTTGAAATTTGCTAAAATTATGGAAACAATGAACCCCCACTGTCAAAAAAGTTAACGTCAACAAAAGTGGCATCTGACAATAAGTGCTGCAACTTAATGATAAAATATCATCCCAGTCGTGTGTGAACGTGCGTAGTTTTGTTTTCCCCCAAAAATTCAAACCAGCAAAAAGCTATTCGAACATTCGTTTGATGATGGAATATTCAAATAATCGTACAATCGGGACGGCCCTAACACGGAGCATTTAGAAGTCTGTACCATCGTCCAGATCACCTCTGCGACGACAAAACTTCAACCTCCTGAGGTTGCGGGTAGTATTTCTGGAACACTCTCTCCTCCCTGCAGTGCTGGCCCACAGCCTGGTACACGTGAGGGAGTAGCTTTGGGAAGCGCGACGTGAAGTAATGGACGAAACCGTCTGGTACCGGACCCAGCGACTCCTTGACTTCATCTGGAAGCTCCCTGTAGTGGTGTTTCTGTGTGGGGAAACGTGGTAGGACGTTGGATGAGTCATTGCAGTTGGGGGATTTCTGAAGTCAATCATATCGGTCTAGCACAGTGTTCGACTTGAGTTTATAACACCTCACCCACAGAATCTGTATCTTGATTGGCCGAGAGCGAGTCACATGGCATTCGCTATTTTTCCTATCTTGCTGTGCATGGCCAAAAGTGCTATATCCGTAGCAACCAAGGAACTATACCCGTAGCAACCAAAGTACTCAACGCATTGTGTGAAAATGCATAGGGTGTGTGCGTTGCGCTTTGCCTGTGTTGTTCCCAAGTGCTAGCGCTACAGAGCTGGGTTAAAACATTTCGTGAAAGGGTTGTTTGGAAAAGTGCAAGTTATTTTTTCAACTAATTTCATATTCAAATAGAAGTAAATTTTAATTGTATTCAGATTAAATTTAATCAGTTATCGCTTAAAATCAAGCAGAATCTGTAGGAGAGGTGTTATAAAACAAATATTGACTGCTTTATCTTGTGGTGTAGTAAAACTAGCCTCCCTCGGTGATCCATGGAGCATTCCATTTGCCCTCGGCTTTGCCTCGGGAAAAAAAGAATGCCTCAAGGATCACCTAGGGAGGCCAGTTTTATTAGACTCGAAGCAGTCAATATTTGCATACTATCGCAAGACCACTTCAAGTCCGATCACAAGACAGGGATGAATGATAACAAAGGAATGACTTTGCCACAGTTCATTTGACTAGCTTGTAACTTGACTTGGGAATGCATGACTTGTGATTGACTCTACTACAACACTACTGCCTAGTGTGCTAAACTGAAGTGCTGACAGCTAATCATAGTTTACAAACAGTGAAGACAGAAAAATAACAAAATAAGACAGGGAATATAACTGAAAAAAATGATAAGTCATAGAAATTCTACATACCTTATTCCTCATTGCCCGTATCAGATCGCGGACAGACTTGCCTTTGTAGGCTCGAAATTTGCGAAGATCTGCAAAGGATCAACAAGTGTTCATTCATAACGTGCAATTCTTTTTAATGAAAGACATACAATGACAATTATCCACCAACAAGATACGAAAAAGTCAACCCTGGTCAACTGTACATTATATCAGATTTGAACCAGCCAACCGATCCCGGTGGTCGAGTGGTAAGACATCTGCACTAGAAAGCAGGAGGTCATGGGTTTGAGTCACACCCGATTGATTTTTTCCAACTTTCACTCGGGAGGTAACACACTGAGTATATAGTGTTTATACGTCGGTGAAGGGCAAAACCTACTATTGATTTACATCACCCCGACGCAAAATTCCATCTTATGAATAGTATAATATCATTTTCATCCTTCTCTAAAAGTACATTTTCATACATTTTTAAGGACACAAGTTGTACACATAGGATGTGTTCCTGTTTCGGGGCTGATAAAATATGTAGCATCTTTTTTTACGTGTTTTAGGTTTTCTGTATACTCAATACAGTGTCTATATGTTGGTGATGGGCAAAACCTAATACTAAATTACACTATAAATAGAAAAAGAAGAAGAATTTTGGGGACAAATTGGGGGCAAAATGTGTAAAATCTGCATATTATTGCCAAACTCAATAGCTTGGCTGAATTACACAAATTACTTTAGTGAATTTCAGACTACATGTAGTCCCAAAGAAACAAATTTAAACATCTTACAGTTCATAGTGTTCTAAACCAGAAATGCAAAACAACATCATAAATGACTTTTAGTGCTACACTATGGGCCAAGTTCGCGCAAGGACTATAGTTGACCAATGGTTAACTAATGTTTGCCCGAACTCTGTCTAGTCGACGATGGTTGACTACGCTAGTCGACTATTTGGAACCAACCTACTGGGGTTGGTTGCTTCGCTGGTAACCAATAGCTGCGCGCATTCATAACGCTAGCAGAGAGCCAGGATCCAGAAGTTTTGCGATGACATTTTGACCAGCGTTTGACTAGAGACGTTCGCACGTTGCTACCAGTGCGCAGGCGTAAGGTACGTCACAAATCAACCACTAGTCGACTAATGGTCCTTGCCCGAACTTGGCCTTGGTGTGATGATTTCAGAAAATCGAGGCGTCTTAATTATTTTTTTCTTTCAAAGCGTTTACCTGTCTGTAGTTCTTCTGTAATATTTTTCCTCCAATCGTTTTTCACAACTTCAGAGGCATTGGTTTCCATGGTAACCAGGAGTTCACAGTCTAAAGCTTCCTTCTCTATTCTGTCACTGACGTCCTGCAACCAAACAAATCACAAATTCATTTGTCAAGAAATTTGAAACCACAAGAAAATATAAAAAAAAAAAAAATTCTGAATACTAGAAAGTCACACGTCTGGTTCCCCGCAAATGTGAAAACAATTCTCAACTTTCCATGCATGTTCCTGGCATTTTTTTTAATAGCCAGAAGTGTTCTCGCTTTTTCACTGTTTTGGTTTTTGACTTTGGTGGTAAAATATCATTATGGAGAGGCAAAAGGATGTTGCTGAGCCAAACGTTTGCGAATGAAAAACTGCTTTTTCAACCAGCCCTTCGTACAGCTCATTTCTGTAAACCGTGATAACTTTAAATTCTAACCAAGTTGTGAAAATGTTAAAATGGTAAAATTGAAAGCAACAAAAAATGCTCATAATATATTACCTGGAAGAACATGAGTTGCTTTTCTCGATTCCAGAAGAACGGATGTTTCAGTATACTCCTTGACGTGGGCCGGTCGGCTGGCAACCTCTCGATCATCTGAGAAATCAGTTCCCTGGATATTAAATCATCTGAAGAACAAAGGAGGAAAAGCAGAGAGGTGTCAAGATGAACAATTAACCCTAACCTTCCAAAATCCTCCAAAATCTTCTTTGCAAAATGAAGGATTTTGCAGGATTGAGGCTATATGGCAAAAGTGTGTGGCTGATTTTGGAGGATGCACTGTGTCAAGGTCTTGGGCCGGACCTTGTGTTGTTTGTGCTCAGCCGTGCATAAATTTCGGACTAGATTATACTTAAATTTAAATTTAATTTTCTTGAAGAGTTTTAGGAGTTTTTTTTACCTGGAGAGAGTTTATCCAGTGAATAACACCCTGTTAGGATATTGGCTTGTCTGTGCAGTGAATCACCAAAGGGATGCTTGCCACTGGAGAGTAGGTAGTAAAAGACGCAGCCCAGAGAGAACACGTCAACTGCTGTGGTCTGAAAAAAACAATAAAATACAAAATTATGAGCTAAGGCCAAAAAAAAAATAGTCAGTCTCTGGTCAGACCAAAGTTCCGGAATTAATGCGGCGACGCGGGGTTTTTTTTTTTTGTTTTTTTTTTTCAAGCTTGGATTTTTTGCTTTTTTGTGTTCTCATATACATTGGTGTCCTCCATAATTTGCCTTTGTGCCCTCCATCATTTGCTTTGGTGCAATTTCCCCATTCCTTGGTACAAAAATTTGAGGAGGTGCGGCAATAGAGGGCACTGTTGTAGCTACCGTGGACAATTTGAAAAAAAAAAAGGTTGACGCGCATGATTAAAATCGACTGACCAGAGACCGACTATTTTTTTTTTTGACCTAATACTGAGTCTGCTGCTTTCTGAAATATACAAAATATAATAATGTTCAGTATAATATCAATTTTTCACCCCTCCCTTGCAGTACATTTTCATAAATTTTAAAGGACACAAGTGGTATACATAGGATGTTTTCCAGTTTCAGAGCTGATAACATCTTCAAATGGGGCACCTTTCTTTGCAGTGTGTTTTTCTACTTGTGCAAGATTAATAAATATGATAACAATGCTATTACAATATTTCAATTGTGTGTGTGTTAAAGAGGTTGTGGAATGCTCGAAGACATTTCCGTCATTTTTTGGGTATATGTAGCCTAAGGTGTGATGAAATAAAAACGACTATTGTGTCTGTCATGAAATGAGTACAAAAGGTACTTTTGAGAGCTGTTTTTCAGGTCCTGTTTCGACCCGAACGTGCAATTTGAGTAAAAGTCGTCGTTGCGGGCAGCAAACAAAACACAGTAAATTGTGATGTAATAAACAGGACTCGTTTATGCTACTCTGCATCGGGAGTCCTGTTTATTACGTCACGATTTACTGTGTTTTGTTTGCTGCCCGCAACGACGACTTTTACACAAATTGCACGTTCGGGTCGAAACAGGCATGACAGGACTTGAAAAACAGCTCTCAAAAGTACTTTTTGTACTCTTTCATGACAGAAACAATAGTCGTTTTTATTTTATCACACCTTAGGCTACATATACCCAAAAAAAGACGAAAATGTCTTCGAGCATTCCACAACCTCTTTAAGCCCATAATTCTTGTAACCATTGCTCAATGGGAAATTGTGTGCTGTGCTGCATGAGCTGAACATAGAGAGGCCATATTGGGGGTGCCAAAAAAAGACTCCTGCTGACCTCAAAGTTTTGTACAAAGTGACTGCTGAGTACACTATAGAGTTTAAAGTTTAGAGATCAGACAGCACATACATTTAGCAAAGATAAGGCATATATCCCCAAATTATGCCGCGCACAAAGTAAATACTTTTAACAAATAATTCTCTTTACCGTTCTCTCTTCGCCAGTCAGCATCTCGGGTGCAATCCAGCCCTCCGTGCCGGCGGCCCCTGACCTCCTGGAGAATGACCTCCGACCTGCCGATAGCTTCTTGCACAGGCCAAAGTCCGAGATCATAGCCTTGACCTGGCCGTGTTGGTTCGGCTGGGAGATCAGCACGTTGTGGGGCTTGATGTCCCTGTGAACTGTGTGATGAAAGAATAGCAGACGTGTCAATGGAGGCTGCGTTTGAATTGCTTGGCTATGGCTAGAGTAACACATGTGTCTATGGGAAGAGGCTGTAGCCACTTCCATGGGTGCATGTAATTGCAAGCCGCAGCCACTAATTTGGACATAGGTGCATGTAATTGCAAGCCGCAGCCACTAATTTGGACATAGGTGCATGTAATTGCAAGCCGTAGCCACTAATTTGGACATAGGTGCATGTAATAGCAAGCCGTAGCCACTAATTTGGACATAGGTGCATGTAATTGCAAGACGTAGCCACTAATTTGGACATAGGTGCATGTAATTGCAAGCCGTAGCCACTAATTTGGACATAGGTGCATGTAATTGCAAGCCGTAGCCACTAATTTGGACATAGGTGCATGTAATTGCAAGCCGTAGCCACTAATTTGGACATAGGTGCATGTAATTGCAAGCCGTAGCCACTAATTTGGACATAGGTGCATGTAATTGCAAGCAGTAGCCACTAATTTGGACATAGCCCAACAGACTTTTGAAGCAGGGAGTGTGACTCATTGTGCTTAGGGTTTGTGATGCATGACCCAACGGTCTAGGGGTCACATCCAGCTGCTGCCCTTGGTGTCAACCTTGGGGTCAACCACTTCACCCCCTCCCCCTCCACCTCTCTCCAAGTCGGGAGTAAAAATAGGTTCTGGTATTAGCTGGGGAGTAACCTGGGAACAGGCCAACAAAATAAGAAGCCATTACAGAGGCAGAACAATGCGGCACGCACATGCATTCTTAAAGTCGAGGCGCATGCACATTTGACAAGCCTATTGGAGAACCATTGATGAAGTTTGTTTCTGCATTCAATAGAGGACGTTGAATAATATACGGCAATAGGGTCCCCAATTCCCGAAGGTCCCCAATCTGGCGATCGTGTACCGAACATATGGGAGGTCTTCCTAAAAAGTTTAAATACAAACAAAAGAGGGACAATAGGGGTCCCGATTGCAGGTAAATACACACTTGTGTGCATGCGTACTGCCCAAGTCCAAATGTGGTTTCACATCAGTTATGAGTTCTAATGAAGGTTGCAAAATGAGTCTACATGCCGAGCAACAATTTCAGCTTAGAATCTCAAGGTAATTGAATCCAGATATACCCGGAAGGTGTCAAGTTTACCACTGACCTATATTTAATGAGTGTAGATGTGCCAGGCCTGAGGATGCCTGGTAGAGGACATCCGTGGTCTCCAGATTGGCAAACTGGCTTCGATTCGCAACAAACTCCTGCAACGTGGCTGTGCACAACTCCAAGGCTATGTATCTGAACTGTGCATCTTCCTCCTGGTAATTTAAAACAAACGGACAGAATTTGACTACAGTGGACACTTGTACCAAATATGTCTAAAAACTGTTCAAGCTAAATGCCATGTAGTAGAAGTGTGCTATCAACCACCCAGTTTCGTTTTGACCATGTTGACAGGCAATAAGGCAAATACCCATATTCCAACAGCGCACTGCTGTCTGATCAAGGGCCCACTATATGTATGTACCACCACAGTTTTGCTCCATAATGTAATGTGAGATAAAAAGTTTGCAGAGAGAATATTTTTCCAACAGAATCGGACATAAAATCAAGTACGTGTACACATATTAAAATTGTGGACGTTGAACAATTGGGTCCACGACTGACCACAGGTCCACGATGTGTGATCGTGCACAAAATATAATGGGAGGTCTTCCTAAAAAAGTTAAAAGTACAATGTATGAACAAAAGAGGAACAATAGGGGGTCCACGATGTACGGTGTTTACACAGATGTGTGTGTATAAAAATATTTCAATTATTAAGTGGGAGCTTTTAAAAAAATATGAGTTATGACACGAAATCTGATGCAACCATTAAACAAATTTTTTTTTAAACTGGTTCCTTTAAATTGCAAAAACAAAGAATGTCTCCATGAGATGTTGAATAATAATAATAAATAGCTACTTTTGACAGGCTACTCAAAACTGGACAGATTCTGGCTGCTTTTGCAAGAGTTCGTGATTTTTGTTTTAACATGATGTTTCAGAGAAGTAGCTACATAGCCTGTAGGTATTAGACGTAACTATCCTATCCTTAACCCTAACCTCCCAAACTCCATCAAAATCCATCCCCCTTTTTTGGTGGAATTTGGGGGACTTGGTCCTGCAGGGCTGGTTTGACTAAATATTGATGGAGTATGATGGACTTGGGCCTGAAGGCCTAAAGCAAAGCATGCATTGGAAGCAGCATGATTGATGGATTTTGGTGGACTTGGTGCAGTACTTAGTCAAAGACAGTAGCGAGTAAGGGTTCATGTTCCTTTTCCAGACAGCTGTAAGCAGTAGGGGATTGGGGGAGGAAGGTGAGGATCTTACCATGCAGAAGTAGCGGATGACATTAGGGTGTTCATCTGATTCCCTGAGTAGGTCTACCTCCCGATCAGCAAAACAGAAGCAATCCGGTAGGATCCTCTTGACGGCTACGTCTCGGTTATCAAACCTTCCCCTGAGGGTTACATCAAAACACAACAGGTGTTAACAGGTGACAAACTGTTGATTTCTTTCTTTATTGGGGGGGGGGGCTTAATCCTTACTGGTTGTCTGCCAGGTTTAATATTCACTATTAAGATATCTCAGACACATTCACAAACATATTGAATTTTGACTTTGTCAATTCAAGATCATGTGTAAGCTGAAATTTTTGCTTATCAGGCTGCAAGTGGTACCATAGTACCTGCACGGAAAAAACAGACAGTATTTATACTAACTACTGCACTTGCTCAGACAGTGTGTCAGGGAGTGGCCGATATTTTCCTGATGAACTCTGGCATTTTGGTCAAGATATTTTAAATATTTATATAAGAGTGCACACACTTATATCAGTATGCCATTTGCAAGTTAAATTTGACTAAAACCTGCAAAGCTGATTTAATCCAACGCCTTGCACATTTTAACTTTGCATTCTCCCGACCAAAGAGAATGCTACTATATCACGTGATTCTGGGCAAGCCTTATGCTAGCAACCCCCAGCTCTGGCATGGTCTGGTGTCTTTGTGCCATTCTCACCCATTGTGAACATGCAATGTATTGGTACTGAGCGTCTCTTATGTAACAATGCAAGAGCTTGCCCTGAATCATGTGATTAGCAACAGTGTCTTTGGTCTGGAGAATTCAAGATTAAAATGTGCCAAGCATTCTGAGCAAGTCAGTGTACCAGACGTTTTTCAAATTTAAATCCGAAAGGGCATATGTCACTCGCAAATGGCTTATTAGGATTTCCTTTTTTCCCAACCCAGATTTGTAATCGAGTCAGTCACATGAGTCAACATGTGCCAACATGACTCCAAAAAAAAAAAAAATTTGGGAAAGAAATAGACAACTCACTTGTAAACGAATGTTCCCTCGCATCCCTGGCCCAGGATCTCTTTGGGATTGAACATGATCTTGCCGACTTTGGTGTACCCCTCTGGAACGTCATCGGCCGCGCTGTCCCCGTAGCTAGATTGGCTCTGATTGGACGTTTGCGCCGAGCGTGGCTGGTTGGAGACAATCACTATGGGCTGGGGGAAAAATGGCAGAAATATTTATATTTTTAGTATTGTTTTATGTAGAGAATAATGTCATTTCCTGTTGCCACACAAAATTGTTGGCAAAAATAAAGAATTGTGCTGTAAATATGAGGACTTCAGTGATTTACCGTTTTACATCTTTTATTTCTTTCTTTTTGGCGATAATTATCTTCAAATAAACCACAAAGAGAAACTGACTAGGTTCGTTACTATAATTTTCAAAGTTGAACCAAGAAATTGACTGGAGCGGGGCATGAACCTGCGACCTCCGGTCGCTCCACTCAATTTCTTGGTTCAACTTTGAAAATTATTTAAAAGAAATTAAAAAACAATCCCATATTTTTGTAATTTATGTGTTTACCTAGTCTATGTAATAGACAGTGGCGAAAGCCATGGTCTATAACATTTGAGCAGATTCGCTGATTAATTATAAAAGACAACCGCATCTTGACCTCTAGATTCTGACCAATCAGCGGGCGCTTTCTATATCGGGTCTACAGTCATTCACCGTTGTCGCGTCATAGACATGGATAAAAAAAACCTAGACCAGCAACAAAGGCTGTGGTCATGCGCTCTGTATTATGTTATGCGGCACGCGCCCGGCTGTTGATGTATTACAAAACACTGCATTCGATTTGACCAATCACAGTTTTAGTCCTGATTTGGGAATGAAATGACGTCACGATTTAGTAAAGTCGACTCCGATTGGCTGAGGCGCGAGATCGCATAAATCTGCATGCTTTGATATATCAGACGTTAGACAGGAGTCTGGGCTCCGTGGAAAACGGGTGATACTCAGACTAGTGTTTACCATGCTCTAGACCAGAACACAACAAATCAATCAGTTTTTTGGAAGTTATTAAACAATGTAGAATACATGAAAAATAAAGCTTTTTGTGGTATTGTGGTGTTTCAGTAATTAATTGAAGCTTGAGACAGAACAATTCTTTCCTTGTGCCCTGACCAGTGCCCACAAAAAAGCACCCTTTTTCATGTGTTCGTGTCTGCAGGGGTGGGCAAGCTATGTGCTATTTATCCACGCACCTTTGGAATCAGATAAAACAGAGCCAGGAACCCCAGCAGCAGGGTGACCACTCCTCCAACGAACACCTTGTCGCTCAGCACGATGCGGAACCAGACCTCGCCGCCTTGCCCTACCACGGCCGTGTCGTTGTGCTCCCCCTGGGGTGGGGCTGGGGTCAACTCGGGACGCTTGATGGGGAGTATGACCCTATCTGTGGTGCTGGTCACGATGGCCTTGTTGGGGTAGGGGTTGGTGGGGATCAGAGCGGCGTGTGAATCCTCGGGGATCTCGTGATGTCCTGGAGAGAAGACAGAGATTTCATACAAAGGTTTTCTCTGCATTAATGCTGACTGATGGTAGATGTGAGTACAACTGGATAATCTTACCCAGGATTACTGGCTTACTGGCACAGAAAGCATGAGCACCTGATGTCACAAGCTCGGTAAAAAAATCGAAACAATCTTAAACGGGAGGGACTTGAACCCGAACCTCCTGCTTACAAGTACAGATAACCAGACCTCTTCATTACTAGCTGATCTATTCCTACATGTAGATCGGCAAGCTGACTAGCAGTTACAAGTGAATTAGTTTTAAGATTGTTTCTAGAAAATTGGACGACATGCTATTCAATTTTCAATAGCATATAATGTTTCCTTTTCAAATTAGCACTTGACATGAAAAACAACAAAACATGAATAACCGCAAAATATGTCATACAATGAGACTTTAAAGTCTTTTCTCAAAGTGATCGTTTTCAAGCTACAACAAACTAAATGAGATCTTCAAGAGATAAGCTGGTATGGGGTTGTTGATTGTGATTTGCAACCGCCAATAGTTGATATAAAAAATATGTGAAGTTTTGGGAGCCAAAGGGATGTGAGCGGCATTCTACTGTCAAGGTCTTGGGCCGGACCTTGTGTTGTTTATGCTCAGCCATGCATTAATCTAGGCCTAGATTATACTTGAAATCCTCCGTACTGCTCCAGGATGTCACTGGCTCTGCCTCAACATATTGACAGTGATTGCTAGAGGCTTTTGCAGGATTGAGGCAGTGGTCAGCCCTCCACGGACCGCACTCAAGAAATAACGGAGGATTTTGCAGGATTGAGGCCGTATGCTATTTTTACATGGAGGCAGTTGGAGCATTTTGCAGGATTGAGGCTGTAAGCAATTTTACATGGAGACAGTTGGAGCATTTTGCAGGATTGAGGCTGTAAGCAATTTTACATGGAGACAGTTGGAGGATTTTGCAGGATTGAGGTTGCATCCTGGCAAAAATGCCTAGGGAGTCAGGGTTAAAAAGTGCAGGACAAATAAAGAAGTACGGAGGGGGCTGAGAAACCAGAGTTACTGCAAGGTTCAACCCATGACGGACTCACCCATGAGCAGAACTGGCTTGACTGTAGAAGGCGTTGGCTTCACTGGCCCTGGCATGATAGCTACAACACGGCTAGCCAAGTTACCTGAATCAAAGGTAGGCGTGGGGTCTGGGTCGGCCGACACCGGCCCTTCCAACAGTGGCGGACTCCAACCACGAGGCTGTGAAGATAAACAGGCCATGAAATGAATGACACACACCAAAACATGTAGAACGCCATGGTCCAGTGGTTATGGTGTTTGACTCATGTATGAAGGTGCGTGGGTTCGAACCCTGCCAGGAACTTGGTGTTTGTGCCCTTGGGCAAGACACTTAACTACAATTGCTTCTCTCCACCCAGGAGTATAAATGGGTACCAGTGAGGATCGAGGACCGATTGAGCGCTGATATCGGCTTCTGTTTGGTCCCATGGCCTGATAAACGGGGTATTAATTGTAAAGTGCTTTGAGATCGATGATACCATAGAGCAAGGACCCAAGGAGTCAGAACTCTTGGGCGATTTACATTTTGACCATTAACATACCAATCTCTCGGGAATGTCTATAGCTACAGCACTGTGACCGCAAGCCTCGATCATTCAAAGCATGAATGCCAGCGGCCTTTGAACACGATGATCGTCGCCCCTTTTTAGTTGGTAACCCAACCTCCCTATATGCTGCATAATAAGTCATGTCACGTCACTGCTCTTTTTTGAAAAATATATTTCACGACAAGATAGGTTTTTACAACTGCGCAGTTGTTAGATGTGAGTTATGAACTCAAGTTACCAATGTGCCAATTTGGAGATAAATTGGATTTCTTTCAGATAAGTTTTCATGTATTTTCAGACATTTTAATTGGCAATATATCATTAATGAAATGTGTTTTTTTGGAAAATTTCACAAGTTTTCACACTAAAGGTACAGAGCATTTTGGTTTTTCATGAAATGATTGTTTCAGTGATGTTGACCACATTGTTAGCCAGTATTAGCCAACTCCGAACAAACACTTCAAAATCATTCATTTTTAGCGATGTATGACAACTGCGCATGCGTATTTACCATGGTACTGTCTACGAAGCCATGCAAACTCCTTTTTTTGGCATTAGTGAGCGCGGATCTCTATTGTGTCGAGATTAGCGTAGTGAGCAACTGAGCAAGCTGGCGCCAGGTGCTTTCTATTGTAGCTTTCGAGCGCGGCGACCATCATTTTACTTTTGAAGTCTTGGAGTACGAACTCCTTGGGTCCTTGCTCTATGATGATACGATGGAAAGCGCTATATAAGCACAAAACACATTCTTATTGCAGTTATCTGTGCCCCACTTGCAGAATTACTATATGCTCCATAGGCCTACAAAAAATAATAATGAGGATGATTTGGCAAAATTTTCTCACCACGATTGGAACGGATCCGTCCTCCACTACCGCATGCATTGCAAACATTCCATTGTCATATTCACTAACATACAATGTGGGTCTGCAGGAGAAATGAAAGTAAAATACAGTAGAACATGGCCCTTTGGCTCCCAAATTGTATGTAAAAATATACGGAACATTTCTCAATTCTTTGGAAAATGCATTCATGTTGTCAATTTGTCGCAACAAGAATGCTTCTCAACTGTATTCCAATGTCAAAAAAATAAACATTTTGTCCGCAGGTCTGGTAAACTGGTTGCCACTGTGCCGCAATTAATAGGCATGCAACTTGGAAGAAACTAAAAACGAGGAAACTCCAATCTTTACAAGACTTTGTACAGTGTTTTTCAGTTTTGAATGGCACGGGTGTGAAGTGAAAAACAAGGAAATCAGCTGATCCGAGGAAAAGTTGCATGCTTGAATTAAGACAATAGTACATGTATGAAAGATAATAAGATAGGAACCAGTCTACAACACCGGATCAACAATGGTAATGAATTCATTTTTTGCCAAAATGTAAAAATTACAATAAACATGTGGATGTAAAATGATAAAATGACAATTTCAGTGAGTTAATTTACGAAAATTTCATAGTCTCCCATTCTGGTATTATTTATGAGGGTTTATAATGGAAAGGCTGGTGTTTTGCATGTGGTGTCAAGTGTTTTACTGTCCAACTCACATTAGCGCAGTCTTCTTCTCATACCCCAGCAACCTGTTCCTCAACTCAGGGAAGTCCCTGCCGTCCAGCAGGTGACCCATAGTATGCGGTGAGATGCTGGTGACCGCCACCTTGCGAATCCCTTCTGGGTGGACGGTGTACATGGCCACCACTGGTGAGCTGTAGCTACCGTCCCACAGCATCTCCCCGGTCCGGCTGTCCAGAGTGACCACCGAGCCATCCGTGATGGAAGAAAAGTGCCTCAGGCCTGCAGGAGAAATTGTTTTTCGCTGTGTCAAACATGTAAGTCTAAAGAGTGAATATTGTAGTGAAGGTAAAGGTAAAGGGGACGAACCTGTGTGTTCACAGGAACGGAGTGCCCATCTCTCTTTTGAAACGATTGGTCCAGACTCGAGTTCATGAAATGCTGCTGTGGGGGAACGCCACACCTCCGAGTCTGTTACCTTCCCAGCACTGAATAATGCCGGTACCTATTTAACACTTGGGTTGAGAGGATTAATTGAGGTAAAGCGCCTTACTCAAGGGCACAACACGCATGGCCACGGTTGAGCCTGAACCCACAATCTCACGATCACGAGGCCTGTGCTCTACCGCTAGACCGACCACACGTGTCCACACGTAGTGGAAAGTTTGATACAACCATTCTCAGGGGTGAGATTGGGCGCAATGAAAAAGTCCACGAGGTCATCGGCAGAGGGTTTGAGGGTTTCTGAGGGCCACAGGGCAATGGAGGGTCTACTGTATGTGTTTGCATTGGCCTAAAGGCATCCCTATCAATGCCCATTTATTTTGTTCCATATAAATGCCCAATTATTAATCCTGAAATAAGGAAAAGTTGAAGAGACACACTCACACAGCCACAGTGGCCTCTTTTGAATGAGCTACATGGTGAACACACACAAACACGCACAAACGTGTGTTCACCGACGATCGTGGACGTCCTATTGTCCCTCTTTTGTTTGTACTCTAACTTTTTAGGAAGACTCCCATAAGTTTTGCTCACGACCCCAATCGCGGACGTATGCTGGGAATCGTGGACGATATTGTTCTCTTTTATTCTCTGGTATTTTTCGTCCACTGTTTGAATAGATGAACATGTACACCCACGTTTGTTGATGGTGTAAATGGAGGATTTTCTATTGTTCCTCTTTCCTTTTCCTTTGTTTGTACTCAAACTTTTTTGCAACAGCTCTCATTGTTTTTGTACACGTTTTCTAATCGAGGTTGTCCTCGATTTGGTTCCTGTCCTCGATTCATCGATGATGTTGCACGTGGTGTCCTCGATTTACACCATAAACAAACGCCTGTACTTGTAATTCATAACTTGTGTGGAAATCCCTTTGTTCTTGTTTACAACAATATGAAATTGCCACTTCAACTGTAAACACTTTTTGAAATTATATTTTTGACCTTGATTTCCTTCACTGTTCTAGTTCACTTTGCAACGTACACCCACCACACACAAATGCCTCTAAGACCGTTTCTCAGAAAAGTAATATGTGGTCCCATGCATGTCCACAGAACATCGTAAGCTCCTGCATTGTGTGGACATCTTTTGTTCATGGTCCACACTGTGACTGCACTGCTACTGCGCAAAAGGCAACAGGAAAGCAGCAATATGAACGGACTTACCGTAATCGGAGTCATCCATTGCGACATGATTACCATAATCAATATATGTCACATTCCACCTGAAAGAGAAATCAGACAAAAAAATAAGCTTTTTATACATTTTGTTATTGTATAATACTCCTTTTATTGATCCTGGCACCTACCCAAGCCTTACACACCATGCTTCTTCAAAATCCTCCTGGAGGTTTTGAAAGATTTTACAGGATTGATGAAGGCATCAATGTGGCTTGATGCCCATTACAAGTTGAGGTACAAATTGTGTATAATTGGTTTCCTGTAGTGACGGATTTTGGAGGATTCAGGAATGTTCCTCACAGAAACCTGATTTTTATAAGCATTTTTCCTTCTTTCTAAATCCTCCAAAAATCCATGGATCGCTAGGACTCTTTGTAAAAAATACCGGAGTCTTATATAGCACACGTATCTACCAACAATTAGGTACTCAAGGCGCTGGAAATTATGTCTATTATTAACGACAGGTAAATGAAGTTTATGAGAAATATGAGACCCATTATGTAGCACCTTATAGGGGTTTACAAGGTGCTGTGGCGCATATTGCAGCCACTGCCAGAAACACCAGGGCAAACCCCTTCTCTTAGCAATAAGTGCTACTGGGTTCTTTAACGTGCATTACACAACACACGGGACCTACGGCTTTGCGTCCCATCCTAAGGACGAACCAATAATGGTTAAGTGTCTTGCTCAAGAGCACAAGCACCATGTTCCCACGGTCACGATTCGAACCCAGGTACCACGGCACACGAGTCGAACGCCGTAACCATTGGACCACAGCACTCACATCCAGTAATGTGTGCTTCACTCCACTTGGTACTCACACTCTCTCTCTGGAGTTGGAATCAAACATGGTGAGGGTGAACTCGGTGCGTCCCAGGAACAAGGTGCTGCCGTCCGACATGGGGCAAGCATTCTGGGTGGTCTCTGTGGTCATCGTCTGCTGCATCTCCCCGGTGGACGAGTCAATCACCAGCCAGCTGTCCAGCTTACGCCCTGGCAGAGCAACAAAGAGAGATGGTAATGATTTTATCATTGTTTGGCCACAATATGGGAATTATGGTCAACTGAGATAAGTAGGTTCACATGGCAAACACAGTACACCAATCCGATTTTGTAATGACGGTTTTGGTAGCTATTACTGGGATGCTTCAATGCCTGTACTGTTTAGTTTGTGGGAAATCAAGGTTGGAAAGGGGTGCATGCCAGCTTTTTCCTGTTTTAATTTACAGAGAGCATCCATCAAGGAAACTGTATGTGTACAAACGATACCCAGAATATTGATCCAAATCAACTAAAACTAAAATTATGGGACAAATCTATTACAAGTACAATTTAGGTATTTTTTAAAGGGAATGTACAACATTTGCTTTTGCTGTAATTTTCAGAAATAAATGGATTTGGAGGAATAGTATGTTAAAGCAAATATTGTTCCACTGACAAATGACTGACTTGTTTCACGTTTTGGGTTCATAGATGCTTGCAAACCAAGAAAACCAATCATGTTCTTGTAGTCTGGTTCCCTGACCCCACTTAAGATGAAACAAAGCAATTTATAGACGTTGGGGAATTATAAGGTCAGAGAATCAGTCTACATGGCTTGTACCCAGTCCTTCATTTAAAGAAAATCCAGGAGAGCTATAAATCGCTCTCCTCAAATATTCGAGGAGAGCAAATCGCTCTCCTTAAAATCTACGGATAAACAGCGGTAAAACGACGGGTTACCATTGTTTTTGTTTTATTTTGAATATAAGGATTTATTCAAGGGGCTGCATTATTATTAGTTTTTGCATAATAACATATGCTCAAGTTGCGTTACTTTTTTCGTTTTGTAACTGTAAGACAAGGTAAAATTTATTTTAAAAAACTAACTAAATGGAGATTAATAAAAGGTTTGACTACTGCTCAGGCTTTCATTTTTTAATACAGGTGTCAGTTGGTTCATCACTTGATTATACTTGGAAAATGGAGAGTTAATAAACGGCACATAAAGCAACTGAAAAATTGCTTTCAGATTCGTTAAAATTATATGAAATTTTCAGCCTGAACTATTTCAATTGCTCTACGAAAGCTTCACAAAAAGGGCCTCAAAATGACACAAACTTGCCTTAAGTTTTATCGAAAATATCTGCCGTCGATAATCTTAAAAATAACGGAAAATGCAGGTCAAGTATGCCATATACACAATGCTAGTCACGACGAGAAACTGGCTAACAACATCTGAACTTCGCACTAGTACAAGCGTTTGTGATGCACTGTGTGTGGTGGGCCGGCAATGAGACTCGTTTCACGGTATAGGATTTCGGTGAAACACGCTGCATCGTTTCACTTCACATACCAGTAAAACTTCCTCAAAATAAATTCATGAACACGGGAAATACATACACAGACAAGAGAGATCAAGTTTTGTGAATAAGCTTGCAAAGATCGTCCTTCTCAATCGTTGTTTTCTTGGCATTTTTACGACGTCTATTCCGTCCAGCCTGCACGCAAAACACTGTACGGCAGGCAGTGCATTGCACCGCGCAGGACTATTACATTGACTGGTTACCGCATTTTCATCATGCCTTCATTGGGACTTAGTGCGCGGCGCAGCGGGAACCAGTCATTGCTGCACTTGCACGTACGGGCCCACGTGTTTTCATGCAGCTCTACGCGATATGCAGATTGTGCACGCACAGTATACAACCGCTGTACACACACGATCTTATACAGTACATACGAGCTCGGTGTTCGTTCATTTTTAGCGATGTCCAGCGGCATATTAACGTGAGTTTGGGCATTATACCAACGAAAAATACGTGTAGCTTAAGACTTAAAATCCTTTGCGTTTTTATCACTTCTTATTTTTAAACTTCCCGTGTTTGACGAGCCCTCTTTTGGATTTCTGAGGAGCGCTATTTTTAGCGCTCCTTCGAGACAGTCGAGGAGCGCAGTAGGAGCGCCTGCGCGATCGCGCTCCTTAAAAATGAAGGACTGTTGTACCCCTTCACAGGTGTGTAATAAATTGCAAATAAATGCGGAATAACTAAATATGAAAAATTTTGAGCACTTTTTAAAAAAAACCCACAGTTTTCTCCAACGATGGTCGGCCGACAAGCGTTGGAAAAATACAAGTTTTCTTGGAAATATCAGCACACCAGAAGCCACGATTATACAGGATGCTTTAGATTGTCATTCGCTATCAGTCCATCCAGATATTTCGTTATAATTTGATTATTTCGTTTTCTGATTTTTGCAAATGTTGTATCTTCCCTTTAATACTATACTACATGTGTTGCCATGAGACTCACATCCAGTAATGTGTGCTTCACTCCACTTTGCATAATGGGCAAATAAACATTTGTGACCTGTTCTGTCAAAATCAGACTTTTCTGGGCATAAGGTCAAAAATTTGATTTTTGCATATTGTTAAAATATGTACATTTTCCTTTTAAAAGGTGGTTGAATTTTTGAAACCGGTTATTCCTGGGCAAAGTTATGCTATTTGAAGTTCATCGTGTCGAAAAGTACAAAACGTAGAAAATGGCCACAAATGTCACTAAACAGATATTTCTTTGACTGATATACCTTATCAAATCATCAAAAATACTATATTTAGAGTTCAAATTATGGTTTCAAACTTTTATAGTATATTTTAGACATGTTCAGGATTACAAATATGCAAAAATTAGAATATCGAAAAAAATCACCCCCACAGCATTTTTTGGCCCTATCTCAATTTCAACCTCTGCCCAGAAGCGTCTGCTTTTGACAGAACAGGTCACATTTGTCATTACATGTACATATCTGATTTACCTGTGTAGAGTATTCCATCACTGCTCCTACACGGCGAGGCAGTAACCAGGTCTGGGATTGTGAATGGAAGTTTCTGGAAAACAGGAGAAAATAGAGAACTGGTGAATTCTTAGTGTCTTGTTTCAATTTTCAAATCGACAGTAAGTCGGCACTGGATATATATTCCTGTGTCTCAATGAAATAATTTTGACCAAACTTTATTTTATAGGATCTGAATTTTGCTGTAGTAAAAAAAAAATCTGAGCTGGAATCTCCCAAGTCCAAGGCAAAAGCTAGTCTATGGATTATCCCCTTGCACAGCAAGCGTCTATCACGTGCGAGTAGATTCAGCAATTATTTATGCAAAACTAGTCTGCATCTTGACCTCGAGATTATGACCATTCAGCAGGCGCCTTTTATATCTGGTCTTCAGCTAGTAACCCCTTGTTGTCTGACAAAAATATGGCATCAAAATTGACCAATACACAGCTTAGTCCACATTTCTGATCGAAATGACGTCACACATTGTGAAGTCGTGTGCGGTCGCATAAAATATGCACGCTAGGATATATCAGACGCTGGATACGGAGCTGGAGAGGGTTTCATTTGACAACCAGTGATACTCAGATTGGCACAAGCGAGGTTTCAGGCCAAAGTCAAGGTGTGGGGCAAATGGTCTTACCTTCAGGCCATCACTGTTGCTGCTGATGGCATAGAGGGAGCCATCCTTGGGATCTGGTAGGAACATCAGCCCCTTGTCCGCTATCTCAGCTGGAACCTTGATGATCGGTTCTACAACATAAAGAAATAAACAAACAAAAAATTACGAAAAATAAACAAATAAATTAGAATTTTGTTTCTAGGGAAACTTACTTCATATATTTTTTTCCCTCATCCTTGGATATTCATTCCAACATGATCAGGCCATTTTAACAGTTTTACATTTTGATGATAATGTCATATCTTTGTCATTACTTGTTCAAGCAAACCATGCATGCAAACATTTAATGTACAATTGTACTTAATGTATGCATGTTATAGTTTTTAAAACATGAAGTGCAAGATCATATCGGTTCCTATTTCTTTTCTGTTTGGGCTATTTCTTGGCCAATTTATCTGTAAGCGCTGTAAAGTTACATACGCTTCCAGGGCTTGCCTTCATGTTTAAACAAAAAGAGTCAAGTACATGTATGCCAATGTACAATTTCTATTAAAGCGCTGGTTTTTGGCCAAAACCAAAAGGAAGAGAAATGAAACTGAAAGTGAAAGCAAACCAGTCTGCTATTTGCTATACTGATTTATTTCAATAGATATGCAATATGTACATTTGTTTGTACAACAAACTCTTTGTGTAGGCATTACCAGACATGGTGGAGACCAATCATGGGCAATTTCCATGGAATTATAAACCTCAATGAAATGAATTTTTAAAAATACAAATGCCACACACGAAACATACAGCTTATTATCTGTATTTCATTGAAATATACTGTAGTTTGTTTTAAACTATATCTAGCAGTTAAGCTGTTGCTTGTAACTGAAAAATTATAGAAAATAATCAATATGTCTGAGTACGTCCAACATCATGATGTTTTGAGCAGATTTCGAATGCAGTAAAAAAAAAAAAATGGACGAATAATTTCTTTTTGAAATCATGGTACATGTACATGTAGTACTTAACTGACACATTTTATTATAATTGAAACCCGCTTTATTATTATTATAACCTTTGCTATGCACACTCTTGAATTGTTCAAAATGTACATTCAACGCCAAACAAAAGCTGCCCTCAGGCCTGGCAATTAAGTACATGTTTATAAACATGTATATGAATTCCATATGCTTTATACATGTAGATGTGCAACTTGGGTAGTTTTATGATGTACATGTAGGTGGCATGTAGGTTAGGAAATTTAGTGATATTGATGGTGCATGAAGGGATGGCATGTTTTAGTTTTTTGTATTTGTATGAATTTTATTCGTGAATTCACCATTTTCATATGTGCCCTTTTTTCCATTTGTATGTGTTACAAAGACTAAAACCATATGTATGTAGAAGAACGCGAACATCTGTTTCGGTAATCGTCCATTTATTTGTGATTGTTAAGAGGCCCATAGGGATGCAAATTCATACGTGTCTTTGTTTACAATTACTGAAACTGTGTCAGCTTGTGTGGTTATTACCATTGTGTAAAAACCCATAGTGAGTTAAATATTAAACTACATAATTCTGTAACACTGTTTGAACATCAACTGAAAGCCACTTGCACTTTTTATTCAATTATTTAAACATGTCTGCATTTACAGAAATAACAATCTGTCAATTGAAATACAAATGACAGAGGCTCATTAGAAATGCTTCATTGTGAGTTTGTTCAAAGTCCATTTCAGTTAAAAAAAAAAAATAATAATAATTTCTGATTTGGTAATACAAGTTTCACACAACAAGCTATAATGGCAAAAAATAATGGCGTGTTAAAATAGTGGAACTTATTGCATACATGTACATGTGGTGCTTGGAATTAAAAAACAACAAATTAATTTAAAAATGCTCGCATTGATAATTTCTTTTCAGCATACTTTTAATCTAATATACTTTTCCCATTTATGATGTACTCCGGGAAACCCGTCTGAAATAGCTGAACTCGTACAATTTCCAGTACAAAAGCAAATTTGTAACCTGTTCTGTCAACATCAGACTTTTCTGGGCATCAGGTCAAAAATGAGATTTTTGCAAATTGTTAAAATATGTTCTTTTTCCTTTTAACATGTGGTTTAATTTTTGAAACCGGTCATTCCTGGGCAGAGTTATGCTATTTTGAAGGTCACTGTGTCGAAAAGTAGAAAACGGAGAAAATGGCCATGAACGTCACAAAAACAGTAATTTCTTTAACTGATAAATACCTTAACAAATCATCAAAAATACTATATTAAGAGTTCAAATTACGGTTTCAAACTTTTATATTATATTCTAGACATGTTCAGGATTACAAATACATGTATGTAAAAATTTGAAAATAAAAAAATATTACTCTCACAGCTTTTTTTGGCCCTATCTCAATTTCAGCCTCTGCCCAGAAGTGTCTGCTTTTGACAGAACAGGTCACATTTAGTCCCAGGCTGATTGGGGTGAATTCAATGTGGAAATCATTTGGGTTCTTGTTGTCTTTTTATTTTTGCCTTAATATTTTTAAAATCCTAGTGATTGTTGATTTTTCCAAATTTTAATATGCTGATGTTAACTGTAAAGTGTAAACCTACTTTTTTTTTAGAATTTCATTTTGCAAAATTCTAGTCTTCAATGGATCAGAACTTTTGGAGTTCATATGTACAAATAATTTAGAGCAAATATGAGCTGCCTTTAATTTCTTTTTCAAAACAGTGAATGCAAATGATGTACCATATGTATGTATCCCGTCACCGCAAAATGAGCATAAAGTCGTAAATTGCCATTTTTCAGTAGAGGCGGGCAAAGCCAAAATTTGAGGGGGTGGTCCTTTTGGGGGGGGGGGGGTTATGAACATTGATTATGCCCTCTTTTACCTTTCTCCAATTCTCTTGTTCTGTCAAACATCTTTAAAACACATTTATGTTTTAATTTATTAGTTGACTGTTCATTCAATGTAACACTACTGCAGAATATTTAATAATAATTACCCTAGATTGGATATTTGGGAGACATCCCCATAGACTTGTGCCCAAATATTTCAAACTTAAATGTGCCCTAACCCAATATTCCCTTGTCCTTTTTCCACGAATTCCGGTATGTTTACTAATTAGACCACGACCAACAAATATAACCTAATTGTGACAGCAAAATTTTGCCTCTAAAAGGGGGCTGTGACATTAGGGAGACATGAAAATGTCTCCCTTATGACCGATGTCTCCCACCGAAGAAACTACGATAACATGTCTCTGATGGCACATTTAGTGGAATGCTACTTATAAAGCACTTTTATAACTTTAGGCTACATTATAAATATAATTTTCTCAAGAATCAGTTTAAAACTTCAAGTAAGATGGCGGTCTATATTTTCGTTCAGTAACAAAATACCTGTAACCTGTCTCCAGATGCGAGAAGTCATTAACTAAGCCCTAATTTCCCAAAACATCAGAAAAAAAAATTAGCCCCAAGATAGAAACGCACCTTCTTTGAATGTCCACTTGCTATCCCCAGATTTCTGTCCCACGGCATGTATGCTGCCATCCAGCGTTGAAACCAGAAGGAGGCCCTCCATGCTTTCATATGGAATGCTGAGGCGTCCGGGATTAGCAGGCTGTGGAGAGTGGGGAGAAACGACAGTGAGCATTGAAGAAAAGCTTGGTTAAAAAAAAAGGGTTACCAGCCAGATGACATATTTAGATGTGTACCACGTGTGTCTGGTTCTCCCCAGACTTTCTGCTTTGCTCATAGAGCTATATTAAATTACTAGAGTGCTGACTCATGTACAAAGTGATGCCTGCTGCGCGCATCCATGTTTGTGCGCAAACTTTGGAAAACTCAAAATTGTTACATACGTTTTTTGTACGGCTATTTGCATATCTGCATTTGTATTCTATACAGGTGCGTTATCAAAGCTGATACGCCCAAAACCGAAACGCAGGATCATCAAATGAGCACTTTATGTTGCTCTACGCAAACATCACAATGCGTTTGGTCTCCGCTGCAGATGATTACCGTGACTTTTTGTTTAAGCCGTCGTGACGCAGGTTTTTTGCGTATGTTCTACTTGTGCTTTGCACTTAGATTACACTTTCAAAATTCAATCCATCTAATTTCAATTTGTTTTACAAATACACGCATGAATTTAAAATGTCTGCTCCAAGACAGCATCAAAGCGTCTTCGCGCGCAAGAATGAAGAGTTAGCGCTCTAGTACTTTAATATAGCTCTATGGCTTTGCCACAACTCACTTTGCAATATTTTCTACTTAAATTACATAAGGCATCTCCACAACAATGGAAGAACAATAATGGTTGTAGTTTACAGTTACTGTAATGAACAAATAGAGTTATCCGTTCACCTGAATTCTACAGGTACATACAGAAGCTTGACTTAGGGTTTATTTCATTCCAACGCTGGTACAGTATCTGCCTTTTATGTTTTTACACAGTTTTCCTCCGGCACAAACTCAATACACGTAGTTGGAAAAAAAGTTTGAAGCTTAGCTTTGACCCACATATCAACTGCTAATGTCCTATCACTGCCTATTGTTAAAAATATCCCAATGTCCAATTCTCCATGTAGTTCTCCCCGTACTGGAATAGGCTACCGACAGTAATCCGATCTGCTCCTATCTTTGAAATGTTTAACACTTACTTGAAAAACCCATCTTTTTAAGCATTACTTTGAATCACTTAATTGTTAATTTTTAATTACTTGTTTTGGTTTTATGACTGTTTTTATTGTGGATTTTTAATTGTACAGTGCTTTGTGATGTCTTTGTGACATGGAAAGCCTTTTTAAAGGGAATATACATCATTTGCTTTTGCTGTAATTTTCAGAAATGGATGGAATTGGGGGGTTGGAAATATAAAGCAAATATAGATGCACTGACTTTTTGAAGGTTTTGGGTTTGAAAATGCTATAAAAACCAAGAAAAACGATCATTTTCCTGTAGTTTGGTTCCCTGACTCCATATAAGAAGAAACAGAGCAGTTTACATACATTGGGGAATTGTAAGGTCAGGGAACCAGTCTAGCTGGCTCGTACCCGTTCATAGGTTTGTAATCGATTGCAAACAAGTGCAATGGTCAATTGGGGCCGGTATTTGAAAAAAAGCCAGTTGTTTCCAACGCTGATCGGCCACAAAAATACCACTTTTCTTGAAAATGACAGTACATTGTATACCAGGTGCCATAATTTTACAGGATGCTTTAGACTGTCATTTACCAACATCCTATTAAGGTATTTCGCAAAAACTTGGTAGTTTTGTTTTTCGATGTTTGCAAATGTTGTATATTCCCTTTAAAAGACTTAATATATTATTATTATTATTGTTGTGCCCATTCTTGAAAATCACGCATTCTCGAGAATGGGCATGCACATTCTTGAGAATGTGCAACTGGATCCTTGCTCAATCTTGGCAAAAAATAACTCTTCCAGATTGAGCGCACATTCTTGAGAATGCGCGACAAGATAACGGTCTTGTCGATGCCGAGCACCGGCTGCGCTTGGCAAGTCTAGCTGCATCCTCGTTCACTGATTCTCAATAATTATACTGTTGCAACGCAAGGCGCTGAAAAGTAGAGTGGATATGATAAGTAAAGGCGTATTGATATGGGGGGGGGGGGGGGACCGGGAAAATATAAGAGACATAATAATACTAGTGCAAAGAATTCTGATTTTTGGGATAATAAAAGGGGGGGGGGGGGGGGGGGGAATGAAAAGAGAATGAATACTGCGACATCCCATAGTGCTAATGCTATTTCCCATTTAAATTGCCACCAATTTATTGTTCACATCCCACCATAACGTCGCAGAGCTGGATTCTATCTAGTCAAAAGAGCAATTTTGGCAGCTTCTGGACATCGTTTTTTTTTCGTGGCACGCATATGATACATGCAGGGACTTGTAACTTGTCTAGCCTAAACAAAGCACTTCCCAGACTAGTTCCCAGTCCTCCGTTATTACAAAACTTCCCATAGTGGGCAGAAAAAAAGCAATAATAACAGGTTTAATTTGATTCAAATTATCGTAGTTATACGAGTACAGAAGCATAGCACATTTTCTTTCCTCTTTATATGAATTGTTTCCCTTTTAACCGCTATACAATTCATTTAACATAATTATGTCGTGCAATGTTTGTTAAGATTGGGCAAAATTCATAAATTGTGCACGTGATATTCCCACCCAATCTTAAGAATGAGCGCCCATTCTTAAGAACGCGTGCTCGTTCTTAAGAATGGGCGCTCATTCTTAAGAATGCGCGCCCATTCTCGAGAATGTGCATGCCCATTCTCGAGAATGCGTGATTTTCAAGAATGGGCACAACATTATTATCATTATTACATGTAATTTAGACAAATGTAAAGCACTGATCAGGCTAATCCTGTAAACATGGCGTTGTTATCAATGCCATGTTTATGGTACGCAGAATCATCAAAGTTGATTTGATAGCTGTAGAATTTACTTATTAAACCTAAAAGAGCTTTCAAAATGCAATTAAGCAAGTGGTCTCCTAGCTTCATAGGGCAAGCAGTTTTCTCTTTTTAAAAAAAATATTGGGAAAAAAATCCATACCCGATCACCACTTTTTTCAATTAATTTTCTAGCGCCAAAAGTTACATCTTTTATGGTTATTCCCTCCACTTTCCCTCCTCTACTCTCACCCTCTCCTTTGCTTAATTTCTATTTATCAATCAGTCACCTGGTCACTTACTTCATCGAGATTCGAACCTCGGACGCTTGCTTGATACACGAGACTCTTAACCGCTAGGCCGCGCACAATCGCTGTTGCAATGATCAATCTTTGGATGTATTTGAAGTATCCATTGAAATAAACTAAATATTCATGAGAAAATAAATATTCATTGGCCGGCTCTTGCGACGTCATGGTTATTGATGTCATGCGTATAACTAGCCCCACTAGTGTGGCCGTCGGTATGCTGCACTGAACCTCTGGCCACACACCGTGGTACCGTGCGCTACTGAGGACGAAGTTTTCATAAAATTCAGGGCAGTTTCTTACATTTTCAGTTTCTTACTTTCTTATGGTTGTATTCTATGATGTCTCACCTGTCACTTCTGGGATGCTTAGGTCTAATGATGTTCCATTTTCCGAGATATTCTTCAATCTTTCTGGAGCCCACATGCACTCGTGAAACGTCTTGTGGTGGCAGCCATTTTGAATGTGACAAGAGATGACCTCAAGCTGTGACGTCGCGTTTATGCAAATTGCTTGTCGAGCGCGCGAGGGCGCGAGTTGCAAATGCGACGGCTGTTTCCTGTGCCGTAGATCCTGAATAGAGATCGGTGCACGTGGCCCCCTGACGATAAATGCATGGTACAGGAAACAGCCGTCGCATTTGCAACTCGCGCCCTCGCGTGCTCGACAAGCAATTTGCATACACGCGACGTCACAGCTTGAGGTCATCTCTTGTCCCATTCAAAATGGCTGCCATCACCAGACGTTTCACGAGTGCATATGGACTCCAGAAAGATTGAAGACTATCTCGGAAAATGGAACATCATTAGACCTAAGCATCCCAGAAGTGATAGGTGAGACATCATAGAATACAACCATAAGAAAGTAAGAAACTGAAAATGTAAGAAATTGCCCTGAATTTTATGAAAACTTCGTCCTCAGTAGTGCGCGGTACCACGGTGTGTGGCCAGAGGTTCAGCGCAGCATACCGACGGCCACACTAGTGGGGCTAGCGTATGACATACATGTACTGCTGTTCCAGACACTTCAATCAGTTTTGACTGGCTGCTTCAACTTGGTTCTGCACTAGTCCGAGTAACTTGGACCCAACTTATCGCCTTTTTTAACATTCGAAGTGGCTATCGTTACGGCACTCGTTGTTTAGCGCCCTCTACGATATTTTTTTGGTACGCACGCAGGTATATAATTATTTGTTTCCACACGTTTTATCGAGCAGTGCGCCAGCTCAGCCGATAGAGGGTAGGATTTTGCACCGCGAGGTTGCGGGTTCGGATCTCAGTTTTGCACTCGCATTTTTTTCCTTTTCTAACCTGAGGCTTTGGAGGATTTTTTTTAAAAGGGAAATAAAGTCCGAATTTCATAAAGTTCAAATTCACTTTTTTCCTTCTAATTTTATATTTTCTTGTCCTGTTTTTTTATAAAAATTGGCAGGTTGCAGTCTACCGTAACGATAGAAAATGGGAAATGCATTACGGCTGCCGTAACAATAGCCACTGCGTTTAACATTTGGACATGGTCTGGCGATAGTATCGCCAGACCATGTCCAAATGTTAAAAAAGGCGATAAGTTGGGTCCAAGTTACTCGGACTATTGCTTAACCACTACACCAAACGTGCTACACAACTTTTGGTGGGAATTTAATACTTCTTATAATTCAGCCCTATCTTAAAGAGTACAGCGCCCTCTGTTGATATGGATTGCCGCCGGCAAACCTTTATTTTTTAACGTTAGTTTGCCGTCATTACCTCCGGCAAAATATCCACTATCTTAAATAAAACTAGAATTAATTTCATAAAAACATAAAAGTAGGCTAAGTATTTAAAAAAAAAAAAAAATGTGCGCAGCACTTTTCGAGTGACGGTTCGTTTTTCGTCAATATTCCTTCAATTGTCAAGTAGTATAAATTACGAAATAGATGCAGTGCAATTTCCATGATCGTTGTTTACAATCGTACCTTACGCGATTCACTTTTGACGCCGTGTTTGACAAAGTCCGCTACATTCACAAACGGCAGGACCACAAGAAGCCAAACCCAAACCCTTCTGATGATTTTCCCCATCGTCAACCACATCTTTCCTGTCGAATTTCTGTACAACTCTCACTTAAACTTATTTAGATTCACTTTTCCTTCCATGTTGTCAGCCATTTTAACTCATTGTTTTGATATGATGATGTCACGCCCCAACTATCGCATCGGTCCCAACTATAGTTGGGACTGTCCCAACTATAGTGCGGCAGTTGGGTCGGCCCAACTATAGTTAGGACTGGAGTTGCGCCGGATGCTTCATGCTTGATAGATCTTGTTGGATTAAAATGTTCCGCGGCGCTGGCACCGTGTATTCGTCGTGCATGCATGCCGCAAGGCTGGCCGGTCACGTGGTACTGCCTAGTTGGATGAGTTGTCCAGCTGCTTGGTTTTATTATCCAGCAACATTTTGCAAAATTCAAAGATTGCCATGGCCGGCCAACTATAGATGGGCCCCACCCATAGCTAATGTCAAAGGTCCCAAGTCGGACATGTAAGCAGAGCTGTAGAGAATGTTTTATAGTCGTACAACTATAGTTGGGACTGCCAAATAAAAATATTGCGGTGGCGCGGCCCAACTACAGATGGTCCACACCTATATATATCATTTCATTGGTCCCAAGTAAAGTCAGATGTGTATTAGAGTTGTAGGGAATGTTTTATAATCGTACAACATAACAATGTACACTATAGTTGGGACCGCAAAATAAAAAGATTGGGTGGCCCAACTATAGATTGACCCCATCAATAGCTAATTTCAGTGGTCCCCAGTAAAGTCAGACGTGTATCAGAGCTGTAGGGAACGTTTTATGGTTGTACATCAATGTAAACTATAGTTGGGACACCGCAAAATAAAAAGATCGGAGTGGCCCAACTATACTATAGATGGGCCAGCCCAACAATGGAACTTACAGTTGGGACCGTCCCAACTATAGTTGGGACAGGCCCAACTATAGTTGGGCCAGCCCAACTGTTGAACTACAGTTGGGACAGGCCCAACTATAGTTGGGACAGGCCCAACTATAGTTGGGACCGATGCGATAGTTGGGGCGTGACAATGATGCAAGAAGCATCCGATTTCGACAATCGTAAAAAGTCGAATAATAATAAAATCGATTCTTTTGGGCCGCGCTCAAAGTATTATGTACGGGGCTCTTGAAATGCCATCATACTTTTTGATGAGACATTATTTTATACTGGGCTCAGGAAATACTATCGTACTTATTTATTAAACATGGTTTTAACAAAATCTAGAGGGTCTCGCGTTCCGACAGTCGAATCGTTCTGTTTTTGCCTTTGAGACAGTTTTTGAACACGAAACATCGGGCCATGCAGTCTCAGAGTCAGTGATTTTGATTTGAATGTGATCAAAGGCGCTCGATCGAGTACCAGAGCCAACCTCGATCGTCCCCAGTGCCTACTATTTCCAACCTCGTTTCCAATAGTAAGCCCTAGCTGATAGGACACTTTCTTCCTGTATCCTGATTCGATACCGCAATTGGTTAGCTATAGTATTGGATTTATATCGTGTAGTTGGTGTTGTTATTTCCAACGTGCATTACGTGTTTTCACTATCAAGTTGTAACGTCCCCGCCTTCTCAAAATACTCTTTTCCTTTCCAATCTGCTCATATGAAATGTGATATTGAATACTGGCGGGATAAGATTGTAACATTTTAACTTGAAAACAATCGTGTTTTCGTAACAAAAACAAACACTAATGTAATGTACAGTCAGGTACCAGACTATTCCTCATTTGTATACGTGTGCAAAAATTAGCACATACAAATGATCCAATACCAGGGTGAGATAGCAGATAGTGGTGGGCGCGTGCTGCTCGACACCCTGGGGACGAGGTTGCGCCAGAGTTAGCTTCCTTGTTGACTGTGAACTCTGTATTAACCCTATATTATTATTGTTGCAGCGGAAATTCGCAGCCTTGCAGGTTCGGAAACTTGCGCCTCGGGAATAGGCTATCATGATAGCCTGAGCTGTATAAATATATTTTCTTAAGAGGTTTTCTTAGTTCAGTCTTAACGTGCCTGAGGGGATGGCCAAACACCAGTGCCAGGATTTGGCGAGTAAAATAATGTTATACATTGTATACAAGCTGTTGTCTCATACAGCTAGCCGCGAGTGAGGGCTAGGGGCAGACGAAAGACGGAGTTCAGTTGGTCTCATACGTTGGTACAGCTGAAGCCTACCTGTGCGCTTCAACATCATAAGAAATAGGACAAGGCCTAATTTTGGTTTCCCTACGTCCCTTAACCTTTCATCAAAACGGTGCATAATAAAACCCCTTGCCGCCGGGATTATACGCATCATTATATAGTAGCCTCTGTGCAGTAGCAGCAGTAGTGGCGTAGCGGTAGTAGCGGCAGTATAGGGCAGCTGCCAACAGGTGGCGTACCACGTTAAACCGGTCTGCAGCTATAACCGATCCAATGGCCCAACCCGGTAAAAAAAAAATGGGGATACATCCTCAAACAAATAATATTTGCGAGGGATGTGTAATATTTTTTGTTAAATCTCTTTTACTCTTTTATTGTTTTTATTGTCTCCTAGGCCGAGCGCTATACGTTGGTGTAGGGCAAACCCAAATATTTAAATGATATTCTGACTTCAAATGAAATCAGTTAATAAAATCTAGGTCAACCGATAAAATCGGGTTTTTTTCGCTTTCATTTGAAAAACTAACATGCTCAATGTTCCAAGTCTCCTCCTTTATTAACCAACAATTACAAATACCGCTAATTGACAAATAAGATATCAAGACAATGTTATGTTTATTCCCTTCTTCTTCTAAATCACAACATAAGGCAAAACAAAATGTTGTGTTGCCCTCATTCGACCGACCAAAATGGAAATCTCCGGTCGTTTTTTTTTACACCTGAAAAAAAATCACATAAACTGTAACCAATACCGTTAATGTTTCTTTGTTATATGCCATGAGTTTGCATTTCGTTACAAAACAAATTCCCCGACCGCTCCGCGTAATTTCTTTTTCTTAGAAGGGTTAGGGGCAATGTCATGAATAATTCAGTTTTTCCTTTGAATCATTGCAAGACTTAGGTTCTCGTTCTATTTTCCTTTCAATTTAAAATTATCTCGGTGATAAATTTGGAGAAGAAAAATAGCTGATGAAAATGAGCAGCGACGACGTGGACTCGAACCAGGGATCTTTGTATCCATAAGCTCATCTCGCTATCCACTAGGCTACTGTGTGGCAGCTCGACGACAACCGTTCTTTAAAATGCTTTAATGTATTGTAACTAGTTGAGTAACTAACAACAATGCTGTTGATGTCATTGTCCGTTCTCATGGATAAACATAATTTTCCCATAAAAACTACTGAATTATTCATGACATTGCCCCTAACCCTCCTTGGAATAAAAATTACGCGACCGCTCCACCCTCCTGACCGTATTTTCAAGTGAGGGCAACACAATTTTGTTTGGCCTAATAATGTCACCATGCGCACTTCGCTCGTACCCCCGCCTTGCAAACAGGACGCTGGGAAAGGCCGATCTTTTTGAGCTCCCATAATTATATATTGCGTGACCTGTGACGTCGCATGCGGCACACAAACCGGTACAGCTGTAGCGCGTGCTAGCTGCATGCGAAGGTCATGATACGTTACCCATAATGCCATTCCTATTTCCTTGACAAGATTCTGTGAAGCGGCATCAGCCCTTTGGCCTTCCCAGCGCCCTGTTTGCAGGGCAGAGGACGAGCGAAGGCCAGCATGCACGTGCAAATGGCAGGCTTTTTGGACGCATGGTGGCAGCAAACATAATGGTCCTCATGTGCGCACACCAGTTCTTTATGTCTATGGTGAGCTGCCTATAGTTGGGACTGATTGTAGAAATATTTTATGGAAATTAAAGTGATTTTGTTCGGAAAAAAAATTGTGGATCTATTTTGCATAGAGGCAGGGGGCTACATTTAGGGCACAGGGATTGGCAAACAGTTAGGGGTGGGTTTGGGGGAGGGAAATATAAAAAAAAATTGGCATGGGTACCTCTGGTAAAATTGCACAGAAATTTGTCCTAGAGGTCGTAATCTTCAATTTCCAGTGAAAAATTAAATATTGCCACTTTGCCCCCGAGCGCCACAAGGCGGCGCTGTGTCCGATTTTGCGTTGTTTGGTTGTTTCCTATGGGCACGTAATTAGTGTTGTGGAATCCTATATTGTTTGCGTCATTTTTAATAATGCGCACATTTTCATGACGTAAACAATTAAAAAGGACTGTCATGTTTGCTGCCACCAAGCGTCTCAATGAGCCCTGCATTATAATGAGTCAATTTACACTAATGCTTTTACTATTATTTTCTGAAAATTACTTACTTACTTTTACAATAAGTCAATTAACATTAATGCTATAACTATAAGTTTCTGAGTTTGTTAATGTTTTTTCTAGTATAATTATGCTAATATTTTCTTGGTTTTTTTTGCAACTTACTTTTCAATTTTAGAACTTGATTCCTGCAGTACTACAGGGTGAGTCAAAAAGAATGTGACCGAATTTATTAGAAAAAGCAGGGTTTTTTTTAAATTGTGGCTCGCTCAATTTCATAAATTTCACGTAATTTGCATACTCTATTCCCAAGTTCAGATCACAGAATTCAGCTGTCCACCACTGATCATTTACGATTCTATGAACTGATGAATACCCATTAAATGATGAAATACAAACGTTTTCCCACCTCGTTGAATGAACGAAAAATTGTTTTGAATGCCTGTGTGTAATCTGTAATTCTCGGTCAGCTCAATAGCTTCCAATGGCATTCCGTGGATAGCTATATAAATAGGTTCTTTTAGTGAAACATGCATAACTTTTGATCAGTTTAGGTCAATTTCAGTAATTCTTTTTTGCACATGAGTGAAAAAATATGCTCTTTCAAGAAATACTTCATTCGTGCGTCAGATGTGACTGCTTCTAAGGAAAAAAGATCGTCAATCCAGGTCACTTTGTTTTAGACTCACCGGCCCTGTATAATTTAAAGATTTACTGTCCATGCAAGTTGAAAATTTCAAGTTGAAAATGTGTTTGGAGAAAAAAAATCTGATTTGTAGAAGACCACGGACAGAACATCTTTAAACAACTTGTTTCTATATTCAGTTTAGCCACTTTTCTAATATAATATTGAACAAGCATAAACAATACAATTAAATACATGATAACATAAATAAAATGCCTTGACAAAAATAATAACATAAATGCATTACAACAGTCATGCAGTTGCAGGAGATGAGTTAAAATTACTTAATATTCTAAGGCGACATAAACTGTGTTAATTGTCGTGGAGGTTTTTTCTTGCAATTCGTGCGACTTGCAATTAAACCAAGTTTAGTTACCTGTATAAAACACATGCGTGAAACATTGCGTGATTGAAATAATGTGATCAAAACTTTATAAAGAAATGATGTTATATATCATTCTGGAAAAAAGTGAAAAAGTTGCACTGTGCGAAAACTTACAGAACATAATTATACTGTGTAACAGCTATTTCTAAACCAGGGTGAATGGTCCATCAGTGTTTTAGGTCTCGTGACCGGTCTCGGTCTCGGTCTCGAGACCACTTTTTGCCGGTCTCAGTCTCGGTCTCGGTCTCGGGAACTGTGGTCTCGGTCTTGGTCTCGGTCTCGGTCCCCTTTGGTCTCGATATTTTGGCTGGTCTCGAGTCGAGACCAGCCAAAAAGTGAGGGGATTCCGCCCCGGCCCTTTTAGGGTTAAGTAAAGAATCAGTTTAGGGCAAATGTGACTGCAGTGTGATGCTAATGGACATGTCTCTCTTCACTTTCTAGTGAGTGAGGCATAGTCCAATAGCCATTGCTCTTCTTCTTATTTCTCGTTTTTGTTGTGGGATGATCTGTTGAAACAAGCACTTTATAGCCATCCTCATTGATTCCAAATACAACTGAGATTTAAATCTTATGAATGAAGACTGAAACATTATTTTTACCGTCAGATTTTATATTTTGAATATGGGGAACAATTCAACTCTTTTTCCCTAGAAATATTGGTAATTTTTTTCTATTTTCCATTTCAATTTTTCCTTTATTCGTGGAGGCGGGAAAACGTTTTTTTTTATTATATTTATTAATGGATATTCATCAATTCGTAGACCGTTAAATTGGTATTAGTGGTGGACAGCTGAATTTTGTGATCTCTTTATTAAAATAGACACGACTTGGGAATAGAGTATGCGAATTACGTGAAATGTTCACAGTTACTACTCAATAACATGTTCTTTATCCCAATTATATTTTTACAAAATGGAGCGTGCAATTTGTTTTTATCATACGGTCACTTTCTTTTTGACTCGCCATGTATTCATCTTTTCATCTGTGATAAACACAAATTGAGCTACTGCCATGGTCACACAAAAATAGAGTCTAATTGCCTGCCTCGTTTCCTTCCTCAATGTCAATTGCATTTGCATGAGTCGAGAAGAATTGTGTTCCATTAATCGCTATATGTTGTTTACGGCCATCACAATAAATTATTAATATATTGGCAATAATGTCGTACTTGTTAATCCACTAAAATATTCAAGTAAATTGCCCAGCAAAGTAGTCGATGCGGGCGATACGATGGCACGGTACAAAACACATAGAGGCGTGGGCACTGAGTCATGAATCCTAAAAGTACATCTCACCCACCACATTCAGTTTGTGACAGGGACCTTCTATTGTGTCGGCCATATTCTGAAATAGGCTGATGGCGATGATGATTGCGGGCAGATTAACAGAAGATAGATCAGGCAAATATGGTTCATCGAACTTCTATAGTATACGTAATGTTATTGACACTAAACCAAAATAAAGTGGCATTAATTTCAGCCTTAGCCAGGCCTTCTTCAGAGGTAAATGACAGAGGAACAACTGAAGAAACAAACATGTAGGGGACACACAAACATGCAGGGTTGGAAGGAGAATCACAAAGAGGGATGGGGGGGGGGCAGACCAATCCATATCTGGCTACCATCTCTCAATTTTTTGGTCTACATGTACAAATCTATATTCCATGACTGAAATTTAAATAAATTAATCAATATTTTCTTGCTCCAAATTTTTTTTCGAATCAGGTTCACAAGGAGGTCCAATGTAAAATTAAAGTTGCATTTAAATATCCGTTAGTGGTCATTGCTGAAACCAAGGGGTGGCTGTGGAGCTTAGGGTCCGAGTCCTTATAACAGATGAAACATCCACCTTTAACTTTTTACTTTTGTCGAGTTTCAACATGTTCAAGTTTTGCAAAAACTAGTACAAATTGTCGTACTCCTAAGTTAGAGTTTCTTCATCAGATTTACACTTTATAGTAGTTAAACATTTTTTTTTTAAAATATTTTTTACCTTTTTTTACTCTTATTCTTAATATGTAAAGATGTAACATCAACATAAAATACATTTTCGCGTTATTGGATTCTTACATTATTTTAAATTATAATAGCCGTCGAAACTGGTTTTTGGCAACTAGGCGAGACCACAAAATGGCGTTGATCACGTTTTGGAAACAATCTCTTCACTGTTTCGACCGTAATTAATTCTGAGGGCAAAATTAAAGTCCATATATATGGCTGATATTTGGCTTTATACAAACAGGTGTGTTTTCTTTCTTTGATCGTTTTTAATCAAGTCTTTCCTTTCAATGAAGTTATTTTCTTATTACATGTATAATATATTCTGATTTATGGCTCAAAAGGAATTTTTAAGATTGAAGTTCCCTATTTTCAAGTTTCGTCCCGGAAAAAATTCCTTGCCTAAATTGCTATTTTTCTAGCAATACAAATGTTACTCAGACACTTTTTACGAGTCATCGATAGTCACTGAATCATATTACTTCACAAAATTTCGATTATTTGCATGACACACGATAATTACGTTCTTGCGGGGTAGGCTGGTTCCCGCCTCAAAATCAGTATGGACAATGTACGGACCGGGAGCATAAAGCTAAATCGTGAAGACCGTATTAGATGTTCGGTTTGAAAAATTTCATTTGGTTTTGGGAAATGCATGTGGGTGGTAAAAATACAAATTCGATGTTTCGAATGCGAATTCATTCTGTTTTAAAATGCGTTTGTTTCGAAGATGTACGTTCGATTTTAAAAAATGCATTCCATATTTTGGAAAATGCATTCCGTTCATCAGAACTTACGTTAGATCTTGATAAATACGCATTCGAGTTTCGCAAATGCATTCCGTTGTTCAAAATATATGTTCCAATCTTTTGGACTTTAATTTTGCTTCGTAACGCACGCGCAGTATGGTATGTGACTGTGATTATAACAATTACACTCAATTATTATTCGGTTGCAGATTGCGCGTGACCGCTTGACTCGGAGGGAGTGATAAGGTTTTGTTTTAAACACGGTTTGGGCAGCAGTACACTTGCTTACGCGTGGCTGGTCTTGGTGTATTTGCTATGGTACCTTGGTAACACTCGTCGTCCTTATGATGAGTGCATCCATCAACCCTTGTGTCACGGTTTGGTGTAGCCAAGTAGCCCCAATACAAACTTCGGTAGCCGTGGTCGTAAGCCTCCTTCAGCTCGGCCAGGGTGCAGGGATGAGCTGCCAGGTCGGAACAACCTCTGACCTGCCCGGCACGGTCGGCTAAATCGTAGCTCTGCGGAGTGATGACTGGGTCTCGGTAGGTCATCGGGAGGGAGCAGCACAAGCCGGGAGACGGGGCGGTCAGCGGCAGGTCGTGGTAGGTCACTCCGGTCTCGGTCAGCACAGCCTGGCTGTCAGGATCAGCGTACCATGAGGGAGGTGTGGCAGGGTAGCCCTCCTTGGAGGCGTGGTCAAGTTCCCACTGTAGGCAGAGGTGTTGGCCGGTCCTACGACACTCGGAGGCGGCTGATGCGTGAGTGTGGTACCAACAGTCAGTCAGTCTTATTGGAACTGAAAAGATATCAAGAAGGAAAAACGTAGCTCGATCTATATGTTTTACCTGTAGCGCGGCAGAGGACAAAAGGGAGGATCAATATTCACTGACATAATCCACCTTTTTATAAAAAAGATAAACCCTGAAGGTTGCTGCTTTGATTAAATAAAATGGAAACCCATATCATTGAAAAGAATATCGGAACGATTCCTTAAAGTTGGCATATTTTAAGTGCTTTTTCAAAATTTTGATTTTCTTCTCAGAACGAAATTTAATGGAAAATAATGTCCTGCAACAAATATATTTGCTTGTTTATTTTTGCAGACCTTTATACACTTTTAAAAAGTAGTTTTAACCCTTAAGGGGCCGGGGGGGGAATCCCCCCCCCCTCAACATTTTCCGTGATAGCTTCTAAAAAAAATATTTTCGCGACCCGAGCTGTTATGAATTTTTAGCCTCGAGCTTTGCGCATCTTTTGATACCAAAAACATAAAAATCGGACAACGGGTAGCCGTGTAACGAAAAATTTCCCGGCGCTACGCGCCGTAAAAACTGAATGTTCGCATATACGTTGTGTACACGGAGCAGAATTGCCATTCAAACATATGAATAATTAATTAGCCATATTTCCAAAACCCTTTGACCTATAGTCATAAAATTTCTTGGGTATGTTTAGGAAGAGTTGCTCTATGCATTTTCCGAGTTTCAAAAATTGTCGTCACTCGATGGCCGAGATCTTAGGGGGGGGGGGGTGCGGAATCCGCCCCCCCCCCCGGCTGAGAGATGGTCAAAATAACCCGACCCCTTAAGGGTTCAATAGCGCGCTCCAGTTGAAAAACTGCGCACACTATTCAGAACGAATATAGGAGCTTAATTCAAAAGTTGAAATCGACTAAATTAATTACTTGTCGTGGGCCGCTTTTTTTTCGTGCGATGTCTCTTTGGAAAATTCATAACTAATGTAATAATAGAAAATTATCATTTCAATTTGAAAGTCTGTATTTTTCAAGGTGCCACACCCAAAAAGCAGGTATACACCAACTTCAAAAATGAAATTTCTTAGGGTTAAATTTCAAACTGTAATAAGAACCACCTACCGCCAAATTAAAATGAAAATTAAGTCACTACTATAGCAACATGACAAGTTTTTGTTGTCATAATCTGTCATTTATATTTCTAATACAAACAGAATGCATTTTCTTACCTTCTCTTCCATTTGTTAGCAGCTCAGCAAAACTCGGCTGGAAAAAGAATATATGACATGTTTTGAGCTATTACGCCATTAGGGGAAAACAGAGTGCAAATTTATGAACATTTCATTATAATCCATACGTACTGAAATCATTATTGATGGAGGGACATCGCCATTTGCGCCCTCCCCCATCCGATCACCGTCCATGTTCATAATCAATTTCTCTCAGAAACCCAAGGATTAATGGCATATCAATTAAGCGGTGCTTGCATTGATAATGGATCCCCTATCAACAACACACTGGATACTATGTAATCTAAAATAGATTTTGGATATTTTGGATATTTTTGGAAATACATGTATACCAATCAACAAACACAAATTTATCTAAAGAAAAGATGAATAAGCATATAAAAAATGAAAACTAACATTTACATAAAAGTCGTGTTAAAATAGGATTCGATAGCTACGCCTACGTCTATTGCCAGTTTTTACCCCCGCTACACGTAGTTGTATAGTCGAAGACATATTTAATATAGGTATAGCTCCAGACTTTAAATTTGGATGCAACTGGAATGTCATTCCTGATCCAACCCGTTAACATCACCATTTTCGACCCTACCTTTAACCTGGCATCTAACCCCATTAAACGTTCATTCTCAATCCCCCATCTTAATCCCAGACCATGCCTTGGATCCAACTTACAAAGAAGCACAAGACTAATTGATAATATCCTACCTGTTCCGGACTGAAGTAGTCGGTACCAGCTCTCTCAATCAGAGCCATCGGGTATCGCGACGCTGTAGCCCCGTTTAACTCACACCGCCTCTCCCCCTCCGAGTAGTGGAAAGTTAAGCAGCGATCATCGATGAAACACTCCATGCCGCACATGGCCAAAGAAGGTAGCGTCAGGTTGCAGTAGCCGTGGCCGGGCAGAACGCGGTTTGCTACGCCGTTGAAATAACGCTCGAGGCCCCACGAGCAACCCCTGGAGTGAGACCCAAAGAAAGCCTCGGTCACCAGGCCAGACATCGGGAGGAGAAGGAGCAAAAATAGCATTTTCTCTTTGATGTCGGTTTATTTAATTCTGTCAAGATCTTGCTCCAATAGTCTACATGGACTGTCGTTCCTTTCCGAAGTGCGCAGCTCAATTCGTTGTTGGCAAAAGTGATGACGACGTTGAAGGATTGACATGAGACAAAATAAAGGAATCGATAATTATGATGATTACATCTCAACCTTGGCTGTGGTTGTGGCGTTAATTGACGCTCGTTTTCTGATTTAGGAAAACAGTAGGAAAAACCCAACGACGAAAGAGAGATAACGTGGACTCCATTAATTTCTATGGAAACCGTTGATAAGCAGAACCTTGATTATAACTTCATTTAACTTTACTACGTTCATTGGAGTGACTTTTTATTACACCACGTTCAATATTGATCGGCGCATGATGCAAAGAAGAGAAATTGGTCTGCGGGCATGAAGCTTGTGGCAGCCGTTTTGTGACAAGAGAACGATGCTGTAAAATTGAACAACAAACAGCTGGTCAGGTGCATACCAGGATATATGCACCACTAAATATGCCCTTACATATATAACAATGAAAACTCATTTTAGTTGAATTTTTCTACCATAACTCAATACTTAATTATTATATTTTGAAGGTAACGGTGAAGAATAACGGTTTGTCATTTTCATTGTACAGGGTGAGTAAAAAGGATGTATCTTTAGATATGCCCTTGTCTCCCACAAAAACGGGGAAAGGTATCTAATGTTTTTTCTTCAGCCAACATTCGGTCTGGGTACATTTAGACCACAGTCAGTAGAAGTTTTACTGATGATATTCAGCCATGCATGAAAAGGTTACAAGCCTTTCTTTGTGACTACCCAAAAACACTACCAACACAATGTTCAGGAACCTCTTTCTATCAACACCATGGCAACAATTGGGCCTCTGGACAATGAAAGAAATAAAAGGAATAACAGAACATGATATCAATTAAATGGAATTACATGTATTGAACTGAAATTAATTTTCCAGTTCAATACATGAAATTGCATGTTATAATTAAATACCCTTCGGCTCGGGTAATTATCAGCATCAAGACTCCAACCGGGCGAAGCTACCGACAGGTTGCGGTAGCCTTGGCCGTGCAGGACGCGGTTCGCTACGCCGTTGAAATCACGCTGCAGGCCCCTTGAGCAACCCCTGGTGCACAGTTCAATTGCCTATCCTGGCAGTATATGACCCAAAGAAAGCCTAGGTCATCATGCCAGACATCGGAAGGAGAGGGAACAACAATAGCATTTCTCTTTGTTGTCAGTTTATTGAATTCTGTAAAGATCTTACTCCAGTAGTCTACATGCTACGGAGACCCGCTTTTGTACCATGCCGTATATACGGACTGTCGTTCCTTTCCGAAGTGCGCAGCTCTATTCGTTGTTGGCAATGATGAAGACGTTGAAGGATTGGCATGATGAAACGAAGGAATCGATAATGATTGTGATTAAAATCTTACATGTCAACCTTGACTCTGGAAATTGCTTTGATGCTCGTTTTCTGACTTACGGAAAACAGTAGGAAAAACCCAATGAAGAAATTAAGAGAGATAACGTGATGGACTCAATTAATTTCTATGGAAACCTTTGATAACAGAACCATGATTGTAGCTTTAGTCAAGTTTACTCCGTTTGAATGTCTGCTGGCTACATCTTACATCGATATTGATCGGCGCATGATGCAATGATACGAAACATCGGTCTGCGGACATGAAAATGATGGCAGCAATTTTGTGACAAGAGAACGATGCTGTAAAATTTAACAATAAAAACATATGCAACAATGAGAACTCATTTTAATTGACACTTTCTACTATAATTCAATACTTACTTATATTTTGAAGGTAAGAGTTAGCACGTAATTAGTGTTGTGGAACCCTTAATTGTTTGCGCCATTTTTAATAATGCGCACATTAGCTTATTCATGACGTGAACAGTTGAAAAGGACTGTCATGTTTACTGCCACCAAGCGTCTCAATGAGCCCTGCATATAAATTAGCCAATTTACATCAATGCTATTACTATTCTTTTCTGATTAATTGTTAATGTTTTCTAGTATAATTAAGCTAATGTTTTCTTTTTTTCTACAACTTACTTTTCAATTTTAGAACTTGATTCCTGCAGTACTACAGTCATAAAGAAAGTGACCGAATTCATTTGAAAAGTATTCAAAACAATCGTGGCTCTCTCCATTTCATAAATTTCACGTAATTTGCGAACTCTTTTCTCGAGTTATGTCTATCTTAATAAAAAAAACCCACAAAATTCAACTGTCCACCACTGATCATTAATACCGTTCTGTGAGCTGATGAACTAGCATTAAACACAATGAAATATAATCGTTTTCCAACTTGTTTGATTGAACGAAATTTTGCAAAGGAAAACAGACAAAAATCGCCATCAATATTTCAGAAAAAACGGAGGTGACTTGTTCCTCAAATTCAAAGCACAAAACCTGACAGTATATGTTTCAGTCTTGACTCCAAAGATAACAATCTAATTATATGAATGCCTGTGTGTAATCTGTAATTCTCACTCAGCTCAATAGCTTCAATGACATTACAAGGACAGCTATCCAGGTCACTTTCTTTTTGACCACCGGCCTGTATAATTTAAAGAGTACTGTCCGTGCAAGTTACAAATTTCACCATAATTGTTTTTAGGAGGAAAAAACATATTCTTTGAAGACTGCGGACAGAACATGTTTAAACAACTGGTTTCTATATTCATTTAGCCACTTTTCTAATATAATATTGAACAGTCATAACAATACAATTAAATTATGTTAACATAAATAAAATGCCTGAAAAAATGAAATAAATGCACTACATCAATTTGTGAAGTTGATATTCCGTTTTGAGATATGCTTGCGGTTTTTAAAATCAACGTTCGATGTTTCGAATACTTTCTGTTTTAAATTGCATTTGAGTGAAAGATGTACGTTCAATTTAAAACAAAAATGCATTTTGCTTTTGGAAAATGCATTTTTTTTAACGTAGCATTATGTTAGATCTTGAAAAATACACATTCGAGTTTCAAAAATACATTTCGTTGTTTAAAATAATGTTTCAATGTTTTTGACTCTACTCCTGCTTCGTTCGTAGCGCATTATGGTCTGTGACTGTGACTATACTTAATTGGTTGCAGAAAAAAAATTGCGCGTGGCCGCTAGACTGGATGGATAGAAGTGAGAAGCTTTCTAAGCATGGTTTGGGCAGCAGTACACTCGCAAACGCGCGACTGGCCTTGGTGTGTTTGATATGGTACCTTGGTAACACTCGTCGCCATGATGAATTTCGCATTCATCAACCGAAGCATCACGGTTGGGTATCGCGAAATACAGCCAAATGTTGGATCTGTAACCTCGATTATAAGCTTCATTCAGCTCGGCCAGGGTGCAGGGATGCGCTGCCAGGTCGGAACAACCACTGGCCTGCCCAGCACGGTCGGCGAGCTGGTAGCTCTTGGGAGTGATGACTGGGTCTCGGTAGGTCATCGGGAGGGAGCAGCACAAGCCTGGAGACCGGGTGGTCAGCGGCAGGTCGTGGTAGGTCACTCCGGTCTCGGTCAGCACGGCCTGGCTGTCAGGATCAGCATACCATGAGGGAGGTGTGGCCGGGTAGCCCTCCTTGGAGGCGTGGTCAAGTTCCCACTGTAGGCAGAGGTGTTGGCCGGTCCTACGACACTCGGAGGCGGCTGATGCGTGAGTGTGGTACCAACATTCAGTCAGGCTTATTGGAACTGAAAAGATAACACCAAAAGGAGAAACGTAGCTCTACTTTTTTTTTACCTGTAGCCAGTGGCGTCACCAGACTTTTCAGTCTGGGGGGCACAGGGGGGGGGGGGGCACCAGCATTTGATGGGGGGGGGGGCACTTAGGTGGATACGGATCGCCGTCCTGGGGGAGGGGTCTAAGGGGAGGGGCCCCCTCCCCTTTGGAAAATTTTCGCATACGGAGGATGGGCTAGATGCAAAATGGTGCCACATTTGATGCTAAATTCGATCTGAAGATATCTCCAGAATTGCTATTTTTGAGGTAATGATTTTAACAACGCGCAGAATTTTGCAGAGGATAGGGGGGCACCAGCATTTGATGGGGGGGGGGGGGCACTCGGGGGCACTAGGTACTCCAGGGGGGCACGTGCCCCCCCCCCTCCCCCTGCCCCCCCCCCCCCCCCCCTGGCGACGCCACTGCCTGTCGCGCGGCAGAGGACAAAAGGGAGGATCAATATTCACTGAAATCTCTCCGCCTTCTTAAAAAAATAAATAAACCGTGAAAGTAGCTGCTTTGATTTAAACAAAAAATCCAAATCCATTTCATTGAAAAGCATACCCGAACGATTCCTTAAAAATGGTAAATATGTGCTTTTCAAAATTTCGTTGTTTTCTTTCCGAACTTAATTTACAGGAAAATAATGTCCTGCAACAAATGAATGTGCTTGTTTATTTTTGAAGGCCTTTATACAGTTGTAATAGTGGTTTTAAATTACGCGCTCCAGTTCTGAAAATGCGCACACTATTCAGAACGAATTAGGAGCGTCCCGCTCTTAATTCAAAAGTTGAAATTATTTAATTGATTACTTGTCGTGGGCAGATTGTTTTTCGTGCGATGTCTCACTGGAAAGCTCATAACTAATGTAATGCTAGAAAAATATCAATTGAATTTGAAAATCTATTTTTCAAGGTGCCACACCCAAAAAGCAGGTATACACCAACTTCCAAAATGAAATTTCTGAGGGTTAAATTTCAAACTGTAATAAGAACCACCTACTGCCAAATTAAAATGAAAATTAAGTAACTACTATATAGCAACATGACAAGTTTTTGTTGTCACAATCTGTCATTTGTATTTCTAATTACAAACGGAGAGCATTTTCTTACCTTCTCTTCCATTTGTGAGCAGCTCAGAAAAACTCGGCTGGGAAAAGAATATATGACATGTTTTGAGCTATAACGCCATTTTGGAAAAAAAAACAGAGTGCAAATTTATGAACATTTCATTATAATCCATACGTACTGAAATCATAATTGATGGAGGGACATCGCCATTTGCGCCCCCCCCCCATCCGATCACCGTCAATGTTCATAATGAACTTCTCTCAGAAACTCAAGGATCAATGGCATATCAATTAAGCGGTGCTTGCATGGATAATGGGCCCCCTAACAACACACTGGATACTATGTAATCAAAAATTGATTTTGGATATTTTGGATATTTTGGGAAATATACCAATCAACAAACACAAATTTATCTAAAGAAAACATGAATAAGCATAAAAAAATGAAAACTAACATTTACATAAAAGTCGTGTTAAAAATTCCATAGCGACGCCTACGTCTATTGCCAATTTTTACCCCCGCTACACGTAGTTGTATAGTCGAAGACATATTTAATATGGGTATAGCTCCAGACTTTAAATTTGGATGCCACATAATTGGAATGTCATGGTCTACATGGACTGTCGTTCCTTTCTGAAGTGCGCAGCTCTATTCGTTGTTGGCAAAAGTGATGACGACGATGAAGGATTGACATGAGACAAATGAAGGAATCGATATGATGATGATTACATTTCAACCTTGACTGTGGTTGTGGCGTTGACGCTCGTTTTCTGAATTAGGAAAATAGTAGGAAAAACCCAACGACAAAAGCGAGATAACGTGGACTAAATTAATTTCCATGGAAACCGTTGATAAGCAGAACCATGATTATAGCTTCATTTAATTTTACTACGTTAATTGGAATGACTTTTTGTTACATCACATTCAATATTGATCGGCGCACTATGTAATGAAGAGAAGTCGGTCTGCGGGCATGAAGCTGATGACAGCCGTTTTTTGACAAGAGAACAATGCTGTAAAATTTAACAATAAAAAAGGCAGTCAGATGCAGACCAGGACAATGTTTACCACTAGCTGTGCCTTTACATATACAACAATGAACATTTTAAGTGACACTTTCTACTATAATTCAATACTTAATTATATTTTGAAGGTGAGAGTTAGCCATGAGCACGTAATTAGTGTTGTGGATCCCTAAATTGTTAGCGCCATTTTTAATAATGCGCACATTAGCTTATTCATGACGTAAACAGTTGAAAAGGACTGTCATGTTTTTGCTGCCACCAAGCGTCTTAATGAGCCCTGCATATAAATTAGCCAATCTCATCAATTTTATGATTAATTGCGCTGTATTAATGAGTCAGTGTACATCAATGCTTTTACTATAATTTTCTGATTAATTGCCCTGTGTTAATGAGTCAATTTACATGAATGCTTTTACTATAAGTTTCTGATTAATTGCCCAGTGTTAATGAGTCAATTTACATGAATGCTTTTACTACAATTTTCTGATTAATTGCCCTGTGTTACTGAGTCAATGTACATCAATGCTATTACTATTATTTTCTGATCAATTGCCCTGTGTTAATGAGTCAATTTACATTATAGCTATTACTGTTATTTTCTGATTAATTGCCCTGAATTAATGAGTCAATTTACATTTATGCTATTACCATTATTTTCTGATTAATTGTTAATGTTTTTCTAGTATAATTAAGCTACTGTTTTCTTTTTTTCTGCAACTTTTCAATTTTAGAACTTGATTTCTGCAGTGCTACAGGGCGAGTCAAAAAGAAAGTGACCGAGTTCATTAGAAAAGTATTTAAAACAATCGTGGCTCTCTCCATTTCAAAAATTTCCCGTAATTCGCAGTACTCTATTCTCAAAAGATTAAAATCTCATTTGTATTTGAATGCCTATGTGTAATCTGTAATTCTCACTCAGCTCAATAGCCGCGCTTCCAATGGTATTAAATGGATTGCTATAAAAATGGGTTCTTTTGAAACATGCATAAAAAGTCGTTTATCCAGGGCACTTTCCTTTTGACCATCGCTCTGTATAATTCAAAGAGTAGTGTCCGCTCAAGTTGAACATTTCAAGATGAAGTTGTTTGGGGAAAAAATGTTATATGTAGAAGACTACGGACAGAATACAGAACATCTTTGAACAACTGGTTTCTATATTCATATTGCTACTTGTCTAATAACATTGAACAATAACAACATAATTAAATATATGCATTACAACAAGTTGTGCAGTTGATAGTGAGATTTAAAAATACTTCATATTCTCAGGTGAGATAAAACTGTGTTAACTGTCCCGTAATCAGTATAGACAATGTACGAACCTTGAGCGAAAAGATGAATCGTTAAAAAAGTAAATATGTTCGGTTTGAGCACTTTCTTTCGGTTTTAGCATGCGGTTGTTAAAACAACGTTCAATGTTTCGAATACATGCTGTTCTAAAACGCTTTTGATTTAAAGCTGTACGCGTTTGATTTTTAAAACTTGCATTTCGCTTTTAGAAAATGCATTCCTTTTATCAGAAATTCCGTTAGATTCAGTGGCGGCGCCGAACTCTGAAATGGGGGGGGGGGGGGTTCAATTGGGGGCCACGGAATTATTTTGGGGTTATTTTTTTTGGTGGGGGCCAAATGCCCCCAAAATACACGTTCGAGTTACAAAAGTACATTCCGTTGTTCAATATATTTTTGACTCTAACGTGCTTCGTTGAACGCATGCGCATTATGGTTTGTGACTGTGACTATACTTGGTTGCAGAAAAATAAAGTAATTGCGCGTGGCCGCTGGACTCGATACAAGTGAGAAGCTGGGTTTTTTTAAACACGGTTTGGGCAGCAGTACACTCGCGCACGCGGGTATGGTCTTGGTGTGTTTGCTATGGTATCTTGGTAACACTCGTTGCCATAATGAGCAGTGCATCTAGCAACTGAAGCATCACGGTTGGGTATCGCGAAATACAGCCAAAAACCCGATTTGTAACCTCGATCATAAGCCTCCTTCAGCTCGGCAAGGGTGCAGGGATGAGCTGCCAGGTCGGAACAACCACTGGCCTGCCCAGCACGGTCGGCGAGCTCGTAGCTCTGCGGAGTGATGACTGGGTCTCGGTAGGTCATCGGAAGGGAGCAGCACAAGCCGGGAGACGGGGCGGTCAGCGGCAGGTCCTGGTAGGTCACTCCGGTCTCGGTCAGCACGGCCTGGCTGTCAGGATCAGCGTACCATGAGGGAGGTGTGGCAGGGTAGCCCTCCTTGGAGGCGTGGTCAAGTTCCCACTGTATGCAGAGGTGTTGGCCGGTCCTACGACACTCGGAGGCGGCTGATGCGTGAGTGTGGTACCAACAGTCAGTCAGGCTTATTGGAACTGAAAATATATCAAGAAGGAGAAACGTAGCTCTATATTTGTTTTTACCTGTCGTGCGGCGAGGACAAAAGGGAGAATCAATATTCACTGACATCTCTAGCTCCGCCTTTAAAAAGAAAATAAACCGTGAAGGTTGCTGCTTTGATTTAAAAAGACAATTCAAATCCTTTTCATTGAAAAGCATATCGGAACGATTCCTTAAAGTTGGTAAATACGTGCTTTTTCAAAATTTCGTTGTTGTTTTTTTTTTCGGAACGAAATTTACAGGAAAATAATGTCCTGCAACAAATAAATTTTCTTGTTTATTTTTGAAGGCCTTTATACAATTGTAAAAAGTGGTTTTAAATGACGCGCCCCAGTTCTCAAAATGTGCACACTATATTCAGAACGAATTTGGAGCGTCCCACTTTTAATTCAAAAGTTGAAATTAATTAATTGATTACTTGTCGTGGGCCGATTGTTTTCGTGTGATGTCTCATTGGAAAGCTTATAACTAATGCAATTCTAGAAAATATCAAATGAATTTGAAAATCTATTTTTCAAGGTGCCGCACCCAAAAAGCAGGTGTACACGAACTTCAAAAATGAAATTTCTTAGGTTTAAATTTCAAACTGTAATAAGAACCACCCACCGCCAAATTAAAATGAAAATTAAGTAAACTACTATAGCAACATGACAAGTTTTGTTGTCATAATCTGTCATTTGTATTTCTAATACAAACAGAGAGCATTTTCTTACCTTCTCTTCCATTTGTTAGCAGCTCAGCAAAACTCGGCTGGAAAAAGAATATGATATGACATGTTTTGAGCTATTACGCCATTAGGGGAAAACAGAGTGCAAATTTATGAACATTTCATTATAATCCATACGTACTAAAATCATTATAGATGGAGGGACATCGCCATTTGCGCCCCCCCCCCCCATCCGATCACCCTCCATGTGCATAATCAATTTCTCTCAGAAACTCAAGAATTAATTGCATATCAATCAAGCGGTGCTTGCTTGGATAACTTCTGTGGATCCCCTAACAACAACACACTCAGTGATACTATGTAATCAAAAATTGGTTTTGGATATTTTGGGCAATATACCAATCAACAAAGACAAATTTATCTAAAGAAAAGATGAATAAGCATTAAAAAAAATGAAAACTTAGATAAACATAAAATTCGTGTTAAAAATGGGATTCCATAGCTACGACTACGTCATTTGCCAGTTTTCAACCCTCCCCCGCTACACGTAGTTGTATTGTCGAAGACATATTTAATATAGGTATAGCTCCAGACTTTAAATTTGGTTGCCACATAACTGGAATGTCATTCCTGATCCAACCCGTTAACATCACCATTTTCGACCCCTACCCTTAACCTGACATCTAACCCCATTAAACGTTCTATCTCAATCCCCCATCTTAATCCCAGACCATGCCTTGGATCCAACTTACAAAGAAGCACAAGACTTATTGATAATATCCTACCTGCTCCAGACCGAAGTAGTCGGTACCAGCTCTCTCAATCATAGCCATCGGGTATCGCGACGCTGTAGCCCCGTTCAACTCACACCGCCTCTCCCCCTTCGAGTAGTGGAAAGAGAAGCAGCGATCATCGATAAGACACTCCCTGCCGCACAGGACCGGCGAAGCTACCGTCAGGTTGCAGTAGCCGTGACCGGGCAGGACGCGGTTCGCTACGCCGTTGAAGTGACGCTCCTGACCCCACGAGCAACCCCTGGTGCACGGTTTCAATTGCCTATCTTGGCAGTGAGACCCAAATAAAGCCTCGGTCACCAGGCCAGACATCGGGAGGAGAAGCAGCAAAAGTAGCATTTTCTCTTTGATATCGGTTTATTTAATTCTGTCAAGATCTTGCTCCAATAGTCTACATGGACTGTCGTTCCTTTCGAAGTGCGCAGCTCTATTCGTTGTTGGCAATGATGAGGACGTTGAATGATTTGAATGAGGCAAAGGAAGGAATCGATAATGGTGATGATTAACTTGACTGTTACATGTCAACCTTGACCGTGGAAATGGCGTTGGCGCTCGTTTTCTGAATTACAGAAAACAGTGGGATAACCCAAACGACAAAAAGAGATACAGTGGACCCTGTTAATTTCTATGGAAACCGTTGATGAAGAGAACCGCGATTATAGCTTCAATTCATTTTACGTTAGACTGATTATTTACAGTTGGTTAGATCACAACGTAATTTCAATCGGCGAATAAGACGACTATGAAAATTCGGTCAGCGGATATAAAGCTGATGGCAGCCATTTTGTGACAAGAGAACGATGCTGTATTTTCGGACAAATAAAAAAGCTGGTCAGGTGCAGACAATGATATGCGACAATGAAAAACTCATTTTAATTGAATTTTGTTTTACTATAATTCGAGACTTAATACTATGTTTTGCAGGTGATAATGCAGAATCCATGTTTGTTATTTTCATTGTATACAGTAAATTAATACAGATGTTAGGTACATTTTAATCTTGCATTACATTTATCCAAGTAAAACATTACCCTTGTCTAAAGTTTAGCCGATAGTAATCTTTTGTATTCTGGGTTCCATAAACGAGACTCCTGTGTCGCCCAAAAACATGAGACTAAGTTTTATTTAGTTTATTTTCTACTTCCTTTACGATGTAAAAATAATTCATCTTAAATTTAATAATAAATATAAATATAATAATAAAAGAATTAATAAAAGAAAAAAAACCACAGCAGTCTATTTTTTCTCGATATCAAAAAAAAGACTCACTAACATTTTGGGAATCAAAAATTATTTCCAAATTGGTTCATCTTTCTGAGATTGATTAATGAAATCACACTGATTAAAGTACATTGACGTTTGTCTATTGGAAAACACTTTAGGGGCAAGAGAAACACAAAACACATTTGAAAAGAAAGACAATATTTGATAAGATATAATACGCAGCTTATTTTGAATCAAAATGCATGAGAGAAAATTTAACACGATTCTTTAATTTTGGAAGAGTTGATCAGCTGAGAAAAATGACTTTTTAAGAATAAACATTTTAGTTAATGTGAAATTTAAAAGGAATCGAAAACGTTCACTGGGTGTAGGCCTACTAGTAGTATATTGGGTTATGCATTTGTTGAGTATAAAAGGCTACGGTTTGGAATGAGAAACTTTGCATCATTATTATAATTTAAAGTTTTCAAAACTGAGTATTATAGATACATCCCTTTAGGCCCAATAACATTTGTAAATCATGACAAATGAAACAGGTAGGTCGTAATTAACTTAAAGAATAAATGAGGAAATGGTTCTCGATCATATCACGGTGCAGTTCATCTTGAAATGGAGTTTGACCCTGGGCGAGTTGTCGTGAAAAAAAGGAAATGACTGAGAGGAATATTAATTTTATTCGTAATTGACCAATGTAATATCAATCATATGTGACCGGCCAGACTTAAATTCCTGTAATTATGCTGCCAGGTTTGCTGTAAAAACTTTCCTTGTCGATGTCTGATATTTTTAACATATACGAGCGATGCGAAAGTTGTCGAAGCATTGCGAGCACCCTCTTGTGTTTTTCATTGAATATAGCATACTGAGGCCAAGTTCGGGCAAGGACCATTAGTCGACAAGTGGTTGATTTGTGACGTACCTTACGACTATGCACTGATAGCAACGTGCGAATGTCTCTAGTCAAACGCTGGTCGAAATGTCATAGCAAAACTTCTGGATCCTGGCTCTCTGCTAGCGTTATGAATGCGCCCGGCTATTCGTTACCAGCGAAGCAACCAACCCCAGTAGGCTGGTTCCAAATAGTCGACTAGCGTAGTCAACCACCGTCGACTAGACAGAGTTCGGGCAAACGTTAGTTAACCATTGGTCAACTATAGTCCTTGCGCGAACTTGGCCTGAGTTGCGTAATCAAGTTGCTTACGGCTTACGGCAGTGCGAACATTTTTTTATTCCTTGCAGTACAAGTTTCAAAAGCATAGGGATTCGGACGCACATTCCTTGAACTTGTTTCGATAGTTTTCTTGTAGAGTAAGCAAGCATGGGTAGGTCACTTGACTGCTTGTCATCGCTGCAGCCTGCATATTTTCTATATTTTGCTGAAGTCTGAGTATGTGGTTATGCCATGGTAAGCACGCTCATATACATACACATATTTTGCCAAACATTGTGAGGCATAGGGCCTAGGTACACAGGCCGCAACTGCTCTGCTACTGCTTGTGGTTAGAGAAGCCTTCTCGAGTATACCTGTGAATCATCCTTTACCCAACGTCCATAACATTTGGACTACCGAAGAATGACTGTCGTTTTGTAGGGTTTTTTTTGTAGTAATTAAATTTGATCAGTTTAGTGGAATTATATCCCAGTGTCACTTTCGAATTTTCTGCGTAACCTTCCCAGCTCGGTTACACATACCACATGCATTTTTCAATAAAGAGGGACAATAGGTTAAAGCGATGTGTACGTCACTGACCTATTCAACGGAGAACCATCTGGAATGAACTCTTCATTTATCTTGTCCGCTAAAATTAAGGTTGAGCAATAATGTTTATACAAGTGCAGAAGGCCATGGTTGCAGACCAGTAAAATAAAGGCCCAAATCATACATAAGGCCAAACAAAATTTGTTTTGTTGCCCTAATCCGACCAACCCAAAACTGGAAACTTCGGTCGTTTTTTTTTTACACTTCAAAAAATTAAATAAATTGTAACCTTTACCTTTACTGTTTCTTTGTTATGCCATAATTTTGCATTCCGTTACAAAACGTACATACCTTAATGGTAGTGCAGTGTGAATTTACCGTGAAAAAATCCCATACCGACCAACCCTCCTAATGTTTTCCATGAGGGCAACACAATTTTATTTGGCCTACTGTACTAATGCCACCATGCGCATGCAAATGGTGGGCTTTTGGGTTACTTGGTGGCAGCAAATACAACGGTCGTAATATTGTTTGCGTCATGTTGAACACGCGCACATTAGCTTAATCGTGACGTAAACAATTGAAAAGGACCGGTGTGTTTGCTGTCACCAAGCGTCTCAAAAGTCTCCCATTGAGCCCTGCATTAAATGAGTCAATTTACATTAATGCTATGCTACTACTAATATTTTCTGATTAAGTGGTATTTTCCCTAGTATAATTAATCTAATATTTTCTCTTTTTCGGCAACTTACTTTTCAATTGTTTAGAACTTGATTCCTGTAGTACTATAGGTAGAGTCAAAAAGAAACTGATCGAATTAGAAAACTGTCTTTTTAACATTATGTGGCTCGCTCCATTTCATAAAACTATCATGGGGATAAAGTGCATTGACTAGTAACTGTGAAATTATCACTTAATTTGCATACTCTATCCCCGAGTTATGTCTATTTTAATTTTTAAAAAATCACAGAATTCAGCTGTCCACCACTGCAATCATTTACCGTTCTACGAGCTGATGAATACCCATTAAATACAATGATACATGGACGTTTTCCCACCTCCTTGAATGAACGAAAACTTGTAAAGGAAAACAGACAAAAATCGCCATCAATAAGAAAGAAACGGAGTTGACTTGTATTGTTCCTTATACTCAAAGCACACCTGACAGTAAAAATAAGGTTTCAGTCTTGACTCAATAGATTAAAATCTCATTTGTGTTTGAATGCCTGTGTGCAATCTGTAATTCCTACTCAGCTGAATAGCTTCCAATGGCATTCCATGGATAGCTCTAGGTTCTTGATACAAATATTGAATGCTTCGAGTGGTGTAGTAAAACTAGCCTCCCTCGGTGATCCATGGACCATTCTATTTTCCCGAGGCGAAGCCGATGGAAAATAGAATGGTCCATGGATCACCGAGGGAGGCTAGTTTTACTTCACCACGAGATAAAGCATTCAATATTTGTTTTATAACACTTCACCCACAGATTCTGCTTGATTTTAATATTTTACATTATTTAAATCTGAACACAGTTGAAATAAACTTCAATTTCAATACAAAATTGGTGGAAAATGTATTTCTCTCTTAAAAACTAACCCTTCACGAAATGTTTGAACCCAAGTCTGCGGCGCGCTCTCTTTGGAATAATACGCGCTACGCACAACGCGCAACGCACACACCAGCATGCATTTGCACACGAATACCGCGCCGTGGAAATAGTACTTTGGTTGCTAATGGTATAGTACTTTGGTTGCTATGCGCATAGTACTTTTGGTCGTGCACAGAAAGATAGCAAAATTAGAAAGTAACATGTGACTCGCTCTCGGCCAATCAAGACACAGAATCTGTGGGTGAGGTGTTATAATAAAACAAGCATAACTTCTGATAGCATGGATCAATTTCAGTAATTCTTTTTTTGCAGATGAGTGAAGAACATGCTCCTTTAAGAAATACATTATGCCTGTATCAGATCTGATAGCTTTTTAAGAAACAATGATTAATCCATTTCACTTTTTGACTCAGCCTGTATAATTTATAGAGTTGAAAATTTGTTTGGAGAAAAAAAATCTAATTTGTAGAAGAGCACGGATAGAACATCTTTAAACAACTGGTTTCTAAATTCATATTAGCCACTTTTTTAATATAATGTTTTACAATCATAACGATACAATTAAATATCTGATAACATAAATAAAATGTCTGGAAAAAAATACATTACAACAGTCGTGAAGTTGCTGGTGATGAGGTGCTACTTAATATTCTAAGGTGACATAAAACTACCTGCTCCGCAATCAGTATCGACAATGTACGGACCGGGAGCGTTAAGATGAATCGTAAAGATCGAAAAGATGTTCGGTTTGAAAAAAAATTCGGTTTTTGCATGCGGTTGTTAAAAACAACGCCCGATGTTTCGAATACACTCTGTTTTAAAATGCATTTGATTAAAGATGTACGTTCGATAAGAAAAAAAAAGGATTTCGCTTTTAGAAAATGCATTCTTTTTATCAGAAATTCCGTTACATTCAGGGGCGGCGTAAGACTCTAAAATGGGGGTGGGGGGTCAATTTGGGGCCACAAAAATATTTTGGGGTTCCCCTCCGTACCGCCGCCACTGGTTAGATCTTGAAAATACACATTCGAGTTACAAAACTACATTCCGTTGTTCAAAATATTTTTTAATCTAATTGTGCTTCGTAACGCATGCGCATTATGGTATGTGACTGTGACTATACTTGGTTGCAGGAAAAAAGTAATTGCGCGTGGCCGCTGGACTCATACAAGTGAGAAGCTTTCTAAACGCGGCTTGGGCAGCAGTACACTCGCGCACGCGCAGTCGGTCTTGGTGTGTTGGCTATGGTACCTTGGTAACACTCGTCGCCTTGATGAATAGTGCAACCAGCAACTGAAGCATCACGGTTGGGCATCGCGAAGTACAGCCAGAAGCCCCTTATGTAACCTCGATCATAAGCCTCCTTCAGCTCGGCCAGGGTACAGGGATGAGCTGCCAGGTCGGAACAACCACTGGCCTGCCCAGCACGGTCGGCGAGCTCGTAGCCCTGCGGAGTAATGACTGGGTCTCGGTAGGTCATCGGGAGGGAGCAGCACAAGCCGGGAGACGGGGCGGTCAGCGGCAGGTCGTGGTAGGTCACTCCGGTCTCGGTCAGCACGGCCAAGCTGTCAGGATCAGCGTACCATGAGGGAGGTGTGGTCGGGTAGCCCTCCTTGGAGGCGTAGTAAAGTTCCCACTGAAGGCAGAGGTGTTGGCCGGTCCTACGACACTCGGAGGCGGCTGATGCGTGAGTGTGGTACCAACAGTCAGTCAGGCTTATTGGAACTGAAAAGATATCAAGAAGGAAAAACGTAGCTCTATATGATTTACCTGTCGCGCGGCAGAGGACAAAAGGGAGGATCAATATTCACTGACATAATCCACCTTTTTATAAAAAAAGATAAACCCTGAAGGTTGCTGCTTTGATTAAATAAAATGGAAACCCATATCATTGAAAAGAATATCGGAAAGATTCCTTAAAGTTGGCATATCTTAAGTGCTTTTTCAAAATTTCGATTTTCTTTTCCGAACGAAATTTAATGGAAAATAATGTCCTGCAGCAATAATATTTGCTTGTTTATTTTTGCAGACCTTTATACAGTTTTAAAAAGTGGTTTTAAATAGCGCGCTCCAGTTGAAAAACTGCGCACACTATTCAGAACGAATATAGGAGCTTAATTCAAAAGTTGAAATTGATTAATTAATTACTTGTCGTGGGCCGCTTTTTTCGTGCGATGTCTCAATGGAAAATTCATAACTAATGTAATGATAGAAAATTATCACATCAATTGGAAAATCTGTGTTTTTTAAGGTGCCACACCCAAAAAGCACGTTTACACAAACTTCAAAAATGAAATTTCTTAGGGTTCAATTTCAAACTGTAATAAGAACCACCTATCGCCAAATTAAAATGAAAATTAAGTAACTACTATAGCTACATGACAAGTTTTTGTTGTCATAATCTGTCATTTATATTTCTAATACAAACAAAGAGCATTTTCTTACCTTCTCTTCCATTTGTTAGAAGCTTATCAAAACTCGGCTGGCAAAAGAATATATGACATGTTTTGAGCTATTACGCCAGTTGGGAAAAATAAAGTGCAAATTTATGAACATTTCAATAAAATCCATACGTACGGGAATATTTATTGTTGGAGGGACATCGCCATTTGCGTCCCCCCGCCCATCCGATCACCGTCCATGTTCATAATACATTTCTCTCAGAAACTCAAGGATTAATGCCATATCAATTAAGCGGTGCTTGCATTGATAATGGATCCCGTAACAACAACACACTGGATACAATGTAATCAAAAATATATTTTGGATATTTTTGGAAATATACCAATCAACAAACACAACTTTATATAAAGAAAAGATGAATAAGCATTAAAAAAAAATGAAAACTAAGATTTACATAAAAGTCGTGTTAAAATGGGATTCCATGGCTACGCCTACGTCTATTGCCAGTTTTTACCCCCGCTACACGTAGTTGTATAGTCGAAGACTTATTTAATATAGGTATAGCTCCAGACTTTAAATTTGGATGCCACATAACTGGAATGTCATTCCTGATCCAACCCGTTAACATCACCATTTTCGACCCAACCTTTAACCTGACATCTAACCTCATTAAACGTTCGATCTCAATCCCCCATCTTAATCCCAGACCATGCCTTGGATCCAACTTACAAAGAAGCACAAGACTAATTGATAATATCCTACCTCCTCCGGACCGAAGTAGTCGGTACCAGCTCTCTCAATCAGAGCCATCGGGTATCGCGACGTTGTAGCCCCGTTCAACTCACACCGCCTCTCCCCCTCCGAGTAGTGGAAAGAGAAGCAGCGATCATCGATAAGACACTCCCTGCTACACATGGCCAACGAAGGTAGCGTCAGATTGCGGTAGCCGTGGCCGGGCAGGACGCGGTTCGCTACGCCGTTGAAATAACGCTCCAGGCCCCACGAGCAACCCCTGGTGCACGGTTTCAATTGTCTATCTTGGCAGTGAGACCCAAAGAAAGCCTCGGTCACCAGGCCAGACATCGGGAGAAGAAGGAGCAAAAATAGCATTTTCTCTTTGATGTCGGTTTATTTAATTCTGTCAAGATCTTGCTCCAATAGTCTACATGGACTGTCGTTCTTTCTGAAGTGCGCAGCCCAATTCGTTGTTGGCAAAAGTGATAACGACGTTGAAGGATTGACATGAGACAAATGAAGGAATCGATAATTATGATGATTACATTTCAACCTTGGCAGTGGTTGTGGCGTTGACGCTCTTTTTCTGAATTTTGAAAACGACAAAAGAGAGATAACGTGGACTCAATTAGTTTCTATGGAAACCGTTGATAAGCAGAACCATGATTATAGCTTCATTTAATTTTACTACGTTTATTGAAATGACTTTTTATTACATCACATTCAATATTGATCGGCGCATGATGCAAAGAAGAGAAATCGGTCTGCGGGCATGAAAATGATGGCAGCAATTTTGTGACAAGAGAACGATGCTGTAAAATTTAACAACAAAAAGCTGGTCAGGTGCATACCAGGATTTAAGCACCACTAGATATGCCCTTACATAATAAAAATGAAAACTCATTTTAATTGAAACTTTCTACCATAACTCAATACTTAATTATTATATTTTGAAGGTAACGGTGAAGAATAAAATGTTTGTCATTTTCATTGTACAGTGTGAGTAAAAAGGATGTCCCTTTAGATATGCCCTTGTCTCCCACAAAAACGGGGTGAGGTTACCAATGTTTTCTGCTCAGCCAACATTCGGTCTGGGTATACCACAGTCAGTAGAAGTTTCACTGATGATATTCAGCCATGCATGAAAAGGTTACAAGCCTTTCTTTTTGACTACCTAAAAACACTACCAACACAATGTTCAGGAACCTCTTTCTATCAACACCATGGCAACCATTGGGCCTCTGGGCAATGAAAGAAATAAAAGGAATAACAGAACATGATATCAATTAAATGGAATTACATTAAGGCCTATTGAACTGTAATAAATTGTCCAGTTCAATACATGTAATTCAATGATATAAATACCCTTCGGCTCGGGTAATTATCAGCATCCAGACTCCAACCGGTTGTAAACAGAGTGTTTAATAGGGAGGTTTCGCAAGCGAACGGATACGCTTACAATTACGTTTAGCTATCCGTATCCGTTTTTTACTTACGTGTAGCGAGCGAGATATGCGTGTCGTCTGCACGTTTGACGTCATACGCCACTCACTATCCGCTAAATGTGCAGACGACACGCATATCTCGCTCGCTACACGTAAGTAGAAAATGGATACGGATAGCTAAGCGTAAGTGTAAGTGTATCCGTTCGCTTGCGAAACCTCCCTAATACCTCCCAATCACATATTTATTCCCTTAATAAAGATGAAGATGAATATTACAAAAAGGCATTGACACTGACCGTGTTTGTTTTGTTTAACATGGTTAACATACTTCCCAGAACACGTTTATGCAGAATTGCTGTGTTAATAAAGCCAAAACAAATGCTTGAGATAACATGGCTTTTAAAAGTGAAATCGATTTACATCTACATATATCGAGGATTATTTTATATTTTGTATACATTTGGTTGTGGTGATTCAATGGAGAATGGCACCGTATTTTCGGCCGAAATTCTTTTCACTTGCGCCACAAAAGCTATCAAAACTGACCCCATAAAGTGATAGAAACCTGTCATAATTAAATGAAAAATTTATTCAAATGTCGATGATAATTAAAATAACAATGGAGAATTGAAGTATTCCACACTACTATGTACATCTTTACTATAGTTGCGATCAAGGGCGGTTCCAAGGTCACTGCCGGGGCGGAGGGGCTCTCACAAGTGAAAAAAGGCCTATATTGAGAACATTTCAGTCACTGCCGGTGGCGAGGCGCCCCTTAATAATAAATTCATGAAAATAGAAAATCCATACAGAGTAAAAAGAGATAAATCAAGTTGTGGGAACGAAATCGCAGAAATCTTCTGTATCGCTGTTTGCTTGCGATTTTACGAGTTTCCACTATGCACGTATAGGCTGGTCGTTGTTATAGCGCTTCCGGGTTTGGGGGGGGGGCGCCTTCGCCGACTGTCGCCAGCTTAAGTTTGTCTCTCAGTTCAACACAAGTATTGTCAGTCATCTCCAGGTTTACAGCATGAAATCAAGGACTGCGTTAATGCCACCATGGCGGCCATGGTTACCGATATCCCACCCATCGTCACAAAGACTGGCTCGTAGTGATCCATGACGTCACGAATCCATCCTGTGTTATAATGAAGGGAAAACAACAACGTTCACAAAACGATTGTAGCTAGGCTACATAGTTACTCGCCTTTTCCTTCGCATGACAATGTACATGAAGAATACAATGAATAAATTTGCCAGTACCCAGCATCCAAGGCCGCTGCATAGTTATCGCTTTCATTTTTGGTGAAGGAAACGTGTATTTCGCAAGGCATTATGGGCAGTTTAATGCTGAATGCCAATATAATGTCAGAAAAAAAAGAAAACAAAACCTGCGTGCGTGTTGTCTGGGTGCAGAAAAACGTGAATGGGTTAAAGGTGCGTTCGAGTACCTTCCCCAAGTCAAATTAGGTAAAGGCAGTCGAATCAACCACGAGAGCCTGGCTAATCGAATTCTCAAACACGCGCCATCATGATCCTCACGCGACGTCCGAAGTTAAGACGTGGTCCTAAGGCCAAAAAAAAAAAATAAGTCGGTCTCTGGTCAGTGCGCGCGTCAATTTTAATCATGCGCGTCGATCTTTTTTTTCAAAATGTTCCGCGGTAGCCCCAACAGCGCCCTCTATTTCCGCACCTCCTCAATTTTTTTTTACCAAAGAGCACCAAGGAATGGGAAATTGCACCAAGGCAAATGATCGAAAGCACCAAGGCAAATTATGGAGGACACCAATGTACATGAGGACACCAAAAAAGCAAAATAGTACCCACCTTGTCTGTACAATCCAAGCTTGAAGAAGAAAAAAAAGCAAAGAAAAAAAAAAAGCCGCGTGGCCGCGTCAATTCCGGAACTTTGGTCTGACCAGAGACCGAATATTTTTTTTTTTTTGGCCTAACCACTGATAACGCGCCCTTTCCGTCACCTGTAAAAAGTAAGAGCGTTGGAGTGGCGCACACACCCACGACTACTAGCGCCCATTGGCTAAACACGTCACTATGTACTACATTGTACTTCTGATTCAAAGGTTCCAACAGAGTAGACCTTTTCACTCGAAAATGATTATGCATGCAAATGAGGGCCATGACATTTTATGAGGCTTCTCTCAAAAAAAAGTCGATCCGGGTGAGCAAATAAGACGCACCCAAAGAAAATATGTCAAAAAAAGTTAAAGAAAAGAAATCGCCTCCAGGAGAAGGCGGTATAGAAACGAATGAATGAATCGATAGAAATGCCTACCAGCGATCGCTGCTCCAGCGAGTTCACCTGCCGACAGAGATACGAATAGCCAACTGTAGGCAGCAACGTGCTGGTCGCCAGTAACCTCATGCACCAGCACGAACGTCAGTGGATACAAGCTTCCCATTGCGAAGCCGGCTACTGAGCACAGGAATGCCATGCCCAAATAGGAAGACACCACAAGGGGGTTGGCGAGAGTAGATGCCGAAAAGATCAAGCACGATATAACGAAGAGAGTGGATGCTCTGACCATTCCATAGTCCACCAAAGGTCCGTGTCCAAGACGTCCCAGCACAGATCCGATGCCTCCAAATGTTGCCAGGAAAGCCGACGGACTGTCACCGAATCCTAACTGGATGCCTTGTGGAATGACAAATAAATGCCAACTGCTGAAGACAGCACCGCACAACAGAGTCACCGCTTGATACAGAATGAACATATGTTCAGTGAGAATTTTGGTATCGAATCGTTCGCGCATGATATCCAACATCTTCCCGACCAGCCTGTCTGGTTTGTCGGGTTCCCTCGGCGTCATATTATCCTTTTGGCTGCTCGGCACCACACTGTAAAGTGATGATCTAAGCGGTCGAAAAAGTGCTCCGCACACAACAAAGTTCAAGTTAAAGGCCCCCAAGAGCAGCTCTCCACCCGTAAACGTGCACGAGGTATTCCGTTACCGGCGGGAGAACCATCATCCCCAGTGGCCCTCCGGCAAGAGAAACGCCATTAGCAGCGGCAAATTCGTCTGGGAAATAATCCATAATGGCTTTAACAGTTGTTGCTTGTATCGCAGTCTCCCCGACGCCTGAGAATAAAAGAAATCGATAAAGTAATTTTAAGTAAAATACATTGAACATTTTCGTAATTTAGACAATTCTAACAGTGTTCACTGGACTGCATAATTATAAGCCTAAAAAGATATAGCTGGACTCTTAGTGTGTTTTCCCTTTAATTTGTTCAGTAGATTAAATCACTGCTCAAAGCGACTTTTCTGTGTATGTGCAAGTTATCCTTAAAGTATGATCATTTTTGGAACTAGGGTTTACCTACAAAAACCCGAGGACCTGAACAAAACCGTTCTCGGTACATTTCGTGTACAAACCTTGGAGCATGTCAAGAAAAAAGTTTCAGTTCTCTAACGCAGTTTGTTATACCTCTGTCTTGAATACCGTATTTTCATTGGCATAGAACGATCACGTGTTAAGTTTATAAAGGGTGCGTTCATTTTAACCACGAAAGCCGGGCCAATCGAACGCTCAACCACGGGCCATCACTATCCTCACGTGACGCCCTTAGCCAGTGGCGCACTCAAGGTTAGTCCCACGATTTGCCCTTGGTGATATGTACTGGTATGTGGCCTATTTTCGAGTAGTATTATAGGGATGTAAGTGGCGCCACAATGTCAAAATAGTCCCCCCCCCCACAAAAAAAACAAAAAAAACAAACAAACAAACAAACAAACAAACAAACAAAACCACCTTTTTTCCTGCGGCCAATAATTTTGGGCAACAATTTTTTGAACAAATTTACACTTCTAAAAAAATTTCAAAAAAATTGTGAGCTCTCCCCAAAGCATAATCCTGGGTGCACCCCTGCCCTTAGCCGTGGCCGTAGCCACTGACAAAACGCCCGTTTCGGATTTGGTCTTAGTTTGAGATTGACTGCCTCAAAAGTCGCAATGAACTCAATAAATGATTACCTTTGGAATTGAAATAAAGTCAACTTTTAAGTCCACTCGAGGATTCCGCTGTTCGGCCGCCATATTTGTCCGTTTCTAGGGGATGAACAACGCATGCGTGATGACGTAATGCCACCAGTGACTCTGCTCCACGAGCACGGTATGTGGTGGCTGACCCG